TACTACTTTTTGACTTAAACCAATTTTGAAAAATTTCTAAAATGGCGTCGTACTGTCAAAAGGTCACATTTTTTTCAATGGGAAATGGAATCATTACCGAAAAGGTATTTATTGCAAGCTGATACTTTATCTAATTTATGAAGCTGATCAAAACCAACTCACAATGGATTTTGAACCAACTACTAATTTTTCAGATTCTTTACAGGGCATGTCAGAAGTAAGAACAAAAAAAAATCGCTTTTTATGAGTAGCTATAGCTATAGCTAGGGACAATATTCAACATTTAAAAATTATTTTTATTTTAGAAATTTAAAATTTTAGTATACTATATTTTAATAGTATAATATATTTTAATAGGTACCTAACATTTTTTGACATGCATGGATTTAAAAAAAACAAATGACGTCGTACTGCCAAGGTCACATTTAAAAAAATTTGAAGTGAGTGAAATATCATTTCAGGTCTTTGAAAGCGTAACTACTTATTTTTTCGATTGTACAGGGTGGAACAAAAAAATTCCACTTTCACCAAAAGCGCCATTTTCAAAAAATAATAACAGTAACATACAATACAAAAATAACAAGTTAACACGTAATAACACGTTAATCTTTTGTTGATAATTTTTTACAATTTAAAAAATAAGTAGGTACTTGCAAGTACTTGCAACCATGATTAATCATACCTACAGGATTTTTCACATGACCATTGAATAAAATGTGTACTTTTGAAAGTACGACGCTATTTTCAAAATTTTTTACGTCATAAAGCAGTAGGAACCGGAATCATAAAAATCTATAATATATTATGATGGTTATTACATATTAAATTAAGATACATTATTTTTTGATTGGTTTTAAACCATATTTTCATTTAATCGACCATGGTCGATTGCAAGTACTATATTTTTTGGCTACTTATAAGTAGCCAAAAAATTCAAGGAACTTCGCGTTATTTCTTTCATCATGCTAGATGCAAAAGTAATTTTAAAATATGAAATTTGGTGTATTTTAATGTTTGAATTAAACTCATTGGTAAGGAAAAGTATACTGGATATATCCACTGATTTTATTGTTTAAAATAATCGGCGTCAATTTCAATTTATAGAATTTACTTACGTTATTTTACTCAATGTTTGAATTAACCATTTCAATCAATAAAAAATTAAAATTATGTTTGACTATTTCACTCATTGAAAATAAAAGTCCATTCATTGAAATTAGTTTAATTCAAACATTAAAATACAGTGAATTTCATACTTTGAAATTACTTTTGCATCTAGTTCGTCTAAATAATATGTATGGCAGATTTCTTATGTCAGTCTTACCTTACAAAGTGACCTTAAACATTTGTAATGGTATGACAGATTTCTTACGTCAGTCTTACGTAAGAAAGTGACCTAAAACGTATGTAATAGTATGACGTATTTCTTACGTCAGCCTTACGTAAGAAAGTGACCTTACACTTAGGTAATATTATGACAGATTTATTACGTCAGTCTTATGTAAGACAGTGACCTAAAAGTTATGTAATATTATGACAGATTTCTTATGTCAGTCTTACGTAAGAAAAGTGACTTTAATATTACGTCACGATATGACTTTAATATTACATATATTACGTAATATGTAAGTCATTTAATTACATCATATAAAAGTCACGTTTTGGGTCAGTATTATGTCACTATGACGTAAAAATTGTATTACCTAGATATGATCTACGTGTTACGTAAATTTTAGGTCATAAGTCACGGTTTGGTTCACTGGGTAACGGTTATATTCTGTAATTCGGTAATTCTTCTTTAAGTTGCGGTATACCGTGGTAATAGTATTACTACGGTATACGGAATTATTACAGAATTATGTACCGAACACAGACCACCTACGCAGTAACGGGAACGGGTATCTTAACTCTAAAGGTGGGAGAGACTAAAAAACCACTGTTCGCTGAGTCTCTCCCACCTTTACCGTTTAGGTTCCCGTTCCCGTTACCTTTACCGGGCTGTTGTGCAGCGGGCTTTAGTCTAGGACAATGGTATCCATAGAGATTATCTGCCAGATAACTAACTGCAACTTTAACCGGACATTGATAAACCGGTCCCAAATAAAATACGTTGTAATTTAATTTTAAATTTTACATATCGATGACTTTTTGCCAAAGTATCGCAAGCAACATAACTCAAATTTCGGGAGTCTGTTTTAAACCATATATAACCATAGGTTTTAAACAAGTAAAAAGCTGGGTCTTGAGAGCGAAATGCCAATAGTTTTAAAAGCCATTCCCGATTTCGTTGACGGGAGGGATAGACATTTTGATGTTTAGGGGACAATTGCGTCGATTCAAATCTAAGTACGACGTGGTATTCCCCTAGACCGGGAAGTTAGTATTACTCCAAACATTTGGGATTACTCTTTGAAGTTGGGGAGTTGTTATTTTGCTGCAGGGGCCTAACTTACTAGTTGTGGTCTACGACTTGACAGTTTTTTTCTGTGTCCGTGTCCAAGTCGAGTTGTTGAAGCACTTGGTATAGTAATTCAGTTGTTTTTCTTATCTTAGACTTGTTGGTGCTTAGTTGCTCCCAACTGTTCTTGTTAATTCGTAAGAAGTGATTATTCAGTGGCACTGAATCATTGCTAAAGTGTAGTGAAACGTGAAGCGCGGAAACCCGACTTTTTTGTCTAGAAAGTCTAGTTTTAGGGTGGCTTGTAGTATGTTGTTCCGATGCCTATGGGTGATGTGGGCCCAGTATTTTAGTTGATCCACCCTTACCTGTTTAGTAGTGGTTTTCCCAGGAGCAAGTCGTTTTGTTAGTTATGTATTCGTAAAGACTGATTAATTCGTTTATTGCGTCTTCGACGTAGGGTCCGTACGTTCCTAGGAAGGTATTTTTTGACTTCTACTGTATATTTTAATGTGATTACGAAATCCATTAGAATTCGGTTGGTGTATTTTTCTGTGTTTATGTTTTCTTAATTTATTGTAATTTTGTGGTTTCAATGTTCATTTTTTGTCCTGTGTACGTGTTGGGGCCGTCCTCTTAAATTCACGTTTGTTATTGAAAGATTTATTGTCCTACTCAGCTTTCCTGTGAATGGCCGCGGTAGAGGGCTGTTTTGTTTTGTTTTTTTGTTGTTATATTTGTTTTTTGTTGTTGTTTGGATACTGTCTTACTAATGTTACTGATGTTACTGATAGACTTTGTTAACTTTTTGTTTTTTTTTTCTAGTGTTTAAGAGAAAAGGGTTTTTTCCTCCCTTGGTTTTCCCCTATTATTTTTCTCGTGTTGAACGTCCAATTGACAGGTGGTTAGACCGCCCGGAAAAGTCACTTAAGTGACTGATAATTATCATTTAACACTTCGTCACCCTAATATAACAAGGTTGTATGTTAAAAAAAAACGAAAAATTTAAGTTTATGTTTCTACATGATTATACGTGGATTACGCTTCACATACCACTTAAAAACAATTCTATACAATGTATATTCTATGTATACATATATATATATAGAGTTATTTTCAAGTTGTATGTCAAGGGTGGATTACATAAAACCTTGTAGAAGCATAAACTCAAATTTTTCGGTTTTTTAACATACAACCTTGTTATATTAGGGTGACGACTTCCTTGACCGTATGGTAGTCTCTCTCACTGTAGTTGTTACACTATAGATTCATTGCAGTTTGTGAATAATTATTTGTGAGTTTTGACTTGAATGTTTTAAAAGGTCTCTAAACGCTACGATACGTCTTACTATGGCAAGTATTCAAACGTGACTGTTTTTCCATTTTTTGTAAAATATATCTTCGTACACAAAAACATCTTGATCATAATATCCTTAAACTGCTTTCATTAGCCTCATTTTCATTGGTTCAGTGAAATTTTCATTGATAACAAGTAATCAAATTGTCAATATTTTTAACCTATGAGTATTTTTGTTTATTTTTGTTATAGGATCAATAATACAAAATATAATTTTTAATTTGATACCCTAGGTGCTTCTAAAAACATATAATTTCTGCTATTTTTGAAGATTTATTTAATAACAGTTAGCAATATTTTTCTTACCACTAGTTTAATTTAATATCTACAATGTTTAAGAAATCGTAACGTAATATAACAAAAATTGTTTACTATACTAAAATAAATAAATAGAAAATATCACAAATAAAAATTTTAAACCCTAATAAAAATTCTTTTGAATATTGAAAAAATAAAAGACAATCGTTTTTTGTTGAAGATCGTATACGGTCAAATCTTGTTTGAGTTGGAGATGGTTAAATTTTTTTAAGGTTATTTTTGTCGGGTCAAATTTTGTTTAGGTTAGAGATGGAACTTTTTCTTTAATTTTAACTTAAGTTCCAACTCCAACTCAAACAAGATTTGACCTGACGGAAACAACCTAAAAAAAAATAACGAGAATATATTCTTTATTTAAAGATCAGTTAGGTATTTCAGTTTGTTTTTGTTAGGGGTCGTAAATAATTTTTGTATGTTGTTTTCGTCGGGTCAAACCTTTTAACAACTATTTTTTAATTATTTTTTAAAAATATCACTATACATATACAATCATTATTAAATAGGTATAAAATCTCTTACTTTAGGCTAACTTATAAGTAAGCCTAAACTACGATATTTTATATTTTATAATAGAATATTTTAGGTTAATTAACCCAAAAGATTCTATTAAATATATTTAAAACAAAAGATAGTTATCTCTTGTTTAAAACTTAGGTTTTTAAAATATAATAATTTTTATTATTTAAAAAATAATTTGGTTTTTCTGAATGTGGGCAACCAAGAACACACACATTTACATTATAAAATAATATAGATCCTTGGAGAACAATTGCTAATTATCGTAAGAATATTGTATTTATAATGATTTATTTCAATAGTTTTTAATAAACTATCCTTAAAAGCAAATTGAAAATTATTGATTTATCTCTTTTTTCTCAAACAAAAACTACATCTGCTCGGAGTTGCCATAGTTTCGCGTAGATGGCACCAGCGACAAAATTATTTCCATTAAAGAGGGTGTAGAAAAATAGAGTGAAATAGTCCTATTTTAAGAAAAATAAAGTTATGTTGAAAGGAATGTCGGGTTTACTGCCCTAATTATCAAACTACATGATGTGCTTGTGCAGGTGAAATGTGTTTAAAGAAGAATTAATAAATATGTTTACACATTGTTTAACAAACAATTTTCTTTAATTTGTGTCCACTTCAATTGGATGTAATGTGTTTAACATTGTAAGTATTTATTTTGTAGGAATTTCCTAAATATTGCGACTTATTGGTTGTTTATTAAGTTATAATCTAGCAGGCTTATAATATAGGTTATCTTTTGTTTAAGGGGTTGACACCCCCCTTTTTGGGTCAATTACTTCTTCTAAGTGGATACAATTATTTGCTTCATTAAATAAATAAATTGTTATAAGGATACCTATATCTACCTTTCTACACTTTCAAAAGCTAATAAACTATAAAATAAAATAGGTATATTTTGAATAATTTTAGCCACCGAAATTTATATTATAAATGCCTGACAAAGAATTCTTTAAGATGTCAGTTGCTATAACCACGTGTTTATAATATAAAAGCTTCTTTATTCTATGCACTAAAATTATATTCATCCTGCTGATAGGTAAACTATCTTGAATTAAAATAGAACATAAGTTCAAACAATTTATGTGAGGCAATAAATGTATACTTTGAGGCGTTGTAGTTTAGTTTACTTATAAATTAAATTATTAGTTAACTTTTTGGAATATTTTTATACATTATAGACATTGTTTTTATTTTATTTTGTGTGGGAGATCTTTTTTTGATAAGAAAAAGTTTATGTTTGGCTTGCATATGTTTCCTGTTTAATTTTCAAGCATGTCTTTATTTTTTTTTGAAAAAAAAATGGTTTTACAGTCTAAAACAAATAAAAGGCACTTTTGTGGAATATTTTTTCACAAAAAATATGTAACATATGTACCTATTTATATGTGGTATAAAAGATTATTTGTTTAAAATAAAATGCAATTCTACTGCACTAAGAACTAAGGTTGCTATGGTCCATTCATAGCCTATGAATTTGCAATGTTTTTTTAAAAAATCCATATTTTTCACAAAAATAAATATATCGAGGTGAACCAAAAACAAAACTGTTAAGAATAGATGTAACTTGATAAATAAAACTTAATTTAGAACAATATACGGTTTTGCCACTCTACAGAGTGTCTTAAACTTATGGTGAAAAACATATTTTTGTTTAAACCTGTATATTATAAACGTAGGTCTATTTTTAGTAATTTTTTAAAATGTGAGCGATAGTACATTCATTTATCTACAATATTCTTTAACATTCGTTTAAATCCGACGTCAAATAAAAAAGTTATTTTCGATTGAAATTCATCGAAAATTTGTGTGGATCGATTATTTTGCCTGTGAGTGTATTATTTTTAAAATAATACAATATGTGTATTTTTTTTTGTGTAAATTATTAATAATTAATTAATTAAAATTAACCTTTACTAAGGTATCAAATTCACATGGTGGGACTTTTGGGTGTGGACCATAAAGCACAATAGTCTAACAAAATTAAAAATTTTAAAACTTATACTTATATTAAAGAATCGCTTTTAACACATTGCGCTAATTTCGGGACACGCACCTTTTTTTTTACTTACCACCATTATTTTTAGATATATTTAACAATAATCTGTTTTTGTTAAAGACAATGATCAGCAACCACCGGAGCGTCCCTCCTAGGCCCGAGGATCAAAAGAGATGAGTTCGCGACCAAACTCGGGATCGAAAACGTCGAGCAGCCACCGACAGCGGCACAGCTCGTCCAGTTCCGGGCACCATCGCAGCGACTCGGGACAGAGCGTCGCATCGACGGAGTACCACACGGAGCGAAAACATGGCCACCATCGATCGAAATCGGGCGTTCACGAGAGGGAGCGAAACGAAACTAGTCAGGAATGTAAGTAAAAAAATTCACCGAAATAAATATTTAGTTAATTACTTTAAACCGCTTTATTAAAAAAAAATTGTTTGTAAGTTTAAGAGCATATACTAGCTAAATATTAGGGTGGGTTGAAAACAAAATGTTTGTTTTTTTTCTTAGCATGGGGGTAGAATTTGTACCTTATAAAAAAAGAAAATTTAAAAAAAAAATTTTTTACCCAACATCTTGAGGTGGCCCACTCGTTTTTTAAATAAATATTTAATCAAATGGAGTAGTTCCAACGGGAATTTCCCGTTGGAACTACCCCATTTGATTAAATATTTATTTAAAAAACGAGTGGGCCACCTCAAGATGTTGAGTAAAAATTTTTTTTCTTTTGAAAATTTTCTTTTTTTATGAGGTACAAATTCTACCCCCATGCTAAGAAAAAAAACACACATTTTGTTTTCAACCCACCCTACTAAATATATTAATAAATTAATTTTGCAAATCACTTACGATCCAGGAAATAATAAAGCCTAATTAATGTAGTAATAATATGTTTACATATAGGGAATTCCACGTGAATTCGACACGAAAAAAACCCTTGCCATTTCGAAATTCCATGGCAATTTTTCCTCAAAATAAAAATTCAATTTTAATTTTAGCACGGTTGGTCCATTGTTTTTGATGATATGATTTTTTAAATTTTCATGATTATAACGATTTTGCCAATATATCATCGATCATAACTTTGGTTCCAATTGAGCGATTCCGATCAATTTATTTTAATTATTAAATTCGAAATTTAAATAGCAACGAGTTTATTAACATAATTATATCACACAATGCAATTATTTTATTCAATTTTCAAAATTGAATTTTGAGAAACAAAGCTCAAAAACATATTTTTAATTCTCTCGTCATTTTTTTCGTTATTTGTAGTCATTGTTGATAGGGTAAGTACATTCGGTTTTGTTCCATTTTTTACTACCAAACTTAATGTAATTTATCTTTCGTATTTTGTTGAGTCATGTTTTTCCAACTACAAAATAATTATTTGTTAGTGTCAACCAATAGAATTGAATTCCGCACATCTCACGGCTTGCAAGATGGCAACCAGCATTACACGCGCCCCACGTCGCTTTACCCACTAAAATCGACCGATGGACTTATTATCGGGGCTCCAGACAACCTTCAACCTGAACGGGAGCCCATTTACTTCGACGTAGCCTTAGTTGGGGCTCCACCTGAAGTGGAACAGTTGGTGAACAACATCAAACAAGTTGCGGAACAATTTTTGTACCACTGGAAAACTTTTCCTATAAGTAAGTTGCATTCTAGATGCGGTTTTATGCCCATTATAAAAATTCTTAAGATAGTTAACTACTTTTATCTACTCCTACATTGACGAGCTGTAACTTTATGGCGTTTTATTGATGGGCTGAAATAAACAACAGTGGCTTTTCGACATTTTATGTCACGGGCTGAAGTTAGCTTTATTATAAATTGGGAAAAAGTGACGTTAATTTCTGGTGACAGTTAACAGATGTCAAAATTTTAACAAATAAAATTGGCTTTAAATTCTGTTTTGTGTTCGTCGTAGATAAAGTATAGTATGCAACTCGTTTATAAACTTCTCTAGACACTCGTTTTTATTAAACACTCGCTCGCAAGCTTCGCTCGTGCTTAATTAAACTCGTAACTAAAATGGCGTTTATAAAACTTGATACATAATATATTAAAGATATTTTTAAAACGAGTTTGCTCATTTCACGTCAATTCAAATTCTGATTACATTTTTGAAATCCCTAGAAACAAATTTTTACTTTAATAACCTTTAAAGGTGAGGGGTTATTTATGGAATTAAGAAAAAAATTAAAAATTACAATATATTTGAGGAAAATTTGAGTTAGTATGGTGAACTACACTGTTTGATCTAACATTAAATTACCCAGTTATGACTTAAAAATGTCTATAGCTTAATTTATCACTCTTAAGCTTAAATTGACATTTAAAAAAAAATTAATAGAGTTATATCTAGCGTACGTTGAAATTTTTAGTTACATAACTACATATGTTTATATAAGTATATTATATAATAATCGTCTATTTTATTTTAATGCCAGTAGTAGGGTTTTAAAGTGTTAAACACCTCAAAAATTGAAGAAGAAAACTGTTTTTTCCGTTTTTTCCCCCCAAATTGATTTTTTTTTGTAAAATAAACACATTTTAAAAACAGTAGCAATGAACAACTTATTATTATTTTAATTTAAGAAAATATCTTTCATCATAGAAAAAATATAAATATATTAATTAAATTGATTTAAAAAAATAAACGTAAATTGTCAGTTGGGTCTCTTTTGCAAAAAGGAGTCCATTGAAAATATCCAATTACAAAATAATGAATGATGTATAAAGTTACTTTACAAAATTATAATTTTATAAATAGTGTCAGATAAAAAGAAAGTATGTTTTTTTACGGCCCGGTAGAATATTCTTACTGAATTAAAATAAAAAGAATAATTATTATAATCATAATATTATTATGATTATAATCATTGTCGGATTTTGTTTTTTCAATATCAGTGTACGGATATTATCCGTAAAAATTGGGAAATTTTCAGAAAAATTGACTTGCATTTTTTTCGTAATACCCTTAAAATGAAAAAAAAAATACAAAAGTCAATTTTCTGAAAATTTCCCAATTTTTCCGGAAAAACGGTTTTATTCCGACGGCTCAATTTTTCCAGAAATATTAAAACCCTAGTCAATAGACACTGACATTTAAAGTTTTATTTTTACTCTGAATTTTTTACATTGATTATTTTCTTAATTTTTGTTTATAGTTCTTCCGAATCCCGTATCTCATTGTGAGTCTTTTCCTACTTCGCAAGTGTCTTCAGATGGTTCTTTAGGGCGTTGTAAGACTAAGTACCATTTACGGGATTTGTTTATAGCGCCATCTTTTGACGAACTAGATGCTGTTGCAGTGGATGGAAAAGGAGAACCCAGAAAACTCACTGGAAAACAGTTGGAATATATAAGAGAAAGGGGGTGAGTAAAATTAAACTTAAACATATGCTAATAATTTTTACAAGCTAATTTTCAAAAATGAAAAAATATATTTTCTATGATAAATTATTTTATTTGATTTGATTAAATGTTATTTTTGTTTTTTAAAATCAATACCTGTTTATTATAAAAACCTTAATAATAATTTTAATATGAGAATCCACATTTTTATTAGGTATATTATGGAAGCTATTTAATAACAATTGTTTCTTGATGTTCATAATAAACCAACTTCAATTAATTAACACTAACATTTATTGCACTAGCACCACATAAAAAATATTCTATCGCACCTACAATAATCCCAAATAATATTTCTGTAAAGCTTGCACAAGGATAAATTTGGAAAACCCAAACGCTTGAATCAGCAACAACTCGAATGTATTAGGCAGCAGGGGTATGTGTAAAAATTATTTGTAATGATATATTCTTACAAAAGATATATAAATGTCTATATTTATTGTTATATTCTACTGTATTTCACTCTATGCAAGTTATTCTTATTAGCCTTGTTTGTGATGTAAAAAAATGTTAATTTATTTTATTTTAGTTTTCATTTAAGGGGTTTAACGGATGTCTCCAAGCAGTAATTTAATTTTTTGCCAAGTTTAATTAATATTCATAATTATTTTATAACCACTTGGTAATGGTTTCAGAATCAAAAATGCTGCTTGGGCCCCAACAAGATATCTTGAATAAATTTAAAAATATGTTCAAGATATCTTAAAAAATGTTTTGATACAAAAATTGGAATTATTTTATGTTGTATGATTGGCTTAAATGTTGCGATGTATTATTCATAGACAATCATCATAAAAACTGTGCAAGTTTTACCATGCCAAAAAATCTCAAAACTAACAAACAATAATTTCAGTGAATTTGACGTGGATTCCCTGAACTTCCCGGGTCAACAGCACAGATGGCGCTTATCTCAAATTCTTCAGAAAGGCACCGAAAAATCTAGAGACTCTCTTTTGAACGATTTGGCGCTTGCCCTGCGTTTTATTTTCGTGACTGCGAAAAGTCGAATTTTTTCGCATTTTTTTAGCGTTTCTCAAGCAGCGAAAGCTTTGTTGCACGGTTTATTGAGGATAATAGATATTATAGTCGGCATACCGAGTTTGCAAGCGCATAATCTGGATGCCAAAATTAGAGAGGAGAGATGCAAGTATTTGGTAGCGGAGTTGGTTTGTAGAGTAAGTCAAAATAAAGTTTACGTTTTTGGGATTTTCTTTTCTTCTTTTTATTTATTAAACTATTTAACAGGTTTACAAATATGGTCCCCTTTTGGACCTAAGAAGAAAAAGTGTTTTATTACGTATTTTTTATCTGAATTAAAAAACAAAAATTTGACGTTATTTGCACCTGTCCGGCTTAAATACAAGTTTTTAAGAAGACACTGATGAAGATGATTTATTATCTATGGATAAAGAGCAGACTTAATTTGATCTAAAACGGTATTTTTTTATAAAACAGACTTTGGTCAGGATCCTGCCTTCTGTCAGCAGTATTTAGCAACCACTTTGTATAAAAACTTTATGTGTCAGGAAAAAAAATATATTTAGGATAAATAAACAATGCTTCTGTCCCATATTTAATTATTCTTTTTATTTGGGAACCATAAACTTTTTTCTCAGTGTAGGCATGCGCATCTTAATATTTGTCATGCGCACTTTACATTTTAAAAAGCGAATGCCTAGGATGTCCGGAGTTAGTTAGGGATTAGCTCCGCGAAAATAGCTAATATTTTGCGAAAATCGAACGAATTTGTCGTGATGCGCATGCGCATTAATTAATTCTGTCTGCGTTTCAACAATAAATAAGCGCAATTGCACGCCTTCGTCGCCAATGGTACACTGAGAAAAAAATGGGACAAATAAACTGTTTACCTAATACTTTTATTTGTAGTGAATATATTGTTTATTACCTCTAAATAGTCGAAATAATAACGATAAATATACTTTAGTAAAACTTTATATGTCGGGAATAAAAATATATTTAGGATAAATAAACTGTACCCTTGTCCCATATTTAAATATTTTTTTTATTTGGGAGCAATAAACTTTTTTCTCCGTGTATAATTGCCACTGGTATAATTGTTCATACATAATAAAAACACAAAATCGTATCATGGTAGTCAGTGACATTATTATTAAAGGCAATGTCATTGGATTATTTCATGGACATCATATAGTGTGCCAAAGTTACGTTATATTTACGTACAATGTACGTCGTACATGGAACGTCCATATAATATTCTTGCACATACTATGGATATCCATTTGTATAGAGATGGATGTCCTATGGACACCATATGGACGACTTTGTGCTCTATGGAAACACTAGTTTACAAAAAAAATTTGCCCACCATATCCCATTATAATTTTTCCATGTATTTTGACCCACTAAACACGAAAAAAAAAATTTTATGGAAGCGTTTTTGAAATATGAATTTTCAATTATTTTTTTTTTAATTTTCGGAGGTGTTTTGACGTTTTTAAGTATAACTTGAAATCTAATTCATCGATCTAGTCAAACAAGCCCTTAAATTGAAGGTATTTGAGCCCTTTAAAACTTTATTTTACATACTTTTCATATCGGAGACCTAAGTATTTTGACGCTAGCGATTTTAATAACTTAAAAAATTCGTTCTTATGGCAAAAATTGAGGTCGAAAATTTACATACCGTCCTGGGAAAGGTTTAAATCAAACAGATAACTCAAGTTTGGATTTTTTTCGTGAAGCTGATTTTTACAAAAAAACAAGCTACTGTATGTAAAAATACATGGAAAAATGGCGAAGTTATGAATTTTTTAGTGGAAGACCAAAATTCAGCCTTTTGACGATTTTTATTTTATTTTTTTTCTTTTATTTCGTAATATGTTTATTTTTTAATGAAAACCTAATTAAATACATTGTTTAGTTGTCAAGTTGAGTTGTCGAAATTCGTTGTTAAAAATGCAATTAATTTGGCTTTGGTGGTTCTTGGATGAGTAAAATCATATAAAAAAGTAGTTAAGTATAGGTTGCTTTACGGCCCAGAAGAGAAAGTATTCCTAGCGGATAATAATCTTCGCTTTGAAAAGAATTTATATAAAAGAAATTAAAATTTTTTGTAAACGTAAATGTTGTCCAATGGTGAATAATGTGAAAATAATGTGTGATGTAATATTTAAAAACCAAATTCATTACTTCTTTACTCCAAAAATGTCCATAAGGCGATGTACTTCTTCTTCCATTGTGGCATTTGGCATAATTTCATCAAAATGAAGTTTTGCCCTCAAAGGGGCTTTTACATTCGAATTCGTTGCTATTATTTTTGGCATAATTATCTTTTATTTATAATTGACAAGTAAATTATCAATAATAAATATTATTGTCAATTTGACATTGTCAAAGTATTTAATTAAATTCTTTAGCAGAAGTACCATTTTTAAATACTAAAAATACTGGCATATATAAGCCACCAACCTAACAAAAAAAACGAGTCCAGATAAAAAAAATGAACTGGACTTTGATATTTTAACAGTATTTTTATCATGGTTTTATTTTGTTAATAAAAAGTGTAAAATAAGTAAAAGAAGTAGAGAGTTCGAGTGCGTAAATAACCCGGACAATCTGGGCGACGTTAGTGATGAGCACGGATAACGTTTTCACCAGCAAATGAAGGCTACGGAGCGGCGGTATCACGGCTTCTGGGATTCAGCCATGATGGGTGATTACATTTGGTCCCTTATACGAGAAACGGAATACGAAAGCAACAAAAAACGAGACAGACTTTTTTTAAACCCATGCTTATTACAACAAAATAAAACTTTCAATATCTTCAATGTTCAATATTCAATATAGGTATAATTTAATTTCAATATTTAATATTTAAAATAAAAATCAATATTCAATATTAAACTTTATATAACTCAATGAAATGATAAAAGCGTAAAAATTCTCGAAAAAACTGAATTTTGGTCTTTCACTGAAAAATTCATAACTTTCCTTTAAGTATAATCAAAACGTAAAATAAATCAAACTGGACGTATCCTTTCGATTTCTATCTTTCCCAGAAAGATATGTAAATTTTTGACCTCGATTTTTGTAAAAAAAAATGGACTTTTTCAACTTCATAAAATCGCCAGTATCGAACTACTGAGCCGATACCAAAACTATACAAGAGAAAGTTGTAGATGGCTCAATTACCTTTGATTTAAGTGCTTGTTTGGTAAAATCAATCAATTAGAACTCGGAGTATACTCCAAAAAACCCAGAAAATTAAAAAAAAAACAATTGAAAATTTATATATCGAAAACGCTTCCCTGAAAAAATTTTTAGTGTGATTTTCGCGTTTAGTTGGCCAAACTACACAAGAAAATAACAGTGAGACATGGTGGGCAAAATAGCTGTAAACTAGTGTAATTGATAGAGTTCGGTTTTGTCGCTCATGGAGTGTGCTTTGCTCAATGAAATAGTATGAAATATATATGACTTTTGGAACTTAAAAGTATATTTAAAATTATACCTGTATTTTGGGACAATATCGCAAGCTTTCACCTCTTGGCGAGGTATTTTGTGATTTGTACAATAGATTGAGTGGATGTTTCAAGATTTGAAAATTCACATGACATTGTATGTGTGTGGATAGATTCGAGAAGCGCATATACGTTAAAACTTGTAACTGGTCAGTAAGAGTTTAATTGACTCAAGAGCAATTCTCTCGAAAGAGAGAATAAACTTTTTTTGAAGAAGAATGATATTTATAATTGATTTTCGGAAATTGGAAAAAATCGTATCCTCGCCAAAAATACTTGGATCAAAATTGGGTAAACCTGTGTTAAAAATTAATGTTTCACATAAAAAGAACAAATGCAAAATCCTCATCAAATAAATAAAACAAATTTTAACATTCTGATTTTCTAGCCTGAAAATGAAGATTCTCTAGAACTTCTTTGTTCTTACATAAGAAAGCAGCTTCGACGAGCAGCTACGGAAAAATTTGAAGTTGCAAAAGAATGTACACAACCTCCGGTAGCTGTACCTTACAGGTAATTTTACTATCAAGAAGTCATAATTTACAAATTGTGTAACATAAAATTGTAGATTCTTAACACCGTCAGGGTACGAGTTAGATTTAAGGCTATGGGATAGAGGACTGATGCGCAAAGCATTACCAATTTTGGTAGCTATATTAGAACGTGAAACCAGAGGATGGTTTTTGCATTTTAGAGAAAGACTGATAGCGGAACTAAGGGCCAATAAAATGCCTGATGAGGACATTGAAAGGGTAAATACATTTCGTCAAAAATATTACTTTTGAATGAGATCTTTTAATAAAATAAAATTTTTTTTAGGAAGTTAATGATGCAGTCATGAAGGAGTACCTTCAAAGAGTCTACAACAGTATTTTATCTCACGCGGACATTTTAGCGTTAGGCGAAGGAATTGCTCAACTTTTGGTTCAACAGGCACAAAGCGTCGTTTTAATGCACAGAGCCGTCGAAAATGTACAACACAGGGAGCAAAAATCGCAGGACGAATTCAGGACGAAATTATGCCACTACCATCCTGTTTTATCCAGGATAACGCCCTGGTTAAGATCGAGATTAAGATCGGCGGAACAAAAGTTCAGCATGGATAACCAGTGGAGTGGGCATGAGGGGGCGCTGGCTTTATGTAGCGCTCAAAAGTTAAACCAAACTGTCTATTTTTTGAATAGAGATCTTGCATTTATGAAAGAGGTAAATACATTTTTTTTGCAGTAGGCATAAAAAATATTAACTATTGTGATATTTCAGAGGGAACCAGCACTTCTAAGGGAGCTAAGAAAAGTTAAAACTCCCACAAGGAGTTTTCTTTGGCCCACTCAAATTTGGCATCCAACTAACTGGATTATTCATAGAAATTTTCAGGGTCAATCAGAAGTAGTTCCTACAGTATTAAGTAAACAAGCAACAAGTATCACAACGCCCAGATCTGATCCTAGTCAACCAGTAAGTAACCACATTTTAGTTAGCCAATATAATTAAAATAATATATTTAAATGTATATAATACCCAACATAAATAGAATTATTTGTTTATAAAAATATAACAAAATAAATATAATTCCTAAAATCATAACAAAATTAAATAAGTATCACATTCTTTTAATTTTTTTAGCATATTGAAATTTCCTTAAGAATACAAAAATACAGACTGGTGCCGTATTCCAACTTATCACCTTAACTAAATTTGAAATAAATAAATAAATATGGCTTAATAATTGTTTACATCTCAAAACTAGATTTAAATAAAACATTTAGTACTTAAGATGTTCTTTTATCTTTCTTTTAAATAGGTTTTAGTTTAAAATATTTTTAATTTCCAGAGGTAGTTTGTTATACTAAATAGTATTTTTTTTTATATATCATTGTTTTGTCTTGTTAAATGTAGATAAAGTTGATTGTTTATTTGCAGATTTATTAGTTTTTTTGTTTTTTATATTTTATTCTAAAAGTTAACTTTAAAAGTTCTAAAGTCTTTAGCCTTTCTAAATTACTAATAATGTTTTGTACAGTTCATTACTGGGAAAGTATTTGTTCATGTTCAATAACGATTTAAGGCACTTATTTTGAGTTCTTTGTATTTTTTTAAATCAATAGTACACGCACATTGTGTCCTTCTGTCCTATATTAATATTAATATCAATGTCTTTTTTATTTATATGTTTAAATATCATCTTAAAAGTTTAATTTTTCTTAAGTTTTAATTTGATATTATTTGTTCACTCTGAAAATTGTTTTAAGTTTTCATTTGCATTGTTTTCTATTTCTTCCTTATTATTTCCTGAGTAGAGTAGAACTGTATCAATCTAATGTCTTGTATATACAATATGTAGAGAATTGGTCCTAGGATGGAGCCTTGTGGCACACCTTGTTTAAGATAAAGCTTTCCACTTCTATGCTCTCCAATCTGTACAAATTGTTCTCTTTTAAGTAGATATGGGCGTTTCTCTGTAAACTGGGCAACTTGAAGTAAGAAATTGTCTAGGCAAGTTTTTTTGTTATATTTTTTTTGTATTTAATAAATGTTATTCGAGGAATAAATATCGGTCTATTTATTAGTATACGGCAGATGAACCAAAAATAGTCCTATTACTTTGGAAAACATTGAGCATTTTCTGAAAAATCTATTCAGGGGACTGTTTATAAAATCCGGAGACAAAGTTTAGATGACTTTTTTAGAAAATTCTAAAAAAGTCATCTAAACTTTGTAATTTTACAAAATAATAATTATAAAAAATAAATAAGTCACAATAACAAGCAAACAATATTGGTTGAATAATTAAACAATTAGGTTGATTCCAATAGTTACTGTCTTTAATTAATTTAGTCTGAGTCTGAGTCTAAGTGACCATTTTGCTTTGGTGACACGTCAGGGGACTGGTTTTTAAGGACTATAAAAACGATTTTGATACATTAAAGTTTATTTTATTGGATTTTGAACGTCGAGCATAGGTAGATTAGGTTATTATCTTTTGAAGTTATCTACGAAATATTTATGATCTGTTATTTTTCTAAACAATATTAGCTTGAGACAATGAGTTGCCCAGTTTACAGAGAAACGCCCATATGATGATAATAGTTCATGTGATTTCCCTCTTAATCCCATTCTGTCCAATTTATAAAGTAGTTGTTTGTAATTAATTATATCAAAGGCCTACAAAATAATCTTTTGTTTTTAGGTATTTTTGGTAGAAAAAGAGTTAGTACGTACCACAACCACAAGATGGCCATTGTGGCGAGTTTTCAACTACTTCCATAGATCATGGTGTTGGACTTGGAACGCAATGTTTTTCTTCGGTATTGTTTTACCTTGGTGTAGCCCAGTGGGTTTGAGAGCCCTATTTTGTGTCGAACCATTTATGCCTGATCTAGAACTATCGCAAGTCAATGGTACCTTGTTCCCAAGAAAAAGTAGCGTAACAAAAACATTAACATCGCGACTTATAAGTCTTTGGAGGCATATATCTAAATCTAGAACGCATTTTGAGACGAAGCCTGATACTGGGTTTATTGGTAAAGGATTTACGCGGCATCTAAATCGGATATGGAATTATTTTGTCAAAGGATTATTTGGCACAATTATAATCGTCATTATTTTTCCATTAATTTGCATAGCTACAATTCTATCAAGCCTTTTTATAGCACTAACATCAGTAATATGGATGCCATTTTTAACCATGACTGTACAACTCACTAACGCACTTATCTATGATTTAGACAGCCCAGAACAAAAACGAAACCGATATTTTGTTATTTTCGAAGCATTTATATGGAATATAGGCATACAAGGCTGCTTACAACCACTAATGGCGGTTTTTGTAGCCGCATTTGTATGCCCTTTAATATCCCTTATTATTCTTACTGGAGGATTCCTACGGTACTGGTTGAGGCTCTTGTGGGATACCACAATTTTTCACTTGATTATCAAAAAACGAGGTCGAGTTCCAGCCAGCGATAGCTTTGTAGTTAAAAGAATAGCTGGACCAGGTTTAGCTTCAGATTACTATTTCCAAATAAGTCCAGAGCAAGCCCTCGCAGCCTTCGAAGCTAAAATGGAGCTTGACGAGCTTGCAGCTTATCAAACAGTCGTGGAGTCTACTATCACGCAACCGCAGAAGGATTTCAGTCAATTTATTGAAGCTTGTTTCGGTAGTTTTTCAACGCAGCTCTCAAAAAATGGGCCCTATAAGAATTTGGAGAAAGAAGCCCAGGATTTAATGACTGTATTGCACGAGAAACTTGAGAGGAGGAGAAGGGATCTGCAGACTGGGTTAAATGTTTCTGTTAAAAGCAAGATAAAGTTAACCACACCGGAATTAAAGGTAAATAAACCTCATTGTGTAAAACTTTTAATAAAACCTTTTTTATAGATTGCTATACAACAAGGAGCCCTGATGTTAGAGAGGTTTTACCCTACACATATTCTCCCAAAATTGGGTTGCACAGAGGAACAATTTTGGGACAGTAGGGCTCTAAGTCCTGGGGATTGGGCTGGTTTGGCCGGTCTTTTATATTCTGAATTATTCAGTTTAGATATTTTAACACCTTTAGATCATGTTGATACCAGTTTTAGACTTGACGCACACCCTCAAGCCGATTTAGGGAGGTACACTGAAATGGTACAATGTGCACAATTAGGTATTAAAATAATTTAAAAAAATGGCGGTAATTATTTACTTTTATTTTATAGGAGCAGGAGGTCCAGATCTTTTAGGGAATGTATACACCCCCAGGGGTAACATACAAGTACACTCACCATACTTAGAAGTCTCAGCGTTCAACCCAAGATCAAAATTATCAGCCACTCAGAAAAAGGCTGAAAAAAAAGCCGATTCAGCAAGTGCTTTAGCCACAATAAAAGAAAAAACTAGAACAACAACACTGTGGACGCCGTGGAAAAAACAGAATACTCCATATTCGCCGGATAAAATGGTTATTCCATTGCCTGTACCCCACCCAGCTCATATAGCTGTCACCATTTTCAATAGGGACTCTGATGACCCCATACCCCTTGAGTCTGACACATGCCAAAATATATTAAGGGGTATAGAAGAAAGTCATTCTTCTCCAGATGAAAATGGTAAAGAAAAAAGATATACAGGGTGTCTGGAAAATGGCGGACCTATGGTATACCACGTTGTAGCGGGAGTTATTCAAAAATTCCAACAAATTTTTTTGACAAGTAGTTTTTCAGTCTAAAAAACTCGTCAACGCTTTGAATTTTCTAAGCCAAATTAAGAAACATCTAAAAAGGGTTGTTATGGAAACAAAATATACCACGCATATACAACGCCATTTTTTGGACATCCTGTAACATAACAAATTTTGTTTTTTTTTTAATCACTTCTCTCCAGATTTTATAATAAATTTATTTTACGTACTATTAAAAATACCTTTATCTTTTTATACAAAAACATAGGAATTAATTTCTTCCTCAGGCCAAAACTAGGGCGGCGTCAAACGTATGTTACAGAAAAGTTTAAATTAAATGGGTTTTTTGAAAAAACTTTTTTCGTGTTGCAGTTTATTGCAACTTTTTTATCATTTAGTGTAATTTTTTTTAAAGAATCAGCGTAAAAAGTATTAAGTAGTGTGTTAAATGTCCCAATACCAAAGCAATCACATTTTAAAGTTTTTTAGTAAAAAAAAATAAATGAGAGCAGAGGGATATGATATTGCACCCAGTGTGAGACTCAATGTGACCTATTTTAAAACCTTTTATTAAATGTAAAACATAATTAAATATTACCCCTATAAAATTTGTATTAATATTAATAACGTTTTGTGTTTTTGGATTAAAGCAAATTAGAAGTAGTGGACAATATTTTATAAATAATTTGTAGAAATGTAATTTGTCCTTTTTCATATAAACATTTATTAATTTATAAAAAACCCTTATAAATTGACTGTAGGGTCATTCCACGTTACTCGGGGATTTTTGTCCCGCCCGTCACAATTAAAAATTGTGAGTAAAAACTACACGTTATAAAATTTATTTACAAATATTGTTTATTATGATTTTAATAAGTTATAAGCACAATAAAAATAATATTATAAGATATTAATTTAATAACTTGTGGCTTTTACTCACAATTTTTAATTGTGACGGGCGGAACAAAAATGACCGAGTAACATGGAATGCCCCTGTAACAAATTCTAAATATGGACTATAGTTAAATGATTTTTATTTATTAATTCTCCTAAGGTGACACTAACCTGTGTGATTATTGTAAATTCATTGTTTTTAAAATTTTTTATTGACCTCAAGTATTTTATATTATAATTTAAAAATATATATATTCTAAACAATAATTAGGTTCCTACTAACTTAAATGTAATTTGGCTTAGACTTTTTCTATACAATATTTTGTGCACATACAGTGTGCCCAAAAATGGCGCCAAAGTCTTGTGTCGTAAAAATAGTCAAAATTGGGTACAAGTTTTATTTATTTAAATAAAACTAATACAAAAATTTAAACATTGAGCAACAAATACGGCGACCATGCATTTTTTTTGACAATAGGTTTAAAATATTTTATTGGATTTTATATAATTTATAGAAAAGGCGTTTCAAAAATAAACAATTTAAATTAAAATTTGTTAATTCAGTTTTTTTAACTAAAATGCTTAATAACTAAAAAACAATTTGCATGGTATTCTGGATGTCGAATTTTCGTTAGCTTTCTTGGAGTGCTAAAATGCTAAAAAACTTATTTATCCTCAAGTGTTCTGTAATGTAAACTTTATTATCAACACTTACTACTAAAGCTATTGATTATCGCCTAGGCTGTAAAAATAATGGGTAATCATTTTTACCTCCTAGTCTATAAAAAACCCAAACCTTACTTTGTTTTGTGTATGTTTTATGTGTTGTTTAACAAATTGTGCCTTAAAGATAAAACACTGAATGTCATTTGGCTGTAAGTGTATTTTGGTGCTTCTCTCAATTCCCACATAAAACATAAATATATTTAAATTATTGAATGAATATTTTTGCTAAATGAACTACATATTTTATAAATATTATTCATTATCATTTAAATGCTTTTAAAATGTTTTAACAACATGTCCCACTTTTTATTTTTATACAATATTTTTTTTACAACATTTTTAAAACAATTTTGTAAATGTTTTAGATACATTTACTTATATTTTATTAATGTCTCCTCAACATCACAAAAATATCTGGAAACATTTTCAAAATATTTACAGTTCATTGCATATTTATTTTAACAATGTTGTAAATGTTGATACAATGTTTGCTTGCTTTGCGTGCTTTTATATTTATAAAAGCCGTGTGACACTCGGTACTTTTTGTATACAGATCTATTTTTTGCACGCTAAAAATACAAGACAATTTGGTACACGTCTTAATAAAAAATATTTAAAAAAATAGTTATTTTAAAAATAATCCATATAAAAAAAATGAAATATGTAAAACATAAATTCTTTGGTAAAAATCACAGAAATAAAAGAATATTTTTCTTTCTACTGCCTTGTTCTTTTTTAAAGATTTTTTTACTTTTTCTAAATTTTGCTTGAGCCAGCGATTGTCGTAACTCCGGTAAAATGTCATTTTCCCTCGCAGTTTCGGTTTTCGGATTCTTCTGGAGACAATTTAAATTAAAGTCTTCGGTTCAATCCCGTTCGGGATATTAAAAAACAATACTATTTTTGGTTTTCTAAGCGATTTTATTAGGTTTATGTTTGTTTTTTGTTAATACGAAATTTATCAATAAAATAATCGTCTTCAATAGGGCGAATAAAATTTTAAGGTGCCTGCGCGGTTCAGTACACTGCCATTTATAAATAGCAATAACAATCTAAACAATAAAAATGACTATAACACATTACTCTAGCATATCTATATCTAGATAATTTATTATTTTAACTAAGCTGATTTGTGGATGACTTTAGCGGCCAAGCCTCAGGCGATACCTTTTTATGAAAAAGGCGCTTACATCAGAAAACTAGTAATGAACTTTTCAAAATATTTATATATATTGTTAAATATGTAGGAAATAATATTTAAATAAAATTGCGAAATGTTAAAAAATATTTACGTGATATTTATTAATGTTTCAGAAATATTTACGCGTAACAGTTATAAAAATATTTTTCTCCGAATGTTCGTACAACATTTCATCAACCTTGCATTTATAAATGTTGATGTCCAAACGGCGGCGGCCTGACAACATTTTTAAAACATATTGTTTTATGTGGGTTAAACTTTGAGCTTTGAGTAAATTTTCGCGCGCTTGTAGAGAAAATATTTTTTCTACAAATGAAAACTCCGCCACCCATCGTTCGTTAACGGAGGTCGCGTGCGGAAAAGTAGCACTTTCCGCATTAGTAAGATATAGCAGAATAATTAATGTTGGTTGAAATTGTCTTAGGCATAGGTAGATTCAAAGGAGGCGCGGAATCCTTCGAAACAGCCAGCTCAAACTCCGAAACTCTAGACAGTCCGAACGGCGTCGAAACCAGCAACCAATCGCGCAACTCGAACGAAGGCGTCTGCCAATGGACGCTCAGCAATTGGGGACAGCGCAAGCGCAACAACTCGGGCTCGATACGCGTCGATCTAGCCAGCCCTGAAGACGTCACCTTAGACAGTGACAGCACTAGGGTCGTTTTTAGTACCTACGGTACCACGGTTTGATATTTAAGTCTTTGTATGTGATTGTTTTTATTTATTTTGTTGGTGCGCAAATGTTTTTAAGCATACTATGACATATTTCTTGTTATCTGGTAATTAAAAACGCATGCGCAGTTTATTTTACACCATTTAATTGTGTAGGTACTACTATACATATTATATTTATATAAACGCTTTAATTTGCTTTTGTAAAAAGTACATGTTTTTAATTAAATTCCATGATATTATATTATTTATAAACTATACTAGTTTACACAGTTGTTTTTATACTTTTTTAAACAAATTATTTTTTCTCTGTTTTTTTTTTATTTTCAAAAAGGGGCTTAAATGTAAACATATTTTATGGAATGTAGATATTAGGAGCGTAACATTAAAAATTTACCATTTACTAGAGTTTAATGCACCTAGATTCTAGTAATTTTTTTCTAAGAAAAAAGTCCAGCGCACTTTTTTATAGATTAAACACAGAATTTTATAGCCTTCAATTTAATGATTTAATGTCGATTATTTACAAATTATAATAGCAATAAATTATTTTATAGAGTGTAGCTATTAACTTGTCCATTTTTTCAAAAATTATACAAAAAAACATAGCTTATGAACTCAACAAATATATAAACGAATTTTTTAAATAGGAGTAACAAATTAAATTATCGTATTTTCAGAAATTTATTTAAAATATCCATATTTATTTATAATTATAATTTTTGTCCTTAATTATTAATATTCAACCTATTTACCTGTAAGCTGTGGTTCACAGCCTGTGAATATTGTAAAATTATATTTAAAAATATCTGCACTAGATTTAACTGCATATATTTTTAAAAATAAATCACTTTTAGTCCATAAATTATTTTTTGTACAACATATATAAGTAATTACAAAAATTAATTAACTGCTTACTTTTTTAAGTTAATTCTTGTATTGCTGTGAAATTTGCTTAAATTATGTTAATTGGTTTTAAAATATGAAGCATTTAAGACTGACTATGTAGTTTTATTTAGGTACTTACTTATCAAACAACAATATTGTGTGAATATTTATAAATACCTACCTACTCAAGATAAGTGTTTGCGTAACATTTAGCTCGTCTGGAGCGTCTTTAAAGTCTTTATTTATTAATAAAATACGCATGTGAGCGTTGTTACGTCTTATTTACTGCTGCAATTGGCACAAATCCAAAAAACTAGTATTTAAACAAAGTCAAACCACTAACAATATTTAACGAATAGAAATTTAATTTTAATCCTTAAAATAATGCAGTGAGAATTATTCTAGTAAATACTTGTTAAATTAAATTAATAAAAGGTTTGTTTATGGGTTTATTGAATTAATATGCGGGTGGTAACAAGTGGTGCGTATTTGGGCGCAATAGAGTTGTGTTTTTAAAAGGCAAGTAAAATGCAGGTGCATATGAATTTCACCAAAACACAAATGTCCTTGAAAATACAAATTTTCTTTAATTCTAAAGATCACATGATGGCGATATCGGGATCCAATTGGCTGGAGAGGAGCGTGCCCTGCGTACCGCTGATGCGCATTAGTGATTACAAAATGCCGTCAGAGTCTAAACCTTTGTTGACAGCTCAGACGGAAAAGCCAAATCATTACTCGTAAGTGTATTTTTAGTGCGTGTTTGTTGTTGTGACGTATTCCGTAGAAAATTCTGTGCAATTATTGTGGATTACTTGCTGAAATATTGTGTTGTTTTGTAGATATTTAAAAGAATTTCGCGTCGAGCAATGCCCGCTCTTCTTGCAACACAAATGTACACAGCATCGTCCATTCACCTGTTTTCATTGGCATTTTATGAATCAACGGCGACGAAGGCCCGTACGACGCAGAGATGGAACCTTTAATTATTCTGCAGACAATTACTGCACTAAATATGATGAGACAACTGGTATTTGTCCCGATGGAGACGAGTAAGTAAACCTTTCTTGGTTAACTTTGCTGTCATTTTTACAAACAGTGGGTGTGACAGTTGTGGCGCATTTAACTTTTACGACAAATTTATACGATTTAAACCTTTTAAATGCAAATGATGCTCTTGGAATAGTAAACAATTATATGCCAACAGGTTGCCAGGACCAATTTAGATCCATATCATGCCAAAATAATTGTTTTGGCATGTGACAGTCACAAGTTAACCCAACTTTTTATACAACAACAAACTTTTAGGCGTCAAAACAAAACTATACTTGACCTACACCAAATTATCAACATAAAAACGACTTTCTCAATGTTTTGATTACTCATTCAAACTGAAACTACAAAACTACACCCATTTTTAATTAAAGTTGTTAAACAAAGGAAAATAAAAATGGCCAACATAATTTTTCAATAAATAAAATAAATGTTGCAAATTATTACATTATTTTGTTTGGAATAAATTTTCTTTCAACCAAGTTAAAAATCAATATTACATAGGGTTCTCCCTACATGAAAGATAGGTCATTGTATAGACAAAGGAAATGCAAGTCTTTGTGTAAATGGACCAAAATCTATACTTTCAAAATGGGGAACAAAATAAATTAAATACATTTCTATTAAACTAAATATTTTTAAGGTTTATTATAAAAAAAAACAATTTAATTTGAATTTTTCTTAATTTTTGCAAAAGCCTTTCTATAAATTAGGATCTTTTTGTTTTTGGGTATTTCCATTGTAACAGGTGCAACAGTGACACTAATACAAAAATATAAAAAATAAGATACCTATTTAACTCAAACAAAATGTCAAGAACTTTTATAGAAAACCTTTTATAACGTCATGAATCGCGTAACAGGCGACGTTAGAAAATCAGCAAATGCGACCAAGTTGACTTCCAAAGTTGATCCTGTAAAATTTTGGAAGAAAGCATATAGTAATAATTTTTTGTATAAAACTTAATAACCTTAAACAAGCATGTATTTTAAATGCTCAAATATTGTATAGGTACTTTATTTTCTAAAATGTTCTCAAAATGTACTAACTGGTGCGACATTTGAATTTTTTATTGAGTATTGAACTCTTCCGTGTTTATTCTTAAAGTTAAAATGTACGAATATTTTAAGGTTAAAAATTACGTCGCAATTAAACTATTTGACTTCAGATAATTTTTTTTAGTTTTGTTAAATAACAAATCAGGGTTTTTATCAACGTGGGGTAATGTTTCGCTGAAATACCATTTTCAAAACTTATACAAGTAGAAAAATGTTTTATACAAGAATTTTATTTATTAATTGAAAACAGCTTTATAAAAAAGATCAAGAAGATCAAGAGATCAATTGTAAACATCAAATTTATTTTTTAAAAAAGTCGCACTTCAGTTTTTCCGAGGTTTTTTCGATTTATTTTCAATAACAACACGGAAAAAACACTACAGTATGTGTTTTTGGTGTTTTAAAAAGAGGTAGAAAAAAACAATATTATTTGAAATACATTTTACTCAAATCTGTTGCCACAAGAGAGAATGAAAATGCTGTTTCTTTCTCAATGTGCGTGTCAAAAATTACAAATGAAGTATATGCAACAGTCGTGACAAGACTCACAAATAAAGTATTTTAAATTACAAATGATAACTATTTAAAAACGAGGTGTTTTATTGCAATACTAAAGCAAATATCTCATGGTGGCAGCTAATAAACTCATAAACTAAATACAGTGATATAAAACTTAAAGTTAACGATTATAAGTCTAAAACCTGGAAATGACCTGTCTTACAACACTCTCAGAGTTGCACTTAAGGTCGTTTTTTCATTTGAATGTCTTCAAAATTTAATATAGGATTTTGTGAGGCATTGGACATTCAAAAATAATTTCAGATTTTTTTATAGCACAGATTACAAGAAAATAATTTTTAAAGTTACATTTGTTTTCATACGCCACAGTGTATTTTGTATATTAGCTAATGAGATTTCCATAAAAAATAAACTATGATATAATCAATTTTAAAGCTATCAAAATAATCCTATTTTGTTTCTTAAGTTTAAAAACAAATTTTTGAAATAATCATATATTATATCACGAGAACATGAATTTAATCGGGTAAACTAGGCTCAGTAGTTTTTTGTTTGGTTTTTGTTGGAAAATGTTGAATGCAAAATAATTTAATAAAATCACGAGACCGCGTAGCGGTCGAGGGGTTTTATTTTTAATTATTTTGCATGAAACTATTTTCCAAAAAGAAAAATCAAATAAAAAACTTACTGAGCATAGTTTGACAGATTAAATTTATAGGTTGAGTGATATACGTCTAGATTATTTCTCGAACTAAAGGAAACTATTTGACCATTCATAAAATCTGACGTATGTGTCAAAGTTTATAAATATTTTTTTAAAGAAAATTCCATTAATTTAAGGTATGTAATAAGTAATAATTGATATTTCGTAAACTAGATAACTTATTTTTTATTGTTTTTTAAAAAATGTTTGTTAAAACTTGTAAATAACACCATAAAATCGTAAACAAAAATCCAATATGGAGGCTAAACTTTAATCGATGTTTAAAAGGTCTAGTGATTTAATCGCTTATTTAAACGAAATTTATTCGAAAATTCAAGGCTTTTGATTGGTTCATATTATATTGAGGGAAATAATCTATGGAAAATCTGTGAATAAAATAACACTTCTGCACAAGTTTAATTCTCGAGAAGGATGAGCACTTTCAAAAGCGCTCATAAATGCTCGAGCGCTTATAAATAAATGCTCGAGCATTTACCAAAGTGCTCGATATTTGGATTTGGCGCCAACAAAATATTATTTTTTGTACTGTATAGTAAATGTGTAAATGTATTTTTATATAAACTTTACAATAAATAAATATTTATTCAAATGAACCTTGGTTAACTTGTAGTGCTATTAATATCTTATGGCGGATGACCTTGGGTGCGCAAAAGTCTCAAATCCGTCAAATCCCGCTATTACTCGCCGACCTAAAAACATACTACATTGGTTAAACAATGCTGATATTTATTGACATAATTAAAAGAATTTCTGGGCTATAAATTCTATTATACAGGGTGATGTAATTCATGTTATATATTAAAATGGGTTGTTCCTTGGGATCCATAAAGAAGCACCTGAAACTTTTTTTATCTAAATTCCAAAGACTAAAAATAATTTATAATAACCTTTATCCTACCAAAAAGTACGCCACTGATCGACTAGGAACTTTAGGCTAATCTGCTTGCCTAATTTAATTTATTATGTTATGGTTGGTAACAACAGCGTTTCCAAATTATGTAAAAAAAGTTGCCAAGCATTGTTTAAATTTAGCTTAATTACAAAAATGACTAAATCAACAATGCAAATTGTCAATTTGGAGTTTTTATTAATTGTCAGTTATGTCATTTTTGTACTGAAGGTAAATTCAAACAAAATCTGACAACTTTTATGACAGAATCTAGTGCATTTCTTTCAAATTTTAGGTTATGTGCTCAAATTGTAAATATCTTAACTAAGGGAAGTGCTTTTGGATTTATTTACAATATTAAATGTTTAAAGTTTAACCTGTGAACTGGTCCCAATTTCATCTGAGTAAACAGAAAGATAAAAACCGTGGAAAAAATTAATTTTGTGGTTATGGATTTTTTAAAATAGGTACTAAATTTTCTAATCATTGCTAATAGCTGGATGAGTAAATAAATACAGAAGGGTATTAGAGCTTTAAGGGCCTAAAACTTTTGTATTTATTGAGTTTTTCTTTATTTTTTGCAAGAAAAATTTTTAGTAACAATTTTTTACATCTGGCAACGCGCAGCTACTTTGTTGGTTGGTATCTATGTACTCACAGAACACAAGGGTGCAGAGATAAACCAAGTGTGTAACCAGTGGCGTATCACAAAAAATATAAAAAACTTCTAATGCATATTTTTTCTTTATCTTTGGAAAAATTTTTTTCCTTTACTCCTTATGTCAAAAGGTATTCAGTATTTTAATATATAACATTAATTTCATAACACCCTGTATTTGTTATAATATTATAGCGTCTCCCAAGGTCAACCAACATGAGATATTATATCAATATTAATATCACTCTACCTCTGTTTTGTAGGAATTTTTTTTAAAATTTTTTTAATATAATTTATATTTCATCGTTTATAAATGCTCGAGCATTTATGAGCGCTTATGAGCACTTATGAGCGCTTTGCAAAGAGCTTGAGCATCTTCCATCTATAGTTATTTTCCATAGATTTTTTCAAAAATTCGTTTATAATCTAGTGTAACTATAAAGAATAATGTTGAGGGCTTAGAAATTGATTATTACAGTATATTTTTTATGGAAATTTCAAAAATCAATTTTTAAGCGTTTTTTAAGATTGTCATTTTAAATTTTGTGCTGCCAACTTAAGAAACACAAAAATATGATGGTTATTTTTATAACAACAAATTAATAATTCATATTGTTACTTATGTTGTTTTTAGTTTTTAAAGATACGTAGTATTTTGTTAATAGGTGTTTTCGCGTTGCTTATCCCGAACTAGTTGCGACATTCTAAGCATGCGCATTTTAATATTTGTCATGCGCACTTTACATTTTAAACTCTAAATTTTAAAAAGAAAATGAAAACACAACGTTTTAATTTTACTACTTTGGCACCGATGAATTTGCTGTCACAGCCTGTTATTTAGGTATTTACCAAACTCTTCATGAACAGTAAACATTTACGCTCAGATATATTGAGGCTATGTTTTAAAACTGTCACACAGCCAGAAGAAAAAGGAGAAACGCATGCGCGCGATACGGTACCCTAATTCGGTATTCTGATCGTAACGGCATAATTTCTACCCCCACCACCGCTAGTTTTAAAACGTCTCAATTTTGAAAAAAAAAATATTTTCACATAAACCGTTATAGATATTTAAAAAGTTTTTGGTGTTTCAAGGGTTTAAAAAACAAGCAGGAAAAATTGTTAAAAATAATTTTTTCTGAGAAATATAAATTAAAAAGATACATGGTGTAAAAGTTATTAAAAAGTAGTCTTCAAATATCTAATAAACTCCTTGGTCAAATTTGATAAAACAATTTTTATTATTGATATTATTAGGGTTCGGAGGATATATATCAAGTGATATATAAAAAACCGAGGGGTAAATAAACCACTTTAAAACCTCAGAGACCAACATTCAATGTTAGTGGACGTTGTGTTGTTATTTTTTTTTCTTATTAATCGTTATCAATAAGGAAAACTTGCTTAATCAAATAATATAAAAATTCGTTTTAAAATTAAATGTTTTGTTATTTTGTAGAAGTAGAACCTAAGTTTTTGTTAATGTGTTTGTGTCAAAATATAGTTTATGGATAAAATAATGTATTTTTTTATTGAATAAAAAATCTTTGCCAATGATATACATTGGATATATATCTGATATATATCCGATATACATCAGATATATATCATGTGTTATGATATTTATATAAATATCATGATATTTTCGAACCCTAGATATTATAAATAATAGAACGTTCTCCAGAAAATTTGATTTCGATAAAATTCCCGAAAATTGTCTACAAATTTACAAAATTCCAGTAAATTTTGAGTATTTTAAGAATTTTCATTTTGTGATGGTTCGAGCTGTTTGTTTAATCTTAATTTAATTGTTCAATGCAAAATGTTTGGTTTTATTAAGCAAATGTGCCCAATGACACTGCCATTGGGTTGGGTTTTTAAAGTAACACACAGTGTGAGGCCAGTAGTAGGAAAAATAAAGTACCAAATTCGACTTTAAAAATGTATCAAATTTTCCTGCAATGTACCTTTATTGGAAAATCAAAATGGCTAACGACTTATACGTATACGTCTTCATGCCCAATTACAATCTGGTTATATAACAAAATAAAATATTTCGAATTATGTTCTGTTAAATGCAATAAACAAAGACGTTATTGGGTTTTTCAGTTTTTCCTCCAAAATTAAACGTACCAAAGACGAAAATAAAACGAATAAAGATAGGCAATTTAACTAACCGCAAGTTAAAAGCAGCAACTTTATTGAAAGTAGGCAAAATATTGAAAATGTATCAAAATTAAAAATTGGAAACAGTATTTTTAATTAGAATGTGAAACTTACTCGAGGATTCGTTTTTCAAAAAAGTAATTGAATAAAATATAATTTTGGATAATAATCTTTTTGGCTTTTTTTTCCTCATATAATATATTATTATGGTTTAGGCTTATGCTGCAACAACGGTTATAAGAGTCTTTTAATACTTGTTGCCGCATTGTTATTACAACAAGACGTACTTTAAAAATATTGACAGATCGCGCTTTTGGGAAAGAAGAATATTTTTTCTTTCTTTTTTCATATTCTTTTTTGTGTATTGAAGTGTTTTCGTGTATTGAGTGGCACTTTAGTCAAATACTCTTTAGGCTTCCCTCCCTCTTACCGTAAAATTTCGCTTAGCCCCCCTCCCCATTTAGGTGTTATGCACTAGGAAATTTTAATATAATGTATAATTTTGTTGTCCTGTGTAAATAATTAATTATGAAGTATTTTTTAATTTGAACCTTCAGCTGTGCCGTGGATTGCCTAACTTAGTGATTTTTTTGGCAAATTAAAAAATACGTTACGTAACACATGAGGCAACACCCTTTTCCCCCACTGTAACAATTTTTATTACAATTTAAAGATCTCTCATTTTTTTGCGCATCGTAATGAAATATTAGGTATCCTAAATTGCAAAAAAATTAAATGGAATTTTCTCACCTGTTGTACTAAATTTATAAATAAGTAAAGAAATTAAAAATAAATAAATAGTTTTTAGTCATTTTTAATCTTCAAACAAAATAAAGTGAGAATTATACAACTCTTTTTAAACAAAATGTTTCTTCTTCTTTTTAGTTGCCCCTATCTTCACAGAACCGCTGGTGATACAGAACGAAGATATCACTTGAGATATTACAAGACGTGCATGTGCGTTCACGACACAGATTCCAGAGGATATTGCGTTAAAAACGGGTTGCATTGCGCGTTTGCGCACGGTAGTCATGATCATAGGCCTCCAGTCTACGATATTAAAGAAATACAGGCCCTTGAGGCGTCAGAAGCAGAAGGTAGTTGCTCAGCAAATGGTCCAAACGCCTTGGACAAAGAAAGAAATTTGATGAACGAGGACCCCAAATGGCAAGGTAAGAACATCCTTTGTATTTTTAGGCTAGGTTTCCCAATTTGACATTTGAAGAGTTTTTAGGTTGTTAAGGTGCATTTTCATGTGTCGCTCGCACGCCATTATAAGTGTCATTGTCCCAAGCCCATATCCAGCCTGACATTTTAGGTTGGGCTGAAGGAATTTTAGGGAAGCTTTAAATATTACTTCATTTTTAAATTGGTGTATAAAAGTAGTAAAAACATGTTCATATTGTAAAGAAACAAAAATCTTACTTAAATTAAATGAAGAAAATCATCATTTATTTTTACCAATATATAGTTAAGTAATAAAAGTAAGTACGCCAAACAAAAGATTTTAAAACAATATACATGTTTATTGCAATTATACAGTATGTCCATGAATAGAGGGTTCAAGAGGACAAATGTACTAAATTTTTTATTTTTTTACCAAAAGTCATTCTTCATAAAAAGTTCTGCTTGTTTTAAAATGTCTATTGACATACTTTAAATTTGAAAATATTATACAGGGTGTTAAAAAAAACAAGAAAACATAAAATACTATCAAGAATAAACTACCTTTATTTTTCGTTTTGGGTCAAAGTGACAAATAAAAAAAAGATTTCAAATCCTATCCAAAGAATGATTGTAAAATTTCAACTCAGAATTCCAATTTTTATTTTAAAGTTTTAAAATTAAATTTCCAATTTCACGTATCCTTTACCTATGTATGACAAAAAAATGTCATACTGATATTAATTTTAAAATTTCGTTTTAAAAATATTTCAAACTATTCAAAATATGTCAAGATAAAATGTCTGTATTTTAAAGTTAGGCAAATATTTTATTAAAAAAGGTTGTTTATAATGTCAAGAAAACCTTAGATAAAAAAGAGGAACTTAACAAATCCTTTGTTTTAGAATGTTAAGGTAATTTTTTTATCAGGACTGCGGCAACGTTGCAAATTTAGGGTTTTGGTTGGTAAATATAGTTGTCAAGTTGGTCGCATTGATTAAAACAAACTAAGCTAGTTATAAATCTAATTGTGGTTATGTATAAATTATTGTAGGTTACATTGTGCAGTTGTAAAGTTGAGTTGTCGAAATTCGTAGTTAAAAATGCAATTAATTTGGCTTTGGTGGTGCTTGGATGAGTAAAATTATATAAAAAAGGTAGTTAAATATAGGTTGCTTTACGGCCAATAAAGAGAAAGTATTCCTAGCGGATAATAATCTTCGCTTTGAAAAGAATTTATATAAAAGAAATTAAAATTTTTTGTGAACGTAAATGTTGTCCAATGGTGAATAATGTGAAAATAATGTGTGATGTAATATTTATAAAACCAAATTCGTTACTTTTTTACTCCAAAAATGCCCATAAGGCAATGTACTTTTTCTTCCATTGTGGCATTTGGCATAATTTCATCAAAATGAAGTTTTGCCCTCAAAAGGGCTTTTACGTTCGAATTCGTTGCTATTTTTTTTGGCATAATTATCTTTTGACAAGTAAATTATCAATAATAAATATAATTGTCAATTTGACAGTGTCAAAGTATTTAATAATTAATTATTAAATTCTTTAGCAGAAGTACCATTTTTAAATACTAAAAATACTAAGTCAAACTGCCAACCTAACGAAAAAACATGAGTCCAGATTAAAAAAAAATAACTGTAGTAGTATTTCATGTTTTTTTGTTTTTCACACCCCTGTATAATATTTTTAAATATTAAGTAGTTATGGTCATGGACTTTTCAAAATAAACAGATCTTTTTTATGAAGAATGACTTTTGGTTCAAAAATGAAAATTTTAGTCCTTTTGTCCTCTTGGGCCCACTATCCGTGGACATACTGTATAAATAAAACAAAAAATGGGTTTAAAATTAAAACCACTAAATTTTACGTTTTTTTGTTGTTGTTAAACATCCTTAACAGTCTATTAATGCAATGTTGTTGGTAATTTTATGTTCAAATTACAAAAATGTAAGGTTTGCCTGTATTTGATGCAGCATGGATCTTTTTTGGGGTCTGTCAATCCTTGTTAATACAGACAAATTTGAAAGGTACTGCAGGCAAAAGTTGTATTTTCTGCTTTAAAGTTTCTGTAGGCGGGACTCGGACCTCTGCTCTGCAGCCCCCTGCATCATCCCTATTTATTGAAAACCACAAGTAAACAAACAATAATTTTTTTTGCAAAGAATAGGACAGCAACGAAAACTAAAAAACTAAATACGGTTTCTCTTGTTTAATGTTATTTTCATTTTACAGTTTATTGAAAACCACAAGTAAACAAACAATAATTTTTTTGCAAAGAATAGGACAGCAAACGAAAACTAAAAAACTAAATACGGTTTCTCTTGTTTAAGGTTATTTTCACTTGACAGTTATGTTGACGCTGATAATTATCGCTCCGAACGAGCGATTTTTAGGAATAGTTTTTATCGCTATCACCGAGTCACACATGAAATAGCCGCTTTAGGAGCAAATTTGACATATTGAGGTTATTCGAGTGTCAAATTTGATAGGTAACCTAAAAGTTTGACAGATGTCGTTGTAAAAGTACGGTTTTTGATTAATTTTTGCTCTAAAAGCAATGTTTCTTTTAGACACAAATTTCGTTTTATCTAATTATAAAACAGAGCCCTGTAAAAGACCGCCTAGGTTGTGTAGACAAGGTTATGCCTGTCCTCAATATCACAATAGCAAAGATAAAAGAAGAAGTCCTCGGAAATTTAAATATAGGTAAATAGATTTTTTTTAATCGTCAATTTTTCTAAACATCGAATTTATAGATCAACACCTTGCCCGAATGTAAAGCACGGGGAGGAATGGGGTGAACCTGGTAACTGTGATGGTGGTGATTTGTGTTCATATTGTCATACTAGAACGGAACAACAATTTCACCCAGAAATTTACAAGAGTACCAAATGTAATGATGTACAACAATCAGGGTATTGTCCCAGGGGCGTATTCTGTGCATTTGCTCACGTAGAACGTAAGTAGAAAATAATTTAAGCTTATTTTGTAAGGATAAAATGTATAGATTGATCCAAAATATTTCACATTAGGTTAAAAATGTTTGGATCAATCTAAACATTGGTTAAATGGTCACTAACCCCAGTATATAACCCATGGTGCTAAGATAACATCAAATAATATCTCTGTTCTGATTGGACTAAAAGTTGGTTTAAATTAAATTGCTGGCGCAAAAAACGTAGTTTTTTGTGTTGGAACAGAGTTCAATGTTAAATTTTGTATGTTTCTTTTTGAAATTGCAGAAGAGATGGGTGTACAAAGAGATACAGGTGACTGTGGCACAAATTTAGCGGAAATCCTATCAAACGCTCTTCCCATCGACAAGAACAAAGAAAAAAGTAGTGATAGTTCAGTAAGTTGAATGATGGATTTGTTGACAAAAAACATGTGCTACAGCAGTGCAATTTAACAGACTATTTCAAATTGCTTTATCATAAAATATTAAAAAATGTCCCTTAAAAAATATAGATTATCAAAAAGGTTTTCAATAGGCACTAAAAACAATTATGTGATAAAGCAATTGTTTAACAAAATTGGATGATTGCATGCATTTAAACTCTATAAAAAGTTCTAGTCTGCACTGAGAAAAAATTAACAAAATACAGTAAACCTCTCTAAAAAATGCTAAACTTTTCATATAAATAGAAAAAACATCATGCAAGAAAATTTAATAGACGCATAACCGCAAAAAATATAACACCATAAATAGATCATCGAAAAATTAATAAATCCAAAAAATGATAAATTGGTAAAAATTAGTAAATATCTCTATTAGAAAATCGTCGTGACTAAATTTCATAAAATATATTAAAAAATACTTGAAAAAGGTAAATAAACATTTCAACCAAAAGCCAGATCCTAACAGGTCCGTTTGTTAAACAATTTTTTCATCTGAAAAAGAAATTTAAATAATAAACAAGCATTCGCGAATATCATTTGTTTAAAAAAAATGAGACGAAAATTCCAACGAAAGCAAGCGGCTGATCCGTTTAAGAAATGTTTACTCTATAGTTATACAAGTTTTCCGAAAATGGCGCACTAACATAATAACCGCGCTATTGGGGTAATATACAAAAATTACAAATAAATTCTTGTAGTTTTGGAGCATAGTGCATCCCGTGGGATTTTTTATGAAGGGAAGATGAAACTACCTGAAATCAGTTTTTTATACACAAGGCAGTAGTGTATTATCGGGTGTTTTGTTTAAAAATGTGTCAATTTTTTATGACGTCATTAATCCGATACCTAACTGTTATTTCAGGTATGCGTTTATAAAATGTCGCATAATTTCGTAACTAGTTGTCCTATCAAAAAAAAATTATATAATCTCTTAAAATAACCATAAAAAAGGAAAAAAAAACATTTAATCTCAAAGAAAATATTGGCTTTTAAAACTGACATATTGTTATATTTTTATATTTTGCATGGATCGATTTGGAGCCATTTTGCAAGAAATTTGAACTTTTATGAGCTGTAACTCAGTTATTTTTGATTCGATTAAAACGATGTTTTTACCGTTGGATGCGAAATTTAACCACCTTTCAAACCATATATCGGATTTGCCATACCCTTTCGATGCTGATTTAAGTAAAATCTTAAATTAAAAACAAAAATATACCGTCGTCTAGGTGAATGGCCCAAATAAGAAAAAAATAATGAAGTTTTTTGTTTTTATCGCACCAAAATCACCTTTAAAATTTAAAATAAAGTTTCTATTTTTCCTTGTAAAACAGTGTAATACATTATAATTAACAGGAAATGGTAATTAAATAGGCAATATTTTAAAAGAAAACTGTTAAAATTAAGTATTTAGAAATTAAAAATGCTTTTAAATTCAATAAAATACTATATAAAATCAAATTTAAAGTCAAAACACAATTTATAAGCAACCAATAAAACTACTTAAATTTGCTAAAACAGTTTTATTTCAAAAAAGTCACTGTTGCTAGAGGCTAAAAAAATTGATGGGCTATCAAATTTGACGGCCCATGAAATTATACAATTGTTTCGATACACGGTCATATGACAATGAAACAATGTCAAATGTAATTTATTTCAAAGGGCACAATAAAATTAATTATTTGGCATTTTATAAATGAATGTCGTAAATGGTGGACATTTTGGATTAGAAATGCCATAAACACCACCAGACATATTTTCAAGGTGAACACCCGGTACCACACAACTCAAAAAGGTATATAAAAGCTATCCCATATAGTCCCATCATCCCTTCATAACAAATCCCACGAAGAATATTTTATTGCTTTATGCTCCAGGACTATTGGTTGTTTTTGAGTTTTTAATCCTTTTAATACCTCAAAGCAACAAGTCTACACTGGTATAAATAATATACCAGTTATTACATAAATAAGAAATATGTAACGTTGTGGCCCTACTGGGCAAATTAATATACTCCCTAACTGTTCATTTCTTAACATTACTAGTGGGCGAATCAGCATTTCGCTCACGGGCTGTAGTTAGTTTTAAATTAAAATTCGATATAAGGGACGTTAAAACTGTCAGAGATGTCAGATAAAATTTCAAATAAAATTGACTTTAAATTCCTGGAGCCATAATTAATTTCGATCATTATCGTTATGTGTATTTCTTGCGGTAGTTGAATAAAATATTGTGGCGAACGCTGAAATATTTCACATCTATCTAATAACGGTTTTAATGGAAACAATTCAAATAAGGCCTTTGACAGACATATTTTATGTCAGTTTTCGTCAAAAATTTAAATCATAATCATCATAACTTTGTTTTCATAAACAAATTTTGACTTTTTGTTATTTAACCTTGGACAAATAAAGGTACGTGTAATCAAACCGCTGGAAAAAACTTCAAAACCAGTAGCCATCACATAAGTTTCATCAATGAAATCGATAATGTAAATAAAGGAAATCTGACATTGTCAACCTTAAGCCTTATTTATAGATTGTCTTCCTTCCTCCCTTCCTCCCGTAAAAGATGAACAATACGAAAACCGTAGTGCTGTTTATAGATTCCCGTACGGGATTGTATTGTTCATCTTCTACGGGAGGAAGGAAGGAAGGCGGTCTATAAATTAGGCTTTTGTCAGCAGTTTAATGTATAATTTAATAATTAAATTAAACATAATTATTATAAATAATATCAATCTAAATGAAAGACCGCATATTTGTTTATATTGGAACTGGTTTAACAGATACTAATTAAAATAAATCGATTTAATACCCTATAAAGCAAATTTGAAGTGATTTATAATATAGATTTTTACCCGTGAAAGGGATTCCAGGCTCTTTCTTGTTACTATAACTTTTGCAACCAAATGCAGAAAACCACCATTCTATTTTAATATTGAATCCGATGTCTTTTAATTCCTCTCCAAGCAAAAACACAAAACAAACTTGTCAAGTCGACAATGACATTTGGTTTCACATCTGGCACACATCTAGAATACACAACAATTGGCGTTACTTGTCCACTTTTTTAATATGTCTATGCTCAAAACATTAAACTAATTTTTTATACACCTTTATTGCCTCTATCATGTGGTATGGTGTTAGTGAGTCATTTTGGGGAGAGGTTTAATAAAAATGGTAAAAAGTGTAACTGACTAATCTTTAATTTTTACTTTTGCACTATACTTTAATGGAACATATGTCATATAAATTACACCGACACAAGAATAAAACAGATTTCTGGTCCAGTAAATTTTGAAAAGAATTTACTTTGTATTTAGTGTTTATTCTTGGTGTGGTCGCAAAAACAAATAATTCAAAAATATTAATTTTGTAACATGACATGAAAATGGAAAGAAAAAAAGTAAAAACATGGTGATGTGATTTTAGAATGGCAGTAGCGAAGTAAGCGAGTCTGCGTCCACGTCGTCGCTAGGTTCGAATAGTTCGCATAGCAAAGCGCCCGGTTCCCAACTAACCCACAAACCATCCCCGTTCCAAAGACATCCCACAATATGCTTAGAATTAACCAATAAATTGTTAGCGATCGAAAAGGACCCGACACTAGGTGAGCAACAACAAAAAACAAAAAAAAATCGACGAAAAAAAAACAACCGCTGATGAGATTTCACGAGACATTTCATGATTTTGTTTGTTTTTAATTTTGGTAATTGATGTTTAAGTACTATGCTCCACATATCAAAGTCCCACCACGTGACTTAAGGTTTTTTCTATCAGTGTTAAGCTAATTTCGTGTATTTTTTGTGTTCTATTTTAAGTAGAGATGGGAATCGGAAAGTTTCCATTTTAAAGAAAGTTTCCATTTTGGAAAGTTTCCTGTAAGAAATTTATTTTCATTTTGAAAGTTACCGGAAACTCCCTGTTTTTTATGTAAATGTCAATTGTAAAAGGTAAACAAAATAAAAATCATTTTAACGTTTTTGTTGTATATTTATAGCTACAGTACAATGCCAAGAGGGAAATATTATATTTGGAATTATTACAAAATAGTGCAAAAAAAATCATGCTCAATGCAAGTTCTGTAAAAAAAATATATGTCCATAATGCAACCAAAATGGTCAAACATATAAAAAGTGTCTTTGTGCCCCACAAGCAGTGTTGTAGCAGTTACAATATTTTCAGTATCTAGCTACAGTTACAGTTACTTACCAAAATTTGTAACTAGATACAGATACAGATACATATTTTATTGCAGTAACTAGTTACAGATACAGTTACCTTCAAAAAGTATCTAGATACTTTAAGATACATACAAATTATTTTTTGCTTTAAAAAATTTAAAATAGAAATAAAAGGGAATTTTAAAGTGACAACAAAAATATACATGTTTATTATTTTTATTTTTTTTATAATATTTTATTTAAAATAACTTTTTTTTTTAATAAATAATAGTCGCAGTTTAATTAAAAATGTATCTTTGTATCTTAACACACCTAGTTACTTAGAATTTGTAACTAGTTACAGTTATAGTTACTAGATTGGGATAAGTAACTAGTTACACAAACAGATACATAAAAAGTATCTAGATACTGTATCTAGTTACTTGTAACTAGATACGTTACAACACTGCCCACAAGATATCTTATATTATAAGATTTTCCATGCAAGTCAAGAACAGAGTTCATTAGGTAGCAATGCTGGTGGCTTGCCAGTACTAAACACAAGAAGAATTTGTTGATAACAGAATAAATTGGAAGAACTATTTTCTTGATCAATTTACTCTAGCTCTTGCTTCTTTAGTTTAGTCAAAAACCCTGATGTTTTTAAGCAACTACATTCAAGTTTAAAGCTACCTGGAAGAAAGAAATTAAAGTACAACATTGCTTAATTTTGAATATGCTAGAATCCAAAAAGTAGTTAAAGATAAAGTACAAGCAGCTGATATTTTTAAAAACGATCACTCAGGCTCACTCAAACGTTGATTGTTGATTTTATTTTGCCTGTAGTCTTTTTTTCATATTTTATTTGTCAGAAATGCAACACCTTTTGATATTTGTATATGGGCATCCAATATTATTTATTTTTCCAATCCTCGTGGCACAAAAAACTCCGCAATTTTTTTTTTAAACTTGGTGGAAAATTTCCGGGAATTTTCGTCAAATGTGAATTTTCCCATCTCTAAATTTAAGACATTTATACAAAAAAAATACATATCAATAATAATAAGGACGAAATGGGCTTAACACTGACAGAAAATTAACCTTAATTATTTTTATCAAAGTCACGTGGTGGGACTTTGATGTATGGAGCATAGTACCTACTAAATTAGTTTTTTTGGATTTGCCATTGAAAGGTATAAAATGTAATATTTTTAAGGTTAGGGCATGGTATAAATTTATGTCATGGGCTAGGGTGTATTATAGCCTGAAATTTCCAAGTACTCTATAGTTTTAAACTTCTGCTCCAATTTATTTAATAAAGCTGACAAATTAGGTTGAAATACAAAAAATATTGTTTATAAAAAATAAAAGAAATAATTTGTGAAAAAAAAGTTATATTTAAGCAAAATTTAAATTATTATATTCTAAAAATAATGTCTTATGGAATCTCTCCCCCCCACCCACAATTTTTATTTGTATCTATATGTTTTTACAGACGCGATAGAAAGGGAACAAAGGAAACAAAATTTGTATTATGCTTATAGCAATTTAGGAGCTTCGTATTTCAGTACGGGGAACGACACCATGGAAAGTGTTGTTGGTAAGTGGAATGCTTTTTAAAACAAATTTATTACAGAAATGTTATGCCTACCAATGAAAAAAAAAAAACATTAAGATTATATTATTTTTAAAGTTCCGTTAAATTTAGACCACCCTGTACTCTGTACGCTAAAATTATCAATGAAACGGGTAGTGATCAATAAGTTTTAAGTGTAGTTTGTAGATTATTATATTAAGGTTCTAATCTCGAATTTTTCTTGTCATTTAATTTCATTAGATGCCTTGGTAATTAGAAATATTTAAACACCTTTTTTAAGGATCTGATTTTGTGTCAGTAATTTATTTATGGAATTAACATTTCAACCATGTTTAAAAAGGTTTTTGACCGAATGAATCCGAATCTACCCCCAAAATTTTTTATCACAAGTTTTCAAGAAATTATTTGTTTCTTTGTTTTTTTAAATCAAATTTGAGACCTTTTATTAATGAAAAAATTTTACTTGATGGAACATTTTGGGAGGCATGGAAAACTTAAATATATGTATGTAATTGATGAAAAATGATATTTTTAAAGAAAGAATCCTATTTTGACAAGAAAAATTGGTAGAACCCCTAAAATTTGTTTCACCTTAAATTCCTTCTGAAACTTGTAGGTAACGCTCTAGATGAACTTATATTGGAAGATTTGAATTTATCCACACTGGACAGGGATTCCGATTCGCCCAATGTCTCAAATTCGATATCCGTGGGGCTCGCCTCGTCCGCCGGCCTATTGGGCAGTTCCGCCCCTGTAAACATTCCAAATGCCAGGGCCGCACTTGGCGGTTTCAGCCCGACAGGCAACAGTCCCCTGCAACCGTTCCTATCTGCTGCTAGGTAAGAAAAAGAGGTTAGTTTGTTCAAGTTTTATCCTAAATAACTAAAAAATAAACAACATTACTTATTTCAGATTAGGCTTGAACAAAATTTAATTTTTTTAACCAAAAGTGTAATTTTTTAATTTTGCATTTATTTGTGTATTTTTTGTTCTAGGTTTTCTCAGTCTGACATAGACTTCCTACACAATTCTCAGATGCCACTCAGTTCTAGCGCATCGAAAAATTACCAATCGTTTTTTGATTTTCAAGCGCAAAGCATATCGCCCAACTCTAGGAATCACAATAATTTTAGCATGTCGCCTAGCGTCAATAGCAATTTAGAGGTGGCCAGGTTAAGAGAGGAACTCAGCTCTTGCAGGTAAAAATATTTATTTAACTTCAATAAAGAAACCTAGTCTGTAAAAATAATTTAGACCAATTGGGTAAAGTTTGTTAACGCCTAGTTTGTAAAAAACTGTTTGGACCATTCAAAAAATTCGACTACATTGTTAACTCCTAGTCTGTAAAAAACGACTACATTTAGACCTAATTTAACTTTACTTTCTACTTTTAATAATTATTATAAAATTTTAAATGTTTTTTTGCTTTGCTCAATTGCATTCAAACTTTGAGCTCACCATAAAAAGACTCACTTCTCAGCATTTGAAATAAATAACTATTACTCATTCTTTTTTCTGTACGAGAGCTAGCGCCTTATACGGGAAACGTGCAACCCTAAAGAGCCTCTGAATAAATCAAGAAATAAATGTATGACGTTTATTAAAAATCGACAAGTATTATCGCAAACCGATATTAAATTCGGTTTATGCCAATTTTAAAATAAAAAATAATACTTTCAGATAGGCATGATGAAAATTACACATGTTTTTGCTTAGTTTAAAATTGGTTTAAAAGCAGGTACATTAATTGACAAGAATTTCTTTTTATTAATTTTACACAGGAAATTCGAACACTGCGACAAATTTTTAACAAAAAAACATATTTGGGTAAAAACAAAAAAAATCTCACCAGAAAAACATGTCATATGAGAGATTTTGTATCAATTCAATTTTTATACAAAAAAATTCTTAAAATTATTTAAAAAAAAAACGTCCTGCAAATCTTATAACTTAAAAATCCTATTTAGTAGATATAAAAAGCAGGTTCTGGACTGGCTTATCAGTGAGGGCGCCAAAAATGGCCGCCCATAGATGCCCCCGCCCTCTCCTAATGCTGACGTCACGAAGCTGTTTGACCCACTTCCTGGTCCAGAACCCGCTTTGTATATGTACTCTATTTTTTTATTGAATATAAATATGCTTAAATTATTTTTAAATGAATTATTAAACTGAATTATTATTGCCTATTGAGTTGCTTATAATTTTAGTAATAATTAAAAAATAATATTAGCCATAAATGGTTAAATGACAATTACTTTAAAAGCAGTTACTGATTATTTGGATATTCAGAAATTAAAATAGAACAATAATGTTATTATATTTTAATATTTAATAATTAAAAACAAAAATACTGTTAGTTATTTTTATATTTGAAAATATGATTAAATATTTAGTTATTTAGTAATCAATAGCCAAATTATAACTAATCAGTTGTATATTTAATGATTAAGAGTAAAAATATCACAAACTTTTTGTATATTTAATATTTAACATCAATAATTTACTAAATATTTTGATATATATTTTTTTTTATTTATTTAGTAAATATAACACTGTATCATAGTTTAACAAAACTAAATGTTTTAATATTTAATAATTAATAATGACTATGTTACTAATTACTTGGATGTTTAATAATAAATATAATTATTAATGTTAATTGTTCAATAGAAACCTTACTAAATATAATGAAAATCCGAAATATTACGAATTAATTAGATATTAAGTAATTGACTGCCAGTATATTCGTAATTAATTTGATTACTGAATTTTTTTTATTACAAATAAGTTGGACCAGAATTACAATGTAGGGAGGTGAAAATATCACAGCTAAACGCTCGTACACGGAAACTTAATCCCCCCAAAAGTCGTCGTGGCGGCCTTTATGGACAACACCATAAAAACATAACTTTGATTAAGGAACTAAATTATTTTTCTATAAAAACCTAAGAATAAAATTGATTTATTACAAACAAAAAGCCGATTAAAAAAACAGTACTTAGATAAAATAATCAGGGTTCCCATTTGTCATAAAATTTTTAAATATCATAAAATTGGTTAAATTGTCCTAAAATGTCATAAAATTCACATTTTGTCATAGAAATCATAAAATTTCATTATTTTTTAACAATTTTCTCACCTTTAATCTTTTTTATAAAATGGAAATTTTGTAAAATAAAATTTAAAGCCGGTCCTGTAAAATAAAACGTAATAAAATGTTTTAAATATGGCCTTGGTTGTTGACGTATGAACTTCATACTATGAAGGAAAAAGAAGTTAGGTTAGGAAATGAATTTTAAATTTGAAATAAATAATGAGAAAGGTAAATTTATTTTTATACTATATTACTTTGGCACAAAGAAGGACTTGAAGAAATTGATACTATTTTGGCAAGTAAAGAAGCAGAGTTAAAAATAACAAGAAATATTATTTCTGAAGGAAATAAGAAATTATCGAAGTACCTTAACAATAACTACATAACTACTCTTAAAAAATCTGTAATATTGGAGGCTCAAACAATGATTAACATGGGTCTAAAAAAGCAAAAAAAAATAGTACCTATAGGTATATACACTATTTTTTTTTGCTTTTTTGAGACCCATGTTAATCATTGTTTGAGCCTCCAATATTTCAGATTTGTATACCTTTGTAGTTTTATTTATTTTGAGATTATAAAACCTATTATAATAAAATACTAAAGTAACATATATTAAAAATATTATAGCAGAAATATTTATTTTGATGCGAGAAAAAATATTTATTTTTATATAATAAACCGTTCAAAAATTACATTTATTTTATTAAATAACTTTAGAAATAATAAATTCTTGTCATAAAAAATGTCATAAAATTTGAAAAATTTGTCATAAAATCATAAAAAAAAGTAAAAAACAATGCTGGGAACCCTGAATAATTATATATAATTGATTGACAATCAGTGATTGCTTTAAGCCTATAGAGTCTAAGGTGAGACCAATTATATTTACAAAACTATATTTAGCCTTTAAATATAACATTGTGAACTATCAAATTTGCCTGTTTTAAATAAGATAGTTCAACTATTTAAAGCTTTAATTAATTAATTTAATTATTTATTAATTATGAGTATTTTCATTCTTTTGTTTTTTTTATTGTAAACTCTTTAAACAAAGCTTTGCAATACCACATGTACAATTTTCATTGCAGACTCCAACTGAACAACTGGGAGGAAAGACTGGGCCAAGCGCGCAGCGCATGCGACGCGTGGCAGCGCGAATCCGAAGACTTGACGCGCAAAACGCAGCAAACGGAGAGCAAACTGAACGAAACCCTGACCCAATACAACTCTCTCAAGGCCGAGTACGAGAACCTGCAGGGCGGACCGCACATACGCAGCATAACGAAAGTGAGCGAGCTGTCGAAGCTTTCTCTGAGCGTCCTGAAGAACTTGCACGCGCAGCTCAGGCAAGATTTGGAGGAGATCGAAAAGGTTTTGTATCGCGAGACCGCGTCCAAGTGCATGGTTTGCGAAGAGAAGAATCGCACCGTCACGCTCAATTGCAATCACTTCGTGCTGTGCGACGCGTGCGCGGCCACGCAGAACGAATGCCCGTACTGTCAGACGCCCACCAACTTGATCAGCAACATGTGAAGATGCGATGCTTAGGCTTTGCAAACCAAGCGCCCCGGTTTCCTTATCATTTAAACTGAACCTAAACCTTACAGGATGCACCAGTGTCTCTTCCATGTTAGGGAATTTGAAGAGCTACAAGGTAGGTTGCGTAATTACGAGTCTATTCAAATGAAAAAAAAACTGAAAACCTGTCCAAACCTGACCTGATCAAAAATCGTCATAACTTCGTAATTCCTGGAAATTTTGAAAAAAAGTAAGTTTAACACGTAAACATACACATTTATCTTTATTTTCATCAATATTGTGATTTTTTTGGTTTTTCCTATGGCTGGAATTTTACAATTTTACAAGGAATCCAAACTATACTAGACTGAGCCAAAAAAATCATCTATTTTTTTTTTTAAAGTATATCGAAAATATGGTTTGGGGCGACAAAAAAAAATTATTGTGAAAGCTTGAGTCCATAATAGTAATATTAAGAGGTCTATCATCGCAATTTAAAATAGTACATTCTGTAACAAGTTTGGAATACAGCATATTCCGCTCGAGGAAAAATTTGACACACGAGCCGAAGGCGAGTGTGACGGTTTTACGAGAGTGGAATATGCTATTCCAAACGTGTTTCAGACATTATTTTCTCTACGACTACGTAAGAATAGTAACGCTTATATAATTTTAAACAGAGAAAAGAAACCAAGCAGTTTTTGACATTTAAGTTTTTGTATTGTCAAACCATTTTGTGCCGTCACAATTTTATAATGTAAATTATAATAAATTTAAACAAATGGTATGCCTAAATCTTTATTATAATTAAAAATAGTTATTTACATTAACTAATAAAAAAATAACATTGTTACAAATCTATGTCAACATCTATTCTTTTTCTACATTTTAAAGGTCTTTTTTTAACTTTTTGAATCTGTCAAAACTTCAAAGCCGGTATAGTAGGTAACTGGTTTATCATTTTAATATCAAATTTATTATAATTTTGATTTGTATATTTGAAAAACAATAAATATTTTTTGTGCCTAAACCTTAATTATACAACTGCTATTATTTTTTAATTAATAAATAATACAGTAATATTTAAATATTTTTAAATTTTTTACGTTTAGTAAACAGCCAGGAGATGTCGTTACTTGTGACCATTCTTAAACAAGAGTAGGAATATTCTCGCACAGTATTGCAGAAAAACATCCTTTCTATGATCAAAAATTACACTAGAATGTTACTATTCTTAAGTAGTCGTAGAGAAAAATTTTTCCTGAGCTAGTTTTTGTCTCAGAACTCCCAAACCATTGAGTTTAACAAAATTGACTTGAAAATATTTTTTTAAGAAAATTAAATGCTCTACAAAAAAGGTTAAAGTGAAATTTTTCGTCAGATTAACCGTTTCCTTAAAATCATGCCTTAAAAATTGGTATAGTTTTACATTTTGATCTTTTAACTTTGGAATTTTGTAATTCATGTAAAAATCAGTACCCAGAAAAAAACCTATGAACAATCTTATGGGAAATCAAATGGTTATTCAAGGTTAAAGTTGAAGTCAAAACGAAATTCTTGTTTTTTCCTCAGTAGATTTAATTTTTTATGGATGATAATTTGATTTTTTTCTTTATAAATGTGTATTATATAACTAATTAAAAATTTCCAATAAAAAAACAACATGATTGTTATTATTTAAATGATTAAGTAGGTAACAGTGAAAATAATATTTTCTAAAGAAAATAGCTTCTTAAAGCGAAAAAATTCGAAAGAGTTATTTTTTTTTAATTTTCAGTAATTTTATCAATAACATAAAGATTATCATCGATAAAAGAATTCAAGTATTTAACTGACCCCAAAAAAAAATCTAGAGCGGAAAAAACAAGAATTTCGTTTTGACTTCAAATTTAACCTTCAATAACTTGATGGAGTGAATTTAGCCAAAAATGTTAGGAGACTTTTTTTGTAGAGCATTTGATTTCCCATAAGAATATCTATCAGTTTTTTTTTCCGGGTACTGATTTTTCCCATTCCAATCAAACCTTTTTTGTAGAGCATTCAATTTTCTTTAAAAAATATTCTCAAGTCAATTTTGTTAAACTCAATGGTTTGCGACTCGCTCAGGAAAAAAAATCTAAAATTGCGATGATAGACCTCTTAATATTAATGTCATGGACTCAAACTTTCACCATAATTTTTTTTTGCACCCCAAACCATATTTTTTTGATATACTGCGCCTCAAAATTAACGCATAAGTAAAAAAACGCCTTTACCAATCTTTATGAATTTTTTATAAAAATGCTTTTACTTATACTTAGGAACTTATATCCTAGTTTACGTTTTCGATGGTTTTTCGAGAATATATTTTTAAAGCCCTCTTATTTAATAAAAAAACGTTCGAAAATAACTTTTAAGGATTTTTTTAAGTAAATAAAAATATGCTGTTAAAGACCGTATTTTTGTTAGTTACCCTGAAAATGATGTACAAATCAAACGAACAGTAACGAAAATACAGCGCTTCAAAGTCGTAAAAAATGGCGCTTTTTTGATTATTTTACTGAAAAGTGGTCATTTTTTACGACTTTAAAGGGCAGTATTTTTGTTACTCTTTGTTTGATTTTCAGGGTATACCAACAAAAATACGGTCTTTTACAGCATATTTTTAATTTATTTTAAAAAAATTCCCTATAGAAGTTTTTTTTCGAGCGTTTTTTATAATTAAATAAAAGGGCTTTAAGGATATTTTCTCGAAGAACCCTTGATAACGTAAACTGAGTTATAAGTTAAAGTATTTTTATACAAAATTTTATAAAAATTGGTAAACTCGTTTTAGAGTTGATTTTTTTTTACTTGTTATGCGTTAATTTTGACACGCAGTGAAGGTTATGGCGACCATCATAAAAAAGCGATGGTCTCAAAATATCGTAGCGAAGAAATGTGATAAAAATGTAGATAAATGTGAAACCATGAATAACAAATTTATGGCGATTTTTTGTTATGACAGGTTTTAATTTTTATCAAATTATTTGAGAATTGCTAAATTTTATTTTAATTGGCTGTAATTACGCCACTTTTGTCTGATATAGCCAACGTGGTAGCTCTTCAAATAAAAAAATACACATAATATGTGTAATATACATAGAAGAACACTTAGTGCAAACATAATATTATGTATACACAACTGATTTGAATCTATAATATTATTGTAGATTCTTATCTTTCCAATTTGATAAAATAACAGGATGTTATAGTGTCAAGATTTGAGAATTCGCAAGACCAATTAAGGGCCTTACAAAATAAATTATGAGTAATCATTAATTCCTGGCCTTAATATTTAAAAAGGTGATATTTTTAACCAACAAAATGGTCAAAAACCTAATCTAACCACATTTTTACGCAATGGTTAAATTTAATGTAAAAAAAAAACAAATAACGACCATTGATTATTTTTAAACAAATTTAACTTAACATATATTCCAACACAAAAAACTAAAAGTCAGAAACATGAACTTGTGCCATTTTATTTATTTGATTATGTTTTTACATTTTTATTTGTAGTGTCCCAGGTTTTAGGTGCAGGACTTCCAGTTCACTAAAGTAAAAAGCCCAATTTTTCAAATTTGAAAAAAGTATGTTTAAAAAAACAGGTTTTTTACCTGAAGAAACTTCCATATGTATTAACTGAAATAGCGTTTCACTTTTTGTTTTTATGAAAAAATAAACAAAACAATTTACAACAAAGACCAGTGTCGCCATCTAGAGTGTCTTAAAGACACCACAGTAGCATACAAACTCCAAGGTTGAACCAAATATATCCTGAAAAAAAAACAAAAGTGCCGCTTTGTTTATTTCTAAAAAAACGCTTTAAAACCAAAACTTTTTTTTTCAGTTTACATCACTACTGCAATATTGCTTTTTATTTTCTGAAATATAATAGTTTAATTATCCAAATTTGGTATGCATTTATATATTAAAGACGATGTAAAGTTTTATTTTAATATTTTACTGGGTTGCTACTAGAGATTCAAAATTTCCGGAAAAATTGAGTGTCGGAAAAAAACCCTGTTTTTTTCCTGGAAAAATTGGAAAAAAACGGAAATTTTGGGAAAAATTGATATTTTCTTAAAAACTAAAAAAAATGTTTAAAAATATTTTAAATATTTTTTATAATATTTATAAATTATTTTGATTAAAAAATTCCCGTTATGTATAGGCGCCCCCCGGGGGAGGCACCTGTAGGGTCATGCTTTTTAACGATGAAAAAAGCCTAGTTGCCTAGTTGCCAACGGCCGTAATTCACATTAAAATCATTGTTGTATAGGTAACTATTCAAAATACACTAACCCAGGAGTTAGTCGCATATTCAATGATTTTAACATCACAATGGCAACCCTGCCCGATCAACTGATTAGGAACCGACACGTCGGACCGATCGTCGTTCGTTTACAGCGTTACGGTAAGCATAAAAACATTTATCTTGTATTAAATATACTTTTTTTATTGTACCCACAATACACAATGGTATGCTTTTTGCTCAAAGCACAGACTTCTGTACTACTGCAAAAATATATTTATTTAATTTCCACTCATTAATACATAAATTATATCAAATCAAAATACTTTTTAGATTTTCGTTTTTTTTTTAAATATTTTTTCAATTTTTCCGTTTTTCAATTTTTCCAAGGCTCGGGAAAAAAACGGAAAAAAACACTGTTTTTTTCCAATTTTTCCTGTTTTTTTCCGAACCTTTATATCTCTAGTTGCTACTCTTTCCTAATCATCTTGTCTTTTACCCAACAAAAAATTTTTCTTGAACTCTGCTTTGTCAATATATTATGAGTGTTTTCGATTTTTCGTTTAAAAGATGAGAAAATTAAGTAAATGGCATTTTACTTAACTAAAGTATCTAATAACACTAATTTATATCTCAATAAAAATATTTACAAGTTATAAAAAACTGGTGTTGGAGTTAAATAATACCCCTTTCACAAAATATTTTTTAGAAAAAAGTATTTTTTAAAAAGTTTATCTTTTTTATTTTGGAGGATATTAAAGAAAAATTTAAAAAATATTCAATATTAAAAACATCTCTGAGTAACTTTTTAGTTAAAACAACTTTCTACATCTGCTGATGAATTCCTGCTACTAGAACCTGTGACAAAATCTATATTTTTGTAGGTATTTGACATGAACGGTATTGACTGTCAAATTGTCAATTTTTGATCAAATTAATTATTAATAATTAATTTGTCTCCTCACTTATGTATGTATATAAATTATGTTTAAATGATAAAACAAAGCTTGATTATGCTTTTACTAATTTTACACTAAGCACGCGACTAACTAAAGGTCAATAGTAGAAAAAAAGTATTATATTTTGGATACTGCATTTTTTTAATGTTGATTGTAGCACACTAAAAGTCAAAAATCCAACCTCAAAATTTCATAATTATAATTATTTTCAGTGAAAGTTATGAAATTTTGAGGTTGGATTTTTGACTTTTTTAGTATGCTACAATCAACATTAAAAAAATGCATTATCCAAAATATAATACTTTTTTTCTACTATTGACCTTTATTTAGTCGCGTGCTTAGTGTAAAATTAGTAAAAGCATAATCAAGCTTTGTTTTATCATTTAAACATAATTTATATACATAAGTGAGGAGACAAATTAAAAAAACAAAGAAAATTGTACTGGGTGGAGGGCTATTTAAAGCATAATCAAGTATTCTGTTATCATTTCAACATAATTTTATATTCAGAAGTAAAAAGGCACATAAAAAAATAACTGGAATGAAAAAGACTGTCCCAGTATATCAGCTGTAGAAAAGAACAATTGCGACTAAAAAATGTTGATGGGCGGAATTTGAGAATTGAAGAAAAATGTTAGCCAAGAACTTCAAAGTGTTGTTGGCCCCACGCGAGTAATTAAAGGTTATTTTATGTATGTAATCTGATACCTAATTACATTAATTATAATTTATTGTTTAATTATTTTTATACAGGGTGTAAAAAATTCAAAATTTAAACAGTATTATTTTAGGTTGTTTAGTGTGCATGTTTGTATGCGATTTTTTACCCTGTATAGTCTATACTTTGTATGCATTTTATTGCTTATGTGCAAAATTATACATTCCACTAAATTGAATTGAGAAATTATTATTAACATTAAAAATGCATTCCAATAATTTTAACTTTATTATAATATTAATATTTATTATATTTTATCTTTTTACAAAATTTTTGTTTGTACTAAATCTTGGCACTATGATATTTATATTAAATGTGAATAATTAATTTGAAATTAAAACAGTGCCAAAAATAGTAATGAATGATGAAGCAACTAGGGTGAGTCGATTGCAATTAACAAATTTTAAATGGATTTATAAATCTAGGTTATTTTTTCAATTACTTATTTTGTAAATTTAAACGCGCTTTTTTCGAAAATCCTTTAAGGTTTTTCGGAAAAAATGCAATTTTAAGTTATTTTAATCCATATTATGAACGACCTTGTAAGATTAAGAACATGAAATTGTTTGTTTTATAGTTATTATTATTATTATTATTTGTGATTACTTATTGACCAAAATGTTGGTGTTTTTGATATGGATTATTTTTACAAAATTATTTTAGTTAGTTAGGGTTTTTCAAATTTATTAGTTTTATTAATTAATTAATTGCTGCACTATTAGAGGACATATCAATATATTTATTTATTTAGAATTAAAATATATATTTTTATACAAAGAAATTAATTCCCGTTGTGATGATTTATTTTTAAGTTTTTTAATAATTCGACTCTTTATAAAATTGTTAATTATTATTTTAAAATTATGTATATGGAAAATCGTAATCCAAAATATATTGAGACGTAAGTGATGCTTTAAGTGCAGCATTCAATGCAGTTCAAAATACGTTTTTTTATCTTGATAAAAAATGACTGACATAATTGTATTTATTTATATTTCTTAGAATTTTTTTAATTGATTAATTGATTTTGGCATAAAAAAATGAGTGTAGGATTTTAAAACTGTTTGCTCCTGATATTATTAGTAATTAAAGCAATAATATCAAATGTGAGAATTTTTAGATGTAAGTTTTTGATATACAGGATGTTGTAAACATCCTTAATTGTGTTTTTATTTAATTTTACAGGGTTATTTGCTAAAATATCTAATAAAACTATCGAGCTTTTTTGCAAGGTCTAAATCTAAATATATTTTTTCTATATACCCTTTTTATTATAGACATGTTCCTATATTAAAGAATAAACCATGACTTGTCAATTGAATATTTTGGGCAAATGGTTTTAAACAAATGATTTTGGCTACAAGAAAGAAAATACAATTACGAAATATAATATACTAGGTAGTTTTTAACAAATAATTATTGAATTATAATAAAAGTAGTGGGCCTATAGTTATTATATAAACTCTTAGAGTCGATAGTATTTACATAAGTCAAAAAAACTGATTTTTTACATGAATTGATTAACTTTAAGGAAATCATAAATATCATATTTTTTATAACGCAAGAATAGATTTGTAAAAATTATTTTCTTATGGAGTAAAAAATGTAAATATAATTGGTACTGAAATAATACAGAGTCTGCTAAACAGTTTTTTTGGCTTATATAAACCATAGAATATGTTTGAAAAATTGTCTTTTAAAATAATATCTATTTGTCCATTGCATACCTACTTTAGACATTTGTTGTATTTTTAATAGTTGTTTAAAATTTTAATTTATTCTGTATGTAACAATTTGTGTATTTTAAAATCTATGATTAAACTAGAATTTCAAATTATTTTTATTTTTTATTTATTTTTGCTATATTATTTTTATATCGAAAAATTGGCATAAAAAATACAAAAAATAGCAAGATGCAAGAATTTTAACATTTTAATAATAAATTATTACTTAAGAATTAAATTTTAATGGCATTTAAAAATGCGCAAATTCCATAAGTACAGTTAATGATGTCAACAATTGATGTAAATTTAAGAGTTTGTCTTTTTTCTTAAATAATACTCAGAACAATTAGAAAACCCAAACTCTACATCAGTTTTGTTGGCATAAAAATGGAGTACAAATCGTAAACGGAATTTCTAAAATATACCTAGAAAGTAGTTTTTGGCAATACTGTGTGGATAAAAAATAAGTAACTATAATAATATTTTTAAAAACAACTAGTGTGAGAAATATGTGTCGTTTGAAAAATTAGATTTAAAATCAAAATTATGTAACTATTAAATATTGCTTTTATATTTATTTAATTTTAATAAAACCTAAAATATCAAATATATTGCTTTACTTGAATTTCATTTTCAGGTTATCCAAGGATATTTTTTACCTGATCTACTATCCTTGCAGTTTGTCCAAATATATTGTATAGCATTTATTTATCTTATTTTAATAGTATATTATGTTTACTTTTTAAACGCCATTTTACGAGTTTGATTAAGCACGAGCGAAGCTTGGAAGCGAGTGTTTAATAAAAACGATTGTCTAGAGAAATTTATAAACGAGTTGCATACTATACTTTATCTACGATGAACACAAAACAGAATTAAAAGCCAATTTTATGTTAAGAATTTAACATCTGTCAACTGTCACCCAAATTTAACCTGACTTTTTCCCAATTTATTATAAATTAGTTGGCTTAAGCTAACTGTTTCTAACTTCAGCCTGTGACTTTAGGTCGTTTTAGGATATGTTCCGTAAGTCAACTTGGTTGGTTTGGTTTCGGTTAAGGTGTCCCGTAAATGAAAAATTCCTGTAAATTATGTAGTTAAGAAACGCGGTTCCTGAAAAATAGGTTGACCAATCGTTACCGAAACGACCGACGCTGTATGATCGGTTAAATCGGTTACCAGTGCTGCAAACCAAATGGAAACAGTGTTGCCCTAAACAAAATTACTGTTTTTTGTTGGTTATCTAACCTAAAAATTTAACACAGGAGCAGACTTCGCCAAAGATAATATCTTTGGACTTCGCATACAAAATACGTTTTGTCCAAAAATAATTGAATTCAGTATATAGGGTGTTTTAGGTTTGTTTATGTAACTATAGAAATATTATTAAAAATATATGCAAGTTGTAGTTTTTGACACAAATAAAAGTTTCAATAGAGATTTTAAAGAGTAGGTCGAAAAAGTAGGTTGGGTTATGTTTTTTCAAATAAAGGTGTCCCGTAAATATGAACTAACCGAGAAAACCAGGAATTTATTTCAGTAACCAGACCGGTAACTCGTGTGTATTTACGGAACATACCCTTAGTACTAAACCGCCATAAAGTCAAATTTAATGTAGAAGTAGATAATAGTATATTATGTATCTAGTTTAATAAACGCCATTTTAGGCATTATTAGGCACGAGCGAAGCTTGCGAGCGAGTGTTTAATAAAAAACGAATGTCTTGAGAAGTTTATAAAACGAGTTGCATACTATACTTTATCTACGACGAACATAAATAAGAATTTAAAGCCAATTTTATTTGTTAAACAATTGACACCTGTGAACGGATTTAACCTTACTTTTTTCCAAATAATAATAAAGCTAACTTCAGCCCGTGACTAATACGCCATAAAGTCACAGATTGTCAATAGAGTAGTTAGAAAATTAATTGTAGGTAGGCACTTTAATTCAAAAGGCAAACCACTGATTTTTTTAAAATTAAAAATCGCATTCGAATTTATGGCTAAGGATAACAATTACAAGGGTAGTCAAGCGCAACGCGTCGCTAAGAGAAATTTCTTATTGAAAAGGATTTTTCCTTATTGATAACGACTGATAAGGAAAAAATCAGAACACAACGTCCACATAACGTTGAGTGAAAAGTACATCTTAATCAATGGTAGGTATTACCACAATCCACACATTGTGGGTATTACAATACCTATAGATTACTCAATGCAACGGTTGACCTTGAATTTATTCACAAAACTTTCTTTTATATGTAAACTCGAAAATTTTATTTTTGTTTTTATTTTATAAATATATTAGTATCTACATACCTACATTATAAAACCAACTTAAAACATAGTTTTTAATTATTCCTTAAAATCACACATTTTTTCTATATTTAAATAAAATGGTAAGTTGTTAAGTTAATTGTAGCGTGTTATTATAGGTACATGATTTTGGAGTGCTCTGTATGTTTGTATTTATTGAATGTTAACTGATAATATTGTAATCACAATAATAAAAGCGGATAAAAAGATTAAAAAACTTTAAAATATAATAAAATCTTAAGATAAATATTTTACAAATATCGCTTAAACTTACGTTTCGTTGCAATGATATCAAAAAACTAGCATATTCCTAGCAATTTTCATCTTATATTACATGTCTCTAAACACCCAACGTTATAAAACCATTTCCCTCCAAAAAATCCCATTCTTAAGAACATCTGTGCCAAAAATCATCATCTGTCATCCCTTAAATTAGCGGGAATCCCTGTTTAAAACAAATTCTTAAGCACAGATTTTCAAAAAAATTAGGCCTTTCTAAGGAACAATTTTCGACCAATCACGTGCGACCTTATTTCTGCCAATCGCGGCGCTTACAGCGTTTCAGCTGCCAATGAAATTACTTCTCCAAGCGTCAGTTTGACTTTCACATCGCTGTAGAACGCATCAACATTTATCACTGTTGAAAATTTGAATTGAATCGGTAAGTTTTTAAGGAATTTTTTATTGAAATTATTTTAAAAATATTGCCTTTAAGTTGTTGAATAATTTGAAATAGTTTTTTGGGTTTGTGGGTTTAGATTTCGCGTGTTTTTAAGGGTTTTAGATTTTGGTTTTTCATTGTTGTGTTATAGAGGCGTCCGCCATGTTGTTATTGGTCTTCGTGTGAGTCATATGTTTATTAATTTTAGTTTTCGTTGCATTTGAATGCTTGATTTGTCAATTTTTGTATAAAAAAGGCGTTTTTGTTCTTAAAAATCGTTGTTCGGACGATTTTTTCGTGTTTTTAAGTGCGCAAGGTCGCGTTTATTTTGGCGGGAAGTAATTAGAGTGCATTTTACCTGCTTCAGATAGAAAAACAAGATGGCTCGTACCAAGCAGACAGCACGTAAATCTACGGGAGGAAAAGCTCCTCGTAAACAGTTGGCTACAAAAGCCGCCAGAAAATCGGCCCCGTCCACCGGTGGAGTTAAGAAACCCCATCGTTACCGTCCCGGTACAGTCGCTCTCAGAGAAATCAGAAGATACCAAAAGTCTACTGAATTGTTGATCAGAAAACTGCCCTTCCAGCGTTTGGTAAGAGAAATCGCACAGGATTTCAAAACTGATCTTCGTTTCCAGTCTGCAGCAATTGGAGCTTTACAAGTAAGTTTTTTCCTACTCTTGACCTAATAAATTATTGCTGATTATGGATAAATAATTATGTTTTGCGCATGTGCAGTTTAACAACCTACCATTATTTTAAGACAAAAAATTGACTGTTGTTTTTTACTTATGTATTTATACATATGAAGGTTATTGTTTAAATAAAATTAATATTAATGTTTTAACTAAAAAAAGGCTAAAATAAAAAACCGCATGTTTGGTAAAAAATTACCAAGATTTTTATCATGGTAGGTAAGCATTTTCTAGGATAATTTAAAATATTAGGTTGCCTACATTGGAAATGTAGCGTAAAAATGATTTGATTATATAAATTATATAATTTATAGGTACCTATTTTATATTATTTATATCATGTTTAAGTTTTTCAGAGTTCTGTAAAATCTTTTGTTGTGTCATGATTATTGAAATTTATTAGCAAAAACGTTACTTCTACAGGAAATTTTATGAGTGCTGTTAATCTAAGGGAATTTCCCCAAATGGACAAAGAAATATTCGTTAAATTACATTTTTGCTACCTTTATGGCTACTTTTACCAAGCGGTAAATGTGAACACAATAGGTGCTTTCCCATTAACCATTTTGAGCCCAAATGAGTGCAAGATTAATGGTTCCCATTGGGAACGCAAACTCAAAACCCAAGGCTGCATTGCATGCTCAAAACAGCAACTAAGGGGTAAACTACTCTAAAGCTGACCTTGGAATAGAATGAATGACAATTTGGTTTTCCCATACATGAGTGTCATTCATGTTTGACACTAGCTTGTTAAAGTTGAAGTTTAAAATACATTTTTTTTTCAAGCATACACTAATTTTCATATTATAAAACTCACAAGTCTATATAGGAAGACTTTATATTAATACGTTCAAAGTCAAATTATTTTTAAACTCCATATAAAAATAAAGCTAAAATGTCATGTCAGTTGAACCTAACCTAAAAATATGTTACAGAATCTTAATAAATTATTTTATAATATGCTTGAAAAAAAATAGTATATAAAACACAGGTCCGGTCAATTGGCCTGCTAGGTCACTTGATTTGACACCTCTGTATTATTTCCTTTGGGGTTTTATCAAGGACAAAATGATAGCAATTGCGCCTACAACATTAGAGGACATAAAGGACAGAATCCGCGTTGCCTGCTCTAATGTAACACCTGAAATGTTGCAGAATGTACGGAACTCATTTAAAAATAAATTTGTTCTAATTAATACTTTTTGTGTTATTGGTAATTTAATTAATCATAATTAAAATTACTTTCCATGTTTAACTGAATAATAAATTGAGAATTAATCATCAAAATGTCAAAATTCTTGTCTAACTTAGATTAAAATAACGCGTTTTTGGAAATACACAACAACTTAACAGATTCGATAAGAACATTGAAATTATTTTTTAGTATTTTAACATAATAAATCATAACTCTGTAACCAAAACAGCAAATCAATTTTTTTTTGCATACCGTAAATACGGGTGACTTTGCACCCCGCGGGTGACTTTAACCCATTTATGAAAAATCTTTTCGCGCTCGATAAAATTAACATTTATAATTTGTTGGTCTAAACCTGTCAATTGAGCGATTCTATTGAGTTTATATTACAGGAAAATCAGTGTTTTAAAGAAAGAAATGGGATTTATTACACTTTAAAATTGTATATATCGTATCAGTGCAAAACGCGTTACAATTTCTATATTATGCGCAATCCATTGGAATGATGATCCTTGGTTAACTACAGGTCGATTTTTTATTTTTTTTATTGGTAATCCCTTGCAATAGATATATGTCGCTGCTAACACGTGTCTAATAAAAATAAAATATAATATTACATTCATTTTATACTGAAAAAACACTGTGAGACAAAGTAACCAGGGGGTAACTTTGCACACCCAGTTTTTAATGTTTATTTTTGAAACTCAGCCCTATGTAATATTATAACATAGTTATTATGAAAGAGCAACTCAAGACTCAAATTTTGGTATACAAAATTTAATGTTTATGATTCTTAAAACCACAAAAATTTTAAGCTGAAGTTTGAAAGTGAGCCAAAGCCACCCGTGTTTACGGTACATTGTTTTATATGTAGATTCGAATTTTATAAAAAAGTACATTGTTCCATTGAAAAGTTACCCCCCGCCCGTCAAAATTGGGGGGGGGTAAATTTCAATATGTCCAAATATGTCCCCCTGTGTCCTCATTACTTCACCAAAATTTCACAAAAAAATATTGAACCGTTTTCAAGATGCCTTGTAACACTTTAAAAAACTCATGTTCTATTATTTGCAGCGGCGTACGCTGCTTTAATTAAAAATAAAGGAACAGCGACAAATAATACTATTAATTAAATTAAACTAAATAATTATGCGAGAACACCGACAATAAATGCTAACATAGCCTGACATTTGACGCGCAAGTTTGACGATTTTTTGACAGCTCACTAGCAAACATCAATGCGCAAGCATGTATGACATATGTACATGAATGACACTCATGTATGGCCAGGTTAGAATCAGCGAGACAAAGTTCAGCGTTATAAGGACGTTGTGCTCTGATTTTTCCTTATTCGACGCTTATCGAAAGGATCCCTTCCTTGATAAGAAATATATACCGAATTCGCACGTTTACCGTAGCATATACACACAAGATTATCATTTTTATAGTTGACTTATTTAAACTAAAAATCCTGCTTTTTTATTTATCGATATTTAATTTTTAATAAGCATAATATAATATTTTTTTTATTATATTATAGGAAGCCAGTGAAGCCTACTTGGTAGGTTTGTTTGAAGACACCAACTTGTGCGCCATTCACGCCAAGCGTGTCACAATTATGCCTAAAGACATTCAGCTCGCACGAAGAATTCGTGGTGAACGTGCTTAATTTTCCATCATATATTTATATAATCATCATAGGTTACGATGTTCATTTTTCATACTATTCTGTCCTGTCTGGTAGATTGTAGTTTAATTATATTTTATTAAAATATAGCTGTGGTTGATGTTTCTTTTTATTTAAAATACACATTTATAATGATTTCGTTGTATTGTTTTATATTAGAATTAAAACAACTTTTACATAATATGTAATAAGAAAATGTGTTCAAAACAATGTATTCATATAGTTCAAATTTAACTTCATTTGATTCTACAGGAAGAAATGGCAAAAATGTTTTATTAATAGACTTAAGTTTGTGTTGATAAAGTTTAGTTTTTAAGTTTTGTAATATCTAGATCAAGGATTGCAAATTAAATAAATTTCTTGTAAAATATTTATTTTTATTTGCTTTAACCCTAACCAGAAATCAAAAATAAGAAGGTAAGTTAAAAACTTTTATTTATGACCTTAACTTTTCTTAAAATTATAAAATTTATAACAAACTTTTTTATTGTCTATTTACAACCTATATAATATGATAATTATATTAATATAATATATTGCGGCTGAAGGACTACGGTCAATAGCCTTTGAACTTGGTTTTAGTTCAATAAAGCATTATTATATTATAACATATTATGTTGGGCAAGTTACCACCTGTTGGGTGGGAGCACGCTAAAAAACAAACGCATGTTCTCAGTAGTAACCATAGATAATAAATAATCCTAGATAACCATAGATAATAAATAGTCCTAGACCTTCGGTCATCTATGCCTAGACCAAACCTAGGATCATAGTAACATACGGATGCGCAAAAGGCTTGTGTGTCTAGTATCTGCCTATTATATATACATATATATATTATATTATTATTATATATTTATTGACAATTGCATTTTAATTCAGTTTTTCAGTGTTCTGTATTTTCAAAACTTCACTGAAATACATAAGAGTATACTCTATACGCCTATAGGCGTTACATGTCCACTGTTTTCTATGAGATCTTGAATTTGGGGTTGTCAAACTTAAGGGTGTCAAATTCAAAATTCATTATTTTTTTTAAGAGACCTGCTTAATATCTTTAATAATTGTTTAAGAAATCAAAAATGAAGTATTTAACGGAGTTTTGCTTTATAATTTTTGGTCTGACGATTATGAAGATATTGTTTAAAATAATTGAATAACAATGGAATTTTGAAAATCAAGAAAACGTCATTTAATTTTAAGTCATTTCGGCTTCGTAAAAAATTTCTAAATTTACAGTGTTTTTGCCATAATATGATAAAGTTTCTGCTCTTATTATTATTAACTATTGCCCATGTAAGTAAAGCAATATTCAATCCTACAAAATAATTTTTGAGATTACAAATTACAAGTTGTAATAATAAAACTTTTATGCAATTACATATACATGTCATGTAAATTAAAATACAAGAACCCTCAAACTTGATATTGAATCTTTTACAAAAAGAAAAATTTACATTTAATTTATAATATTTATTATTTTAGTTTTATGACATTACAAGTTATCCTCGAGATATAGAACTTCCTTCAAACTTTGATATTGAATCATTTTCAACTGAAAACAACAAAGATTTACATTATTTAACATATAATGCAAATAAAGTTAATCCTATCGAAAAAGATGGATCTTCCGAAATTATTGAAGATTATAATGAAGAAACACCTATACAAAGTGAGGGCGATTCTACAGCTACAAAAAATCTTGATATCGAAGGGTCTATTAAAGTTAAAGACCAACAAGATGATGATAAATTCATAGATGAACTTTTAGAACAACTAAATAAAGTGGAAAAAATAGACATTAAAGAAAACCCTAAATACCAACAATTATTGCACAAATTAAGAGAAATGAAGTGGGTTGAAAAATTTGAAAACCTAATGCCAATTATTATATCAATAAAACCAAAACCTTAAAAAAAAACAACGTAACTTGTAAAATAATAATTTAATAAACTAATCACACAAAAACTATATGCTCTCCCTTTCTTTCTGGATTTCTTCCAACCTCTTTTTAATAGCTGATGTATCCATTCCTCTCCCTTGATTATATTCCAATGATGCTCTTAGTTGACCTTCCTCCAAACCCGCTATTCGGCTGTATAATGTGCGCGTTAAGTCTTGATCTACATCATTTTCTTCTCGTATCATTGTAAAATATATTAAAAAAACTGCTATACTGCCAGTCAAAACGTAGGGTTCATACCATAATCTGGGCGGCTTTCCTCCTGTTCTACTGTCTTCTGCGCGCCATCTAATCGCGGGACTTTTTGTGTACTTAATGGGGCCTTCCTCTATGTCGTACTCCTTTTTAGCTTTTGTGGAGTAATTTAGATACTTTGTGATTAGTCTAAAAAAAGATGTTGGTTAATTTGTGAGTTAAGATAGCGAGTTAACCTTTGATTTATGCTATTTGTTCTGAAAGTAGGATTGCAAGAGTTCATTAATAGTTTAATTGCAAACATTTTAGACCAAAATGTTTTTGAGGTTAGATTGTTGACATACTTAACGTAGACAACTTCGCTTATGTTCTGTGCAACTTCGCACCTAATAAAAATGCATTTTGAAAATATCTGCCCAACTTTTATTGATAATCTAGTTATTTAAAATACCATGTTCAACATTAAAAGTTTGATTTGAGTTGATGGTTGAGGATAAATTAAATAAAATCTACAAAACGTAGCTCTATGGTTACTAAAACAGTTATACCATTTCGTTAAAAAACCCTAGTAAATTCGGTTTTTCGTAGTTTTTCTATAGTCAAAAGCAGGAACAGCAAAAAAGGTAAAATTATTGTAATTTTCGGTGAGTAAAATTTCTTTTTTGCATGTTTTATACACCTACAACTAAGCAACTAGGTAACTCTTGAAATAAGTGGTTTGTTTAAACTTATCCTCACCTTCTAGTTGAAAGTTGGGTAGGTGTCAAAGAAGTTCTTTGGTAGGTGTTATCTTATCATTCTTATTACGGTAACATCTTATCTTATCATTCTTATTACGGTAATAATAACAAACACTCCAAAGGCTAATTTTGCCAACTCAAAAACCCCATCTGAGTTCATGTTTTTCGTTACCTACTTAAAAATTTTGAAACTTGACATTTATGAAAATGAATAGGTAGATGTCACAGCATGGTTAAATGTATCAACAGGTTTTGAATATTTAATAAACCAATACAAATTAATATTGATTGACAAAATGTCACTAAAATGTATAAATCTTGACCTGGTTAAAATACCTACATGTTTAAACTCACCTGCCAACACAATCTAAATTGGTGCACCTCCCATGCTATCTTATCATTTTTATTACAGTTATAATCACAAATACTCCAAGGGCTATTTTTGCTAATTCAAAAACCCCATCTGAGATCATTTTTCTGTGTAATTAGTAATTTTGAAGGAGAAACAGCTTGACAACTAGTTTCTATATTTGTCGAAATGAATAGAAATTACAATTGTCAACCAGTTTTGGCACAGGAGTTAAGTAATAAAAAAAATCATATTTTATTAAAATTAAATATAACATAACAAAAAATTAAAAAACTAACTATAAAATTCATATTTATTGATAAACTTAGTTATTGTTTAATTCGGTTCAAATATGCTTGCCACAATATATTTTTGTAATTTAAGGCAGCAACTGCAGGTTGATTGGATTGTGTTATTCCCCTTCCAACCACTGCAATATCTGCGCCTTTTTCTAACACAATAATTTCAGGTGAATTATATTGTTGCCCCAAATTGTCAGATTTTGTATCAATTTGTACACCAGGTGTTAATTGTAGAAGACCTGGATTATTTGTTAAGGGGTTTTGTGATACCAAACCCACAATCAATTCTGGGTATTCTTCAGCTAGTTTTAGAGTTTTTTTGACGTAGGCTTCGTCTATCAAGTTACCGGCGGCACTCAATTCCGCCAATAGGAAAACACCGCGGTTTTCTAAGCCTTCTGCGCCTTTGATAGCATCCAACACTCCCTTGCCGCATAAACTATGAGCTGTAACTAATTTTGCCCAAGATGAGATTTTGTATACCCCCTTACTATACTGCAATTCCACTGTTTTGCCGATGTCAGCAAACTTTCTATCTTCAAATAAAATAAAGTTGTGTCTGTCAGCAATTTCTTTAAGGGGTTTAAGGAGGTTTTCATGAAAATCATCCACGATATCGATGTGCGTTTTTAATGCGCATATGTGTGGTCCAACTTGTTCTGCCAGGTTTAGTATGTCAGTTGAGTTGGTTAGGTCTGCAGCCACGCACAGTGTAGTTTGCTTGGATGACATTATTTTTAGTAGTTCTGTAGCTACAAGGTTTTTGGTGAATGGAATCCTTTTTTCAAAGGATAATTTTAGTCTGTCTAAAAAAATAAAATACTGCTTAAAATTTAAGCCTAAAATTATAAGAAACTTAATTAAAATGTATAAAGAAAGTATATGTGACGCACTTTTTTTAAGAAATAAAAAATCAGGGAATTAATTATTTCACCCATGGGTGAGAGTGCACTCTTAGAGCAGGGCCACGAAACTACATATCCCTTGTAGGTCTTAAATAAATTATTATTATAGCAATCATAAAAAACAATTTTTTTCTCAGTTTTTAGATCAAACATCCATCCACAAATAGAAATATGTTTTCAAAATTTATAGAAATGAAAAAATTACATAAATAGCTACGCAAAAATAAAGTAATATTTAACTACAGATAAATAAAAAAAATCATAAAAATATATTTATTTAAATAGAAAAACATTAATAAATAAGAAATAAAAAAGAATACTATTGACCACGAAAATAGTAAAATCACAAAACCCATAATTTGCAACACTAACCACGACAGGTACGTTTAAAAACCCTAAGTGATTCTTACAGCGGTTATTTACAGGAAAGCAGAGAAGGACAATAAATTTATCAAATCAAACGAGTAAGTTACTAAACCCATTAATTTCAGAGGACGGCCCCAACAAAATAAAGTGTTTAAACTAAACGAGACCAAAAAATAAACATTTGACACTTCTAAAATCTAAACGAACATACAACAAATTAAGAAAATATAGTAGAAGTCAAAAAAATACCTTCCACCGGTAACTGCCTAATAGCATCGATTGCACACCAACTGTTCAACACGGACATAAGATGTACACATAAATTTGTAAGTTCATAAATATTTAAAAAAATCTCACCTTCAACAGGATCCTTTTTAAGGATATTTGAATCAACTTGCGTGCTAGCCAAATAATCCTGAACCTTTTTAACCATTGCGTCATCTATACATTTAGCATTTTTCAAATACTGCATCAACTCACTAATGGTTAACAAAGCGTGCATTTTAATACCGTTACCCTCCAAAATTTTGTCACCCCCTTGTTCTCTATTCAACAAAACTATTGCATCTGTGCATTTTAAACCCGCGCCTACCAAATCGTTAACTGTCTCCAAAATACTGCTGCCAGAAGTCACCACATCTTCAATAATAAGGCAACCATCGCCTTCTTTGTAAAAACCTTCAATTAGTTTTTTGGTACCGTAGTCTTTAGCTTCCTTTCTGCGCATAACCATTGGTATGCCAGTTTTTAGGGATACCGCGGTACCTATAGGTAGGGCAGTGTATGGTACGCCGCATAGAAGGTCTATGTTTTTTATGCTGTGTAGTTTTTCTGTTAAAAGTTCTGCCAAAGTTAGCTGAAATTAAAAATATTGTTTTGAATTTTTTTTCCGCAAAATTTTTGGAAAATATTAGTACCTACATTTCAATTAGAAATTAGTACCTTAGCGAGAACCCTTGTATAGCCTTGTTTATTAAGAAAAGAAAATAATAGCGTTTAAATTGCGGGGTGTCCTGAAAATGGCGCACTTAGTATACCACGCTGTAGGGGGTTATACAAAATTTACAAAAAAAAATCTTTTGATCCAAATCTAAAAATATTAATTATAAGTATCCGTTGTGATTATTCTTACTATACAGGGTGTCCTGAATATGGCGCATTAACACAATATGTCATATCATACACATATGTAGATAGGGCTAATCAAGGGGCCAATATAAATTGAAGTCCAATTTAAAATAACAAATTTGTTTTTTAATTGGTCAATTTAACATTTACTTTATGAAATTGGCCCTTGTTTTTTGCATTACCGTTATAATAACATTTGTTTTTTTACATATATGATAAATTCTTAAATATATTTAAGAATTTATCAAGGGGGGCCAGTGCCCCCCTTGCCCATAGGTATGGGCAACCATGCACTTTAGTAGTGAGTGTTAAAAATAATAAAGCAAATTATTATAAGGAAAAACTTTTCCCAATTGGTATGAATTATTTTTAAAGCCTAGGCGATAATCAATCACTTTAGTAGTGAGCAGTGAAGTAACTAACGTCCCCGCAGACCCCGCATTGCGGGGGGGCGCCAAAGATACATGGGCGTTGATGGGGTTGATCTGCAGGTTTTTTTACACACATATATATATAAAGTGGGGTTACATAGCTCAGAGCTGTCATATGTTATCGAATTTTTTTATTAGTTCTAATGGGTTTTTTACAGACTAGGATTTCAAAAACTTCTTTTGGTTGGTTGACAATAATATTATTATATATTATATATATACCTAGCTTAAATTATAGAATGGTGAATTCAATTGAAAATAAAAATATTTACCTAGTTATTTAAAAAAAAGTTAATTTTAATGAGATCTATTGCATTGTCCATAAGGAGTAGAAATACCCTATATACCTAGTTTATAGTTATTAAACTTAAATTTTGCTTACCATTAATTTGGGGTAGCTTACAATCACCCTTAAATCGCAGTAAACCGGTGTCATAATCCCAACTTTGGTTTTATACTCTCCAAATTTAACAGCATTAATTTTGAAAAGTTCCACAGCAAAGTTGCTAAGTTTTGTGTTTTCGTTCGACATTTTTTTAAATTGTTTTTAATAAATATAAACCACTTGTTGATCGTGACACTAAATGAGGTTAGAACACGTGCTTGCAGCGTTGCCAAGCAAATATTTGCTATAGAGCTGCTTTATCTAATCTATGTAGAGCTGTATATTTGTTATAGGTATGCAGGGCTGTGTGCTGAACTCACAATCCACACATTGAGGATTGTGAGTTCATTGATTTGTTCATTTTAGTATTGGTGTTTCAATCACCACTAAAATAAACAAATCCGTGGATATTTTTCAAAATATCCGTAGTTTAACTACAAAATCCGGCTATTTTACAAGATTCTGTCTTAGAAGGATTGTGTTGTTTTTTCACGCAAATAACGTCATTAAAAATCAAGATCACCCTTGATTAATTACTTATTATTGTCCCTAAAATAGGCAACTCAGTGTGCTTCTATAATATTTGAAATTTTATGGAAACAAATTAGGCAACCCATACCACATAGTTCCGACGAAACCGATTATAAATCAGTGAACTATAAAAAAAACTATAGTCTTTTGTACTATTTATTTTAATGAACGAGGTCGAAAGATTGAAATCGTCAAAGTGAAGTAAACTTTCCACCTCTACAAGCAAATAAATAAATATTTATCATTTTATTATTTTCTACTTGGCAAATTATTGCATATTTAAATAAGTTTAATTGAAGTGGACTCTTCTGTAAGGGGGCATCCATTAATTACGCAATTTTGGCGATTTTTTAGTTACAAAATCTACACCAGCATCTTTAACTGCATCTTCGTCAAAAATCTTACTTATGGATTTGGTTTTCTCTCTTTTCTTGCATTAAAATACGAATTTTTCAACATTTTGTGCGGCAAGAAGGGTTCATGTAAATGTAGTCTGTTGTAAACGTACCGATTCTCGCATTATATTTTTTGCGAAAATAAAAAATAATCTTGCCAAAAATTATGTCGCGAAAATTTTTTTTTTAGTTCGCAAGGGATACAAGTCAAAGTATAGGCAAATGAGACAAAAATAGGTAAATTTTGTATAGATTCTCGAACATGAGGTCCTGTAATGAGACACCAATAAATAAATAAAAAATATGGTATTATAAAATCATTAGGGCTATATTTATTTAAATAATATATTTGGGTAATCAAAGGTATTTAAATTTATTTTTATAAATAGGTAGGGTTAGGTATAATAAAGCAATTACGTGAAACTCTCCTCTACTAACAATGCATTTTTTGAAAATTTTCGCACTCAAAAATATTTGTAAATTATAATTTGTTATAAATACATTCTACAAAGGAGTATATGTACCTTAAAATGTCTGTATTTATTTAAAAGACCTTGAAAAACTAATTTAGGAATCCAGATTTTTAATTAAATATTAATTTTGAAACTCTCACATTATAACTAAAAAACTATGATTTTTAAATCATAAATTTTCAACTTTGGAACCGACTTATAAAATATAAAAACAATAAATGTATTATTAACTGCACCATTTTAGGTAAATATTTTTAAATGCTTAATTTTCCTATTCTATAACTACGTCATTTTCATTTGGAGAGTACCAATTTATATTTGTGGGTGTATTAGATTTATTGTTATAACAAAATCCTTATTAAATAAAGAAAATTCATTAAAACGTTATATTGCTATAGTTTTGGCACATTTTATAAATATAATATACCCAAAAATAATACAAAATAGCGTGTAACTCACACGCCAATGTATAAACTGTAACTTAATAATTAATTATAACATATATGGTTCATAGTTTTGTACTATATTTTATTGTTTTCAAGTAAAATGAAAAAAATGGCGAATTTTGCCCAATTAAATATCCAACATACAGATACTTTTTTAGGTAGATATGTATCCAAATTATTATTTTTTATGGGGAATATTTAATCGAAACAAGATTCGTAATACTGATTACAATTACAATACCTACGATTCGTTGAGGCATACACAAAAAATACAATCACAACATACAATAAAATAAATTTCGATACAAAAATGTCGTAAAAAATATTTAGAAATTTTCAAAAAACGATAATGTGTATATGTAAAACTCACTATACTATAAAGATATATCAAGCTTTTTTATTACCGTTTTGTTTCACAAAATATTTTTCTTTGTTAGTTTGGTAATAATACGCATTTTTGTAGTAATTCAAATATAATTTGGATTAATACACCAAATTTTGTCACTAAATCACAATAAAACCCTAATAGTGCTGTTTTTCGTAAGCTTATTTTTTCGAAATTCTAAATTTGCTTATTTTATAGTTTTGGCAAATTAAACTTATCCTACTTATTGGAATTATACCAGATTTTATCTGGGTTACTAAAAATAAGAACACAACCAGAAAAACGTAACAAAATTGATTACACTGGACAACAAAGGCTACAAATGTGTGTTAATAATTATTGATGGAAACTAGTTGGGTACTTCCCCAACTAGTAATCCCAGCGCATTTTCCAATTTTGGAAAAAAGTTAAAATTATTAATTTTGTTGGCTAGTGTAGTAAAATAATAATATAAAAAAATATTAACCAAGGTATAAACAACAGTATTTTGGTAAATTTTGCATTTGTGTATTTAAAATTAAGTACAATTTGATAAAATAAAGCCAAAATAGGTATCTTGTAAACAATGTGTTGAAAATATTATAATAAATAAATAAAAATGTTATATAAAATAAACTAACAGTTTTGTACTATTTCTTTAAAGCAAAATTTTGTACCATCAACTCAAATGTATTTACACAGAGCATTTTTTTTCAATAACTTTTACATGTTTATCACAATAAAAAATCATAATCTTGAGGTAGTCTTTTTCACAATCATTGTGACCTTGTTATGACTAGAGTGAAGCTACGTAATACTCTGTGAAAAAATATGGAACAAAAAGAAATACAGGTCCAGAAAATTTTCTGTCAAACGAAAAATGTTAAACGATTGTAGGTTCCTATGCTCATTTGTAAAAAAATATTTATTTCACAGTCCGGAAAATTTCTTATAATAGTATCAGTACCTATAGCTTAGCAACACTTTCCAGGCAGTTTATAACTTTGTAATGTTTGACATCAATGAACTGTTTAAAAGAATTTAATAATAATAATAATTCTATGAAATGATTTATCTGGTTCTTCTTGTATCTGCCTTTTTAAACCAGTTAATTAAAAATAATAATATCATGGTGTTATATCCAAAGAGCTATCCTCTAGAAATCTATTTTGCATGATGTCAAATGGGCATGAAATCGCCCATAATAAATTTAAATTTTTGTTTGACAGTAGAGTTTCTGATTACCCTGTATAATACCCAACAATTTATTTCGATTCTCAAATACAGTCCATTTAATTTGGATAATTTTACCTAATCATATCTACATATCACCACGAAGCCAACTTTTTTTAAAAGTTTCGAATTTTTATATCCTAACTAACTATAAATTTTCACAGCCTAAAAATTTTGACAGGAATCCGATAAAAATCTAAGGAAATATAGTACGTCCAAACACCTCTAGTTAAATTGTTGGGTATTAACTCTATACACCAAAGAAACATTTCGGTAAAATCAACCACAAATGGAAAATTCGAGACATATTTGAGCAAATACAAAATTTCTTTCCTTTGATTATAAAGGAAAATAGTTCGTAGACAATATACACAGACAATATATGTATATTACGCATACCCTCTAATTATATTTATTACTTGTTTATATACTCCCAGTAAAAATTTCAGCTCATTCTATAAACGGGAACCCGTGCCGACTTGCATCTAAACCCTCCGTTAGCCAACGTTAGGCGCGCGGGGTATTTTGTAACACGAAACACTTTAAAAAGAAGATACACTTCATGACTGTATTTTTCTAATGATTTTATTAAATATGAATACTAATTAATATTATTGCTTTTGTTTCTATCATTTGTTTCACTAATTTAGTTGATTTTATCCCTTAAATATATTAATATACTAATTAGTATTGCTAAAATATAGTGTTATATGAAATTTCAGCTTTTTATAAGCATTTCTTTTCTTGATGTCCTCCCAAAAATATTTCAGACAGTTCAATAAGTTTTCGGTAGTCATCTCTCACAATAGACTATTTTAGTTATTTAGAGTAAATCCCATTAAGTTTATCAATTTCAGAGTTTACGGCCTATTCACCAGACCCTTCCGGGTTACTAGCCACTCCCTGTGAAAATATACATTTTTATCAAAGTATACACATAAATAAAACTATATTTTAACATTTGTCAATAATTTATAATATAAGGGTCACATAATAACAAACACAAAATGAAAAGTCGGATTTATAGTTCTAAAACGTAGCCGTAGCCGTTGCAGTTGTAGTTGCAGTAAGTAAGTAGCTAATTTTTACAATTTATAGTTCAGTGCGTAGCGGTTGTAGTAGTGGCCGCGTAGTGACATTTTTTCTGTTTACAAACATTTCAAGTATTTTGTATCGCTGATTTTCGCTTTGTTTATTTGGTTAGTTTACTTATAAACATAGTTTAGTGACATTTGTTCTGTTTACAAACATTTCAAGTATTTTCTATCGGTGATTTTCGCTTGTTAATTTTGTTTATTTGGTTTAGTTTACTTATAAACATGGTTTGGGAGCCTTGTTTTTAAGTTTGACAGTTTGTCTGCAATTTGATTGGCTGTAGTAGTCGTTGCCGCAAGAAAAGATAAAAGTTGGTCAACTCTTACGACAACTTACGACACCGACCTTGGATGCTATTGCAAAGATCCTCCAGCCAATCACAGACTGTTTTGCTCCTACTGCAACTGCAACTGCAACGGCTACGGCTACGTTTAGAACTATAAATCCAGCTTTACGATCGAAGACCTCGCGACCAACCGTGTTACAAAATACCGCTCGCCTAACGTTGGCTAACGGTGGGTTCAGATGCAAGTCGGCACGGGTTCCCGTTCATAGAATGAGCCGACATTTTTACTGGGAGTATATAAACACGTAATATATATAATTAGAGGGTATGCGTAAAAAATAAAAATAAGGGACACCCTAATGTATATAGACAATATACGCAGACATTGTATAGCTGTTTTCGCTGTGCTAAACCAGAACTAGTTCAGGCTGCATGCGCATTTTATAATTTGAACTCAAAATTGTATGCGCATGCCGAATTAGGTATTATAAAGATTTCCCGGAACGAGTTAGAGATTAGCTCCGCAAAAACAGTTCTGAAACAGATAATTTTACCAAAATATTTCTTTCAGTGTAGTCACTACTTGTTATTAGACAGCAGTGCATTTTTATGAATGAATAGTTTGAGTTACGGTATTATTGTTCGACGTTGCCAAGCCTAAATGCAACGTTGCCGGCGCGTTTCCTTGCTGGGAGAGCTCGGCCTTAACCCTACGCGCGATGTGTGACCTCGTGTGTTTCCTTAAGTGATCCTTCCGATAGAAACCCTTACCGCACTCGGAGCAAACGTGTCGTTTTTCCCCGGAGTGAATGACGAAATGCAAAGTAAGCTGCTCCTTGCGTTTGAAAGCTTTCAGGCACACCGTGCAGACGTACGGCCGTTCTGGGTTGTGCGATTGTTTGTGGCGAGTCAAATGGTCTTTGCGTTTTAATCCTGCGCCGCATATGTCGCACACGAATCGGCGTTCCAACGTGTGTCCCACTAAGTGTTGCTCTAGGAGCTCTTTTTCCGGGTACGCCATGTGACATTCCGGGCAGCAGTAGAGGGTGGAGCCGTCCAGGGCCGTTGTTAGACGGATTTCGCCTAAAATGTACATTTTAAACATTAATAAGACAGTCGTATACATTTTTAAGTGTCTTTGACAAGTTAAATCCGACCTCAGAATCATGTCAGGTTTTCGTTTTAATTTTCTTAGATATTAATATATTTTTTCCTCTTCGATCGAGATATCGTTAATTGAAATTTATAGTTTTCCAATGGTTGAAAATTTCGCCGACTAGGTAGGTATATATTTTTTTTGCGAGTCTCCTATAAAAAAAATTTAGTTAATAATGTTTTTGGAGCTTTCTCCAAAAATCAGCTCGATTAAAATTTAGGGGTCGCTCACAAATTTTGATTATTCCAATAATAGCCTACTTTTTTTTTCATTTAATTTTTCCGTCCCTACACGGACAATAAATAAGTTTCTTAAAGTTTCAGCTGAAAATATGATTTATTAAAGCCCGCTCCAACTTTAAAATTTTAAATTCGTTGCATAGATGTTTTCGAGCTACCTTTAAATATTAATACCTATTGGGAATTTTTATTTTACTTTTAATTCATATTATTGTAAACAAAAATACACTGAGATAAAATAAACACAAGAGTGAAATACGATTTAAGTCAAAATTTAATAAAAATGGCCCGAATGTATGTACATCCATTAATTACGTGAGATAAAAATGGGGGGAATTGTCTAACAAAATCTCACCAAATCTCATTTTAAGGAAGGGGGGTCATTTAAAATCTCACGTCAACTTTTGGGTTTAAAGAATATGTATTATAAAATAAGAGTTAAAAAAAAGTAATCAATTTTTTTTGGGTTTATGCAAAGAAAGTTTAATGGCTAGAATATCACGTAAGGGATAGGGGGGTCTACCACATCTCACCAAATCTCACCAAGGGAGGGAGGGGTCCAAATTATCAGAAAAATGCCTCACATAATTAATGGATGTAATACCTACATATATGCGTTTAAAGAATTATTTCACCTAAATTCATTTACGTAAAACTATAGTATTATTAGACTGGGCCAAAAAAAACAACTATTTTTTTTTTTGAAAAGTATATCGAAAATATGGTTTGGGGTGACAAAAAAAAATTATTGTGAAAGTTTGAGTCCATATTATTAATATTAAGAAGTCTATCATCGCAATTTTAATTTTTTTTTCCTCAGCAAGTTTTTGTCTCAGAACTCCCAAACCATTGAGTTTAACAAAATTGGCTCAAAAATATTTATTTAAGAAAATTTAATGCTCTACAAAAAAGGTTAAAGTGAAATTTTCCGTCAGATGGACCGTTTCCTTAAAATCATGCTTTAAAAATTGGTATACTTTTACATTTTGATCTTTTAAATTGGAATTTTGTAATTGATGTAAAAATCAGTACCCATAAAAAACCGATAAATATTCTTATGGGAAATCAAATGCTTTACAAAAAAAGCCTCTCAACATTTTTGGCTGAATTCACTCAATCAAAAGTTATTCAGGGTTAAAATTTCGTTTTGAGTTCAAATTTAACCTTGAATAACTTTTGATTGAGTGAATTTAGCCAAAAATGATAAAAGACTTTTTTTGTAGAGCATTTGATTTTCCATAAGAATATTTATCGTTTTTTTTTCAGGGTACTGATTTTTACATTAATTACAAAATTCCAAAGTTAAAAGATCAAATTGTAAAACTAAACCAATTTTTAAGGCATGATTGTAAGAAAACGGTTCATCTGACGGGAAATTCCAATTTAACCTTTTTTGTAGAACATTCAATTTTCTTCAAAAAATATTCTTAAGTCAATTTTGTTAAACTCAATGTTTTGGGAGTTCTGAGACAAAAACTCGCTCAGGAAAAAAAAACCTAAAATTGCGATGATAGACCTCTTAATATTAATAATATTGACTCAAACTTTCACAATAATTTTTTTTTGTCACCCCAAACCATATTTTCGATATACTTTTCAAAAAAAAAAATAGTTGATTTTTTTGGCCCAGTCTAAGTATTATATTGAAATACCATGGGGTTCCAAGATTTCTCAGTTGACTCCTTCTGACCTATTTCTTTGGGGATACTTTAAAATTCGAGACAAACCAGACACGATTGTGATGTCGTGATAGTCCAATTACCTAATAGAAAATAATTAGAAATCGCTGCTAATCCATGCAAAAGTTTTAATATATTTTAAGCCCAAGGGCTTAACTGTAGTTTTAAAGAGCATATGTATATAATGGATCACATCTAAATAATAATAATAAAATCATCGTGCTGTTCGCATGATTAATTCCTTGTGAATATTTTTCTCTGAAAAAGTTTCAATAAGTAAAAATAAGAGTTTTGATCAACAATCTTACTTTCTCTTAAAAACTCTGAATAAAACTTATTGTGACTTTTTCCGACTGAATATAAGTCTTATTCAGAGTTTTTAAGAAAAAGTAAGACTTTCCAAACTTTTTTAATTATTACAGTATTAAAACTTTTTCAGAAAAAAAATTCACAAGGGATAGCAACAGTTTGTTCCTTACTAGGGTAATTGCGTTTTTATTGCGCATGCGAATAGTGCGAGAACTAATGAGAACTGCTAAATTAATGCTAAATTAAACCTATATATAGGTTTAATATATTTAACTCATAGGTTTAATATAATAAAACTCGCAAGGTTTGGGTTGAACAGCAGCGATTTTTTAATATTATCTTTAAATTGGGTTTATCTGTATAAAAAGATTTTCACAAATTTTTACTTAAATATAATTTTAAAAGATTTATAGATTTTTGAAATAATGTGTTGAAAAACCGCTCATATTGAGGCCCCACTCGATATTTTAAAAACATTTTTTAGAAAAAAGGTGTCTTACCAGGCTTAGGTCTAGGCTTTTTTTCTTTTTCAGGCTTCTTCTTTTTCTTCTTCTTACTACTAACATTACTAGTAATATTACTTTGTGCAAGTTGGGCAGTGTTGATGGTGGACAGGTTACCGAGTCCATTTATTGCGCCATTCGACAAATTATTACTATTTGTACTCAGTATATTGGTATTTAAATTGTTGACACTTAAACCGTTAATACCTAAAGCGTTATTTGGCAGCAAATTTAAATTTGCCTCGGAATTATTTTGCATGTTTAATTGTTGTGCGCTCTCTTTTTTTATGCTTTCAGCAGAATATTTTAGAAATTGGTGCAAACTTAGCGGTAAAGTTGAAGCTGGTAGGTGAGATAGGTAGTCGGCTACTGTGGAGCCAGGCGTTGCCAAACTTTGCCAGGCACTTGGCATCGCTGTTGTTGTGTTTATCGATTGGTTTTGGTTCAAATTTTGCTGTTGTTGAATTTGTTGATTGTGTTGTTGAGATCTTCTGTCGTTTTCATCTTGTTTTATCTAAAGCAAAAGAAAATATTACTAATATTACCTACCAATATATTTTTTTAAATATAAAAAAACGTAATAAGCCCTATGCTAAAATGTGATTTCAGTTTAACCTATCCTAAAAATAATGTGATAAAATATTCTAATAAAATGATTTAAATATTCTAATAAAATGATTTAAAAAAAATGGTATATAAAACCCGGTGACGAAAGTGTACTAATTTCCTTACACAATACACAGTAGTAGATTGTTTACAAGGAAATTAATAAGCTTCGGCTGGCGCCTCGGCAGTGAAATGCGTGCTCGACTATAATATGAGCTTTCTCTGCCTGCTCTATAATGTACTATTTGTAGAAACATAAACAACATAATTTAGATGATTCCCAAGTAAAAAAAGCCACTTATAAAAATTTAAAAATTTAAATTTTAACCTCCGATATCATTTAAATCAATGATTTTACGAGAAAAAACATCTAGAGCGTTCCTACAAAATTATGTCTTATATGGGGCCGTCCATAAATCTTGTGACGCTGAAAGGGGTGAAGGTTTGAAGGACCGTCACGATTTCTCACGCCCGAGTGGAAAAGGTTTTTTTAAAAAGTTTCATTTTTAGACAGATTATTACAAAAAAATTCGAAAAAATATTTTTAGGGGGTAGGGGAGTTGGATAATTCGTCACATGAACCCGGGGGGGTCTTGACATCACATTCTGTCACGAGGGAGAGGAAGGGGGTCAATTTTGTCCATTTTTAGCATCACGAGATTTATGGTCGGCCCCCATAATGTTGTATGCCTATTAGTGATCACTAATAGGCATACAACATTATGGGGGCCGACCATAAATCTCGTGATAACTCGAGTTATGTATAAGAAACGTTAAAGGACTTTGGAAAATAGTTATTTATTATACAAGGGAAAAATTATTGGATTTTAGCTTGAAAGATAAAATCTAATGTATAATACACTAGTCTTAGTATGTGAGAAAAAACAGCGATTTAATATTAAAAAAACATATTATTAAAGTCACAAAATCAATCAATGTCAAAATTGAAGTGTTAAATTGGTAGCTACCTAGTAGGGTGAGCCAAAATAACCTATCGGATTTATGGGTTAAAATGAACCTACATACCGAGCAAAAAATTTCCCTGCAAGGCAAAATTTTTTGCTCAATTTTAAAAGGTGTCGGTAAGCATTCTAAGTTTTCCATTGAAATAACACGTAAAAAAATCTTTTTTCATTAAAAAGACTATAACTTTTGAACCGTTTGAGATAAAATTTTTTACGTCGCGGATTCTTGTAGAGCATACAATTTCCCAAAGAATCTATACTATTATTTTTTTTAATTCAAAAATTCGTATGTTTGAAAGCTTTGAAAAGTGTAAAAAATCACTAAAACTGCAGTTTTTTTAATAATAATAATAATCTTTTTACGTGTTATTTCAATGGAAAACTTAGAATGCTCACCGACACCTTTTAAAATTGAGCAAAAAATTTTGCCTTGCAGGGAAATTTTTTGCTCGGTATGTAGGTTCATTTTAACCCATAAATCCGATAGGTTAGTTTTTTTGGCTCACGCTACTACCTAGGCTATTGTACGTTTAATAACTGTACTTTTTGGCATTTAGAAAAATATTGCCTAGGTAATAAATTATTCTAAAATTATATAACTCCATATTCTCACTCATGTGTAGGTACTATGCTCCACACTTCAAAGTCCCACCACGTGACCAAGTACGGAACGCAGTCTTTTGATAAATTGTCATTTAAGGCTTTTCAGGTTATGTATCTGTCAAAGTATAGTCAATGCAAGAAATAATATTTATACTGTTACCATTTATGTTTAAGCGTTAAAAGTTAATAAATCTTTATAGTAGCACAGTAACAATGGTTGGTTTAAGAGTTTAGGAGTATAAATACTGCATTTAATGAAATTCTAAAGTGTATAGTGCCAAATAAGTAAAATTTTTGTGCATTTGGTCTACATATATCTGGTTTTATCCATTAAATAGTTTTAACTAAACGGCATTTATTAAAAAAATTTAGCTTGTTTATTATGGAATAAGAATATCTGTATCAAAGGTAGGTTAATATATTATAACAAAAAATATCATCTAATTTTGAAATTTTAAGGTTAGAAAAATCTATTTTGATCAAAATAAATAAGTATTTTGGATTATTTGGAAGAGTGTGTTAATATGGTCATATAAATATAGATATACTAAATAATTGTTGAATATGGTTCAAATTAAATTAAAGCTTTTATACTCCTAACAACAAAACTTGTGCATACCTCGGGATCCCTACTTTAAGTTAGATTATAAGGAAACTAACAACTTTTAGAGATACATGCAATGTAAAAATATTTAATACTCCCATAACATGTGATTTTTTAAATTTTTAAAAGTTATAATGATTTTTCGATGAAGATAAAATTCAGTTGAAGCTTTATAAGTGTAATTGTATTGACAAAACTTTATGTAGGTATACTTTAAGCTGGATAAGAAAAAATACTACAAGTAAAATATTAGATGGAGTATACTGTGGTTTTATTTAAATTTTAGAATTTATAAGGTTATTTATACCTAATGATTGTTTGATGTAGATAAAATTTTGTCGAAGCTTTTATAGGTACTTGTATTGACACTATGGGTAAATTAGCTGACAGTGTAAGGAACTTTAAGAAGGTTAGCTATTGAATTTTTAAAAAGAATTTACAGTTTTTTAAAATTAAGTTTCTAATGGTTTTATATTTGAAATGTTTAATATTGCTTATTTCCAAGAGCCAGTTGTTCAATTATGATGTCTATTTTGTTTTACTCCGGCATAAATATTTTCAATTTGAATTTTGACTAGGTAAATAAAATAGTTGTTTGAAACCAATGAACAAAAATAAATCTAACAATAATAAATAAAAAAGTAGAATTACTAAAATGGGTAAAATTTACGTTAAAATCACCTGTTACAACAATTTTTGTAGACACACCTAAATCATTAAAAACTTTTTCCAAGACATCCAAAAATAGTTTAAAATTACTATTTGGGGGTCTATATATATTTATAATTACTAAATTAATACAAGTAACCTTAATGACACACATCCTTTTGTATTGATAAAGATATTACTTATAAGTATAGGTATACCTTATTTAGTTCAATATAACACTCATCAGGATCAGTGAGCCCGATTAGGTAATATAGTACCTACATAATAAATTATATTGTATATATGTATATGTGTGTATGTAAAATATTATTAGTTTTATTTTGTAATTATATAATTAAGAATTATACATGGTGTTCATAAATAATGAGACAATTTAATTTTAAATATAATTTTAAGAAAATACATATAAACGTCTTTGATTAATTAAATAAACAAAAAATAATATATTTTAAATAAAAATTTAAAGAATCTAAAATCGATAAAAGTTCAAAAACTCACATATAGAAAAAAAATAAGTTTGGAAATTTGTAAAATAATAAAAAACATTATTTAAAATTATTTAATAATTTGCAAATTTTAATAATTTTAAGGTGTTGTTTTTAGATTCCTTCTTTAAAATTAACCCCTTTATATATTTAATTAATTTTAAAAATCTTAAAATAGTTAAGTTTTACAGTTGAAAATATTTATGCCGGAGTAAAACAAAATAGACATCATAATTGAACAACTGGCTCTTGGAAATAAGCAATATTAAACATTTTAAATATAAAACCATTAGATACTTAATTTTAAAAAACTGTAAATTCTTTTTAAAAATTCAATAGCTAACCTTCTTAAAGTTCCTTACACTGTCAGCTAATTTACCCATAGTGTCAATACAAGTACCTATAAAAGCTTCGACAAAATTGTATCTACATCGAACAATCATTAGGTATAAATAACCTTATAAATTCTAAAATTTAAATAAAACCACAGTATACTCCATCTAATATTTTACTTGTAGTATTTTTTCTTATCCAGCTTAAAGTATACCTACATAAAGTTTTGTCAATACAATTACTTATAAAGCTTCAACTGAATTTTATCTTCATCAAAAAATCATTATAACTTTTAAAAATTTCAAAAATCACATGTTATGGGAGTATTAAATATTTTTACATTGCATGTATCTCTAAAAGTTGTTAGTTTCCTTATAATCTAACTTAAAGAAGGGATCCCGAGGTATGCACAAGTTTTGTTGTTAGGAGTATAAAAGCTTTAATTTAATTTGAACCATATTCAACAATTATTTAGTATATCTATATTTATATGACCATATTAACACACTCTTCCAAATAATCCAAAATACTTATTTATTTTGATCAAAATAGATTTGTCTAACCTTAAAATTTCAAAATTAGATGATATTTTTTGTTATAATATATTAACCTACCTTTGATACAGATATTCTTATTCCATAATAAACAAGCTAAATTTTTTTAATAAATGCCGTTTAGTTAAAACTATTTAATGGATAAAACCAGATATATGTAGACCAAATGCACAAAAATTTTACTTATTTGGCACTATACACTTTAGAATTTCATTAAATGCAGTATTTATACTCCTAAACTCTTAAACCAACCATTGTTACTGTGCTACTATAAAGATTTATTAACTTTTAACGCTTAAACATAAATGGTAACAGTATAAATATTATTTCTTGCATTGACTATACTTTGACAGATACATAACCTGAAAAGCCTTAAATGACAATTTATCAAAAGACTGCGTTCCGTACTTGGTCACGTGGTGGGACTTTGAAGTGTGGAGCATAGTACATATGCGGGAAAAAAAGTAATTGCATAAAAAGTGACATTATGTTGCCTGTCAAGAGACATACCTAAAATGTCAAACTTTTTCCCGTCACAGAATATTTTTTTCAAAATTGTTTGTAGACAAATAATTTAGATGATACCCAAGTAAAAAAAATTAACTTGGGAAATAACGGACACCCTAAAACACATACATATATGTATTTTTTTTTATAAAAATATACATTTAAGTAAGTAGGTATATAGTAAATTTACTCTTTAAAGCGGAATAACGAAGCAACTTTGGATTTAGTGTGGTTACATTTTTGGGCCAATATGCATATGCATACCATGCATGGAATTTCATTGTACATATAAAAAACATTGGGTAGATTTTGAAATTAATTTGCATATAGACAGGCTTTTGACTTTTACCTTCTGTTTCTCCTGCTGTTGCTGATTTTGGTGAAGCATGACAGCACACAATTCCTGAGCCAAATCTTGATGTTCATAGCTAGTTCTTTTTTCTTGCCTAACATTTGATTGATGTCCATACAGGCTCTGGTTCATGTAGTTCCCCTGGTACTTTCCAGAAGTCAGCATTTGCTGCTGGGTGGCTGGGTGATGTTGCGTGAATGAAGGCACCCCATTGGCCGTGTATCTATTGTTATCTTGGGTGGTGCATAGTGAATTGTCCTGCGTAAACTTGGCAGCGAACTGGTGGATCGAGGGTATAGCGGTTGAAAAATGACTACCGAACGGAGGAAAATTCATTTTTCACGAAGATATTCTTATATTGTCTACAAAAATAATATTAGCAATATAGTAAAATATTTTAGAATGTTATATTCTTTCTACAAGTATGTATACATTCAAGCATTGTTGTCAGTAGTGTGACCTCGTTTTGAAGGACATAATCTTATTTTTTTTCGGATAATTTCCATGTTTTATTTTGTTTATTTTTTAGCAATTCTTAAACATTCTCTGTTTTCTTAAATTTTGCTTGTAATTTTTTTTTTAATTTTAGTTACAATGGGTTAATTTAAAACATGTATTTTAATAGAAAACTTTTAGAGACATTATTACTATTTAACAATGTGGCTCTTACCTAATCGGCCAGTTTATAAAATGGCTGAAAACACTAGCCATATTATAAAATAATTTACATTTAATAATACAAAAAAGGCAAAAACGGCGAATTTTATAATATGGCTACATCTTAGCCTTAGATCCTCTTTTATCTAGGGTCTTAACCGCTACGACATATATGTATGTCAGAAACTTTTTAGAAAAGACAAAAACTCTAAAATGGTTATCATAATGGTAGTATAGTTTATGTACTATAGTACCATAACCATTTTTAAAGACTATATATATCAGGGGCGGCTAGTGTATAAGGGCTGCAGAGCTGCAGAACTCCCAAAATTTTCATATTACTTGACTATTTTTTTAATTATTTAATATTTAAGTGCGACAGTGTACCTATAAATATTTCAAACGCAAGGCTGCATAAAAAGTTTTTATTATAAACATTTGCCGTGTCGCCGTACTTGGCCACTACAGTCATCCAAACGACCGGTAAAGGTCTCTAACGCTTAACGCTTACAATACAACAAAGCTGGGCCACTTTCGAGTTCTGGGTCCCATTTCAATACCGTAATTTTGCTCCGCGCCGCTCTTGGCCCTGGGTTAAGATAGCGGAATTTTAGCCAAATCGGAGCTGCACCAACATACAGTTCCTACTTCCCGGTCGTTTGTTTTTCGCTTCGCGTTCACGTTTGTTATTTTAGCTAGAAGACTGTTCATTCTGTGTATTTTTGTGTGTTTGTGTTTGTTGTTGTATTCTTTTGTAAGAATGAATGTGGTGTATGATTTAATTATGATTTAATTAATTATCTGTAGGTACCATTTAATTAAATGCCAACTGCGCCACATTTTTTTAAACCCCACTGGCAGAACTCACAAATTTTACTGCCACGAGCCGCCACTGATATATATAGTATAGTATATTAATCTATAGCATACCTAGTTGGTATTACCTACCTATACAGGGTGTCTCAGATTAATGTGTTTATTAATAAATTTACATGTAAAAATAACTTTGTTTCAAAATTCCTAGGAATAACAATGTTATAACGTATAAAATCGTTATAAATAACGATTTTTGGTTTTGAAAGGTTTTTAGTTTTTTTCAAATATTTTAAGAACCGCTGGCTTTTTTGCAATTTATAAATTTCATAGCAATAGGTTTGTAATAGGGATGCGCATCGAATATTCGATGTTCGTCAAACATCGATTTTAATGAAGTGAACATCGATTTTTTAACATCGATCTTGTATTTTCGATGTTTTAATGACATCGATGTTAGACTTTGCGATGTTACTATTGTCTAAATAACTGTTTCTACAGAACTTGGATAGGCAAAATTGGGATTTAACTTAACTTTTTTTGACTTATTTTGTTTATTTTTTTATGTGTATTTTTTTATAAGTTGAAAATAAATATATTTTATACATGTTTTTCTTAGACTTGTGTTTTAGTTTGAAACATCGATTTTTTAGAAAAATCGATGTTTTCTACCCGATATATCGATGACATCGATATTCAACCTTCGAAGTCAACATCGATGCCAACATCGATGTTTTTGTATTCGATGCGCATCCCTAGTTTGTAATTACGCAACTTTTCCTTAACCCTAACGCATAATTGTATCTTTTCAAATAAAAAATACCCATAGAAGTATACACCGAGCCTATTTCAAATTTAATTAAGAAAATAAATTGTCAAACGAATCAGAGAGGAATACTAAAAAACAAAGTTTTGTGATAAGTTTGACATAATGCATTTAAAGCGATATTTTATTTTTTGTTTTTTGTAGAAAAGTTTATAGAATTTGACCCCTAGTGGCCAAATATTACACTTTTTTGTCCGCTTTTATTATTGTCCGTTTTATACTGGGCGCCGTTTATTAAAAGCGGCCGAAAAGTAACATAAAAATATTTTTTGACCGCATAACAATTTGCTTTCATTATTGTCCGATTTATTGTTAATTATATCAATAAACCATTAACAAACAGATTATAATGAGGTCGCCAATAAAAAAGTGTGTACAACTGCCAAAAAGTGTTATTTTGTCCTCGTTTTCTTTCAATAAAATATTAGACCCGCCTTGTTACACAAATAACTAGGTATTACCTATGTCAATGGTTCTTGCTAATAAGAAAACACATTTAATTTCTTAAACGAACAAATTTTGTTTCTATTTACTTAAATCCCCCTTTTCGTTATGTGCTTCATTTTCTGTAAACCCTGTAAAATTTTTTGTAATTTTATAGGTATGTTTTATTATATTTATTTTACTATACATAATAATAAACAACCCACCTGTAATTTACACACTTTACAAAAATATTTGTATGTTTTATAGTTTTATGGAGAATTAAACATTGCTTTAATTAACATTAATTATAATGAAATCGTGTTTTTTTACCAAAATTTGGTGTCATTTTATTATTAAAAACTTTTTGCAAAAAAAAATTTCTGTAAAAAACTTATGCCACTCTGCTTTCAAGGTGCATGTTTAACAATTATTGTCATTAAACATTTGATAGTAGAATTTTCCTTAATTCACTGTAAAAACGTTTTTTGGACACTAATACATGTATTCATTACAATAAAATCGTTATATTCTCTGCATTAGAAAAATCACTAGAAAATATATTTGCAAAATATCGCCAAAAATATTTCTAAACGATAAAAATAACGTTAAACTACGTAACTTACCATATTTTTCGGTGATTTTCCGTGCAAAAATCGCGGTTATCGGGTGCAAAACACTAAACCATCGCGAATCGGTCGCGATTCGCCATTTTTATTTGCGCGCTGTCGCGAAAGGGTTGCTACGATTTCAGAGGGGTTGCGAAACGAAGCGAGTTCGAATAGAGGCGGGAGAGGAGACTTGTAATTTATTGTCCAGACAAGGCAAGAGGGGTGTATTTACCGTGTCTTTTATGTTCTGTCGTATCTCTTTTGTGTACCGTCTTTAGATGACCATTCGATTTAAAATTTATATTCTTGTTTAGGTGTATAAAATAAAATAGTGATATTTTTGGAGATGCTCTAAAACAAAAATGTGTTGAAAATTTGCCACGTGTCTTATACATTTTTTTGTTAATTTTTACTAAACCTACACAAATTGTTAAATATGATTAAAAACAAATAAATTTATATCGCGACATTAAAATATAAAAAACATATTATTTATACAGGGTTTAAACCAGGACTTCTCAAAGTTGTCCAAATTCCTTCTTTCTGAAAAAACAATTAAGGATTTTCTTTAATAACTAGGTATTCTCCAAAATAAAATACATAAATTAGCCTTATTTGGTATGTACATATTTTTGTGTCTGGGGGAGGGACATCAGCATCCCAGCGGTAAGTTTATTAAATTAAAATTTTCCTGAATACCCTCCTGCTCCAACGAGGCCGTGAACTCATACGAATTGTTTCTGCCCGCACCTTTCCGCTATGCGTTGTCTGCGCCGCAGTCTGCGCATATTGTTCTGTGCTCTGCGCCTAATACTGAGTCTGCTTTGCGTGTTATTATCATAGGTTATTTTAATAGCAAATCAGAAATAATTATTAGCGTTACAATTATTTCAAATGACTTGCCTTTATTTTAAAATAGAAACCTTTTAAAAGATGTTGAAGAACGGTCAATGTCTAAAAGCAGACCAAATATTAAAATTTGTACATAAAAAGCTATGTATACATATATTATTTATTAAATTATAAAAAATTGGTAAATGCAAAAAAATGATACCCTACAAAAGTTTTTTTGTTTGCCCAAAATAGACTTTGGGCGTGACACCCAGAAAATTTTTCCGTATAAGGGCCCCTACAAGATTTTTGGTACGGGGCCCCCTCGAGGCTACGCCACTGCATAAACGCAAAATATTCAAAGAAAATATAATAATTAAATTAATCTATAACGATCATAATCCAGAAATTGATTTTTAGACCCTTAGGTCCCTTTTCTCGGAGACAGTCACATAATAAAATGTGCCAGTGGCAGATCCAAGCAGAAGTGGGCCTTGGTGCACATACTTGTGGGCCCTCTACATTTGCCTTTAACCATTACTTAACCTCAATGGTAGATATTGTTGACAGATCCACAATGAATTGTGGTGTTTTGGTTTTTAGGTTTAGTATTTTTACATCGTTTTTACATGATTTTCTTGGATTATTTGCCTTTAAAATATGTGAACAATATTTTAAATTATTTTTATAATGAATATTTGTAGGTATTTATCAAATGTGTATGTAAAAATTACCTTTTTTATTTTGTAATAGCAAGATTCCCAGAGCAAAGTGGTGTCATGCATGGTGCCTGGTTGTCAATATTTTAGTAGGTATGCAAGGGTGTATTAATAATTATTTTATTATCAATTCTCTTAATGGATGAGGGCCCACGGGCAACGCACAGAACTGTCCGGTCATATGTCCGTCCCTGATAAGTGCGCATTTTCCATATTTTCTACTTCAAGTGTAACAAAAATGTGACTTTGTTAGCACCACAATCCATGGATTGTGGTTAGCACAATTTAATTGAGCAACATAATCATTCAATAATTGGAAAATCTTTTTTATTGTCAAAATTGTTTGTATATAATATATTGTATTCTTATACCCTACCACAAACCATGTCAGCGCAAAAATTAATAAAAATGTAGACGTCGTGGGTCGGTATATCAATTCGATATGCTGTAAAAAAATATATTTCTTAGAGTATGATTATATTTAATATGAATAGAGGATATCAGACAATGCTAAATCATTGCGAATTAATGTTGTTAGAGGTTAATAATCTTTGGTATTCGGCGAATACTATTCGCGACGCCATTGTTATCTTCTTTTTTTAGCATGAACGTTTCACAAAAAGTGGAAAAGTTCCAAACCAAATTTTGTCTGCATAGTGCTTTTGCTTTATAGTTACTGTAAAGATAAAAATACTTTTTTTGGATCAATGGACGGGGCTCTTGTCTTGTGGGCCCAACTGTCACTCTAATAATTATCTATGTTTGGCAAGTCCAAATAGTAATTTTGATGTTCTTTATTAACGAATTTGTGTAGTTCCTGTAGCTGTACGTATTTTTTCTTTGGCACCAGAATGGCTTGTTTGTATACCAATTTTGGGAATACCTATCTATAATAAAGGCTGGGCACAAACTTTTAGAGAATTTACTATTTTCAAAAAGTCAATATTGCTTAAAAAATATTTATTGCTGATATAAGCAAAAAGTATCTAAAATTTAAAGTGCCACATTTAAGTAGCAAAGTTGAAGAGGACTTACTTTCCAACAGCTTTTGTATAAACAAGTTTTTCGTACTATGTGTACATCACGGCTCAAAATTTGATAAAAAAGTATATCTGGGTTGGGATCATGAAATGTTTTAATATTGTCTCTTTTTGAGATAGGTATTTTATTTGTAATTTTATTTTTTTTTAATTAAGTCCTCTATAACTTTGCCATTTTTAATAAAAATGTTCCAAAAGTTTAAAAAAATTGCTAATTTTCCACGCTTTGCTTTTATTATATTGACTTATGAAAATTTAAGGAAATTTCATTCTCTACGAATTTCATACTAGGTACCTACCTATACAGAGAACTGCATAAAAAACGGCCATTGCTGTAGCATCGTTATTCCTTATCCGATTTTCAAAATTCAAAAACCAGTTTGAATGGTATGATGTCTTCTATGATTTGACGGTTAAAAATATTTTTTTTATTATAATGCTAGTGAGCACTGATAGTCAACTTTTATTTTTCAAATGACAACTATATTTTTTTATTATTTTTTCGCATTTCTTATGCTTTTCTGAGCATAACGGTATATTAATATCATAATTTTAATTATAAAACACGAAGAAAAAAAATAAAACTGCGAAAATTTTTACAAATCGCAGTAGCATCAGGACACCCACAAAATACTTCCAATTTAATAATATGCGTATCCATGGTTATGACTTTTATAAAAATAAAAATGCCAAGCAGCATTAATAAAACAAACAGATTTTTTTAATTTTATACTGAAACAAAACCAAAGTAATACATAATATAGTATAATAATCATAATAAATTTTATAGCTTCTGTTCAAACAAAGCCGACATGTCGCATGCATCTTTCTCTTGAATTTTGAAAACATTCAAAATAAATCTGACGTTCATAGAGAAAAAAGCCGTAACCATGGATACGCATATTTATTAAATTGGAAGCATTTTGTGGGTGTCCCGATGCTACTACGATATGTAAAAATTTTCGCAGTTTTATTTGTTTTCTTCGTGTTTTATAATTAAAATTATGATATTGATATACCGTTATGCTCAGAGAAGCATAAGAAATGCGAAAAAATAATAAAAAAAATATAGTTGTCATTTGAAAAATAAAAGTTGACTATCAGTCCTCACAAGCATCATAATAAAAAAAATATTTTTAATCGTCGAATCATAGAAGACATCATACCATTTAAACTGGTTTTTGAATTTTAAAAATCGGATAAGGAATAACGATGCTACAGCAATGGCCGTTTTTTATGCAGGTCTCTGTATAATACCAAGGTGATTCTATAAAAGTTGGACAACTTGATGTCATCAGTCAATAGAGTAGGTATTAATATTTTTTGTAAATATTTTAGTATATTACAAAAGATACAGGTTTTTTTAACTTGTCCAAAAACATAATAAATATGCAAAACATCAGTACCTTGGCGTGTCACAACTCCTGAATCAAATATTTGAGTGGTTTTATTTTAAAATATATTCAATTTATCTTAAATTTTTCAATTTAACTATACTACTATAAAACATTAAATAATGTATTTTTCATATTTTATCATAGATTCGAATAATAGAAATTAAAAAAAAATTGATAATCTTTGTACTCACTTTTACCCGTCAGTTCTGTGTCCAATGTTAAAATTCAAAATTCCTGCGAAGTTTAAACGTCAAGTCGTCGTTTTAACAAAAGTGTTGGTAAAAAATTACCCACAGAGCCCGCCCTTTGCACGAAAGTCATCTTGAAAACAATGCAAGGGGCGAAGTTGTAGTGAAAGCATGTATAGTTTCAGTCAAAATTTCAGTACTGTAATGAGTAGTTATTTTCTTACGTATATATATATATATATATATATATATATATATCATTGTAATTTATATAATATAAACATAACGAAACATCGATTCGGAATTAAGTATTTTACTGATATTTTTTATTAGTGGATTCTACTTATCAAGAAATCACATATAGCCATATTATGGCTATATGTGATTTCTTGATAAGTAGAATCCACTAATAAAGAATATCAGTAAAATACTTAATTCCGAATCGATGTTTCGGTTATCTTTTTTTCGCAAACTTCAATTTAAATTCTGCTTGCGCAGAACTTGTTTATTTAATGTCATTATAAACTCATATAAATTTGGTGTGGGTCCCATTATGGGACTCCCATATCTAATAATTGAGATATCAGTATACCCAAAATCCACCAGCTGCCACTGATGTGTGGTATTATTTGACTTTAAGATATTTAATGTATAATATGCTCAAAGTTGCATCTTATATTTTCCAATAAATTATGTATTTAATTAGTACCCTGGTATACTCGTCACTTCCCTTGCATTCAAATTTAGAAAACACAGTTATTTCAGAAACTGTTTGTTCTCATAACAAAATTCTATCTGAAAACTATATAAACAAAATGAGGTCAAAAGTTGCTCAACTTTTGTAGAATCACCCATATATATTATATATATAATCTTTTTTATTAATAAATATAAAATACTTGTTCAAATTGACAAAAACATGATCACTTCATCTACTATGCGGGGGAAAATTAAATGTGTCAAGTTTTATCTTGTTTTTCAGCCAACAGCACATAGAGCTGTTGATTCTGAACCACTTTTGAAATAAAAGCCACCAGTACTTAAAGTACTATAATTATATTTATTGAGATATCTCAAAAGAGAATCTCAATGGGTTTGAACATCTGAATTTTGTTAGGTACCTATGCGGAATAATAAATGCGTTTTCTAAGAAATTAATAAAAAAGATATTGAAAACTTAAATTACCAACAAAGGTTTCGTTAGGTTTCTCTTTAGGCACAAATTTGTTTCATTAAGCAACTAACTAACTAAACTATAATAAATTATAAATATATTTTTAATTTTGTTGTTACTGTACTTGACATTTTGTATTTTATTAGCTTTAAGATGTGTTGGAAAGAAAAAAGACAAATAAACCTTATAACAAAATTTATTATGTGGAAAACATTTTCAAACTTAAATTACAAATATAAATAACTTACATAGTTCTACTAAAAAATTGTCATTGTATAAAAAATAAAATAGTTCATTTTTCAAATAATTTTAGAAGATCCCTATCAATAATTTTTCGCCTGCATAACTTGTATATACACTCATCTACATTGAAAACAATGGTAATTATTCTAGGATAAATATATTATTTATTTGTGGGGCAGATGAAAAAATATCAATATGAACAAGCTTGTTTGTTAGATTAGAACAAATCTAAAATTATTACATTGCATAGGAATGGGTAATTTAACCAAAATTTTATCACTGTCAGCTTATAATTGGGCCAAATTATTATATTTATTAATTTCTATAATGTACATGTTAATCACTTTTTATTGGTCGTCATCTATAGGAAAAAAATCCTATATGGTGAATTTAAATTTGAAATAATAGTTAATGTAAGTCGGCAAGGCCAAAAATCAGTTCCAATTTCTTTAATTGTGTTACGTGATAATGTATAAAACGATCAAGAGAAATCCTCAAAAATATATATGCACTATATATAATTTACCCAAAACCATCTACACTAAAATTAAATAATTCTTTTGTACAGATATAATAAAGTATAAATTATTTTGTGTTTTTTGTCATAGTTTTGGATGCAAGTTAACAAATATTAGAAACTAATAACAGTTATAACTATTTAGTAAGGCCATCTAACACAACCCAACAAGACTTTTCGACAGGAAAAAACAAGCTGGATTGCATTTAAACACATTAGGCGTAAACTAATAATATAATATTTTCAATTTAAGTTTTTTAAATAAATCTAATACTGTTTTTAACTTATAAATTCTGAATTTTAGCAATAAATATCTATTATTTACATTTGTGTTGCATAATGGTAGACGATCTACGACTTTTTACAAAATAATTATAAAGGCAAATTGTTCAAAATAACATTATATTTACAAGGGACGATAAGTTTTTCTGAAGAAAAGCAAATAAAACAATGCAAATTAAAGGTACTTTTTTGTTAAATTAAGTTAAGAAAATATTTTTCGATTTTACAAAATTTTGTTTTTAATGTTGTTTGTAGAACATTATTTAAGTTGAAAATGTTTTCCAACAAAAACATAGTAATAAACAACACTATAAACAAAATTTTTATAAATTTTGTAACTTTGACCGTCTAGAAAATTCCCTCTGCATCTCAACAAACATCACTTTGAAAAAACCCTCCTTGATTTATTTACACCAAGCTCGCTAACTCACTTCAATTCTTGTTTTTTTTGTATATAAAATCACAGCTAGTAAATAAACCAAGCCAATATTTACTTATCCAATCGTAGCGAGTAGCGCCACCTAGTGGGGCAAAATGGAAATACCTTCGTTGGCTGCCGGTAGCACCACGGTGCTAACGGGAGATTCTTCGTCTTCGCCGTTGCCGGACATCTGGATGTGGTGCTGCGGCACCTGTATTTGGACCGGAATTTGAATCTGAGTCGAGGGTACCTAAAAAAAAAGGAAATATTTAATAACAACATTGAGATAACTATTTATGAATGATTCCTAAATATAAAGTAAATTGGGGACAGCATCCCAAGCAACAATTTAAGTACTTGTTAGTATATGGGACTATTGCAGAAACTTCAAAGTGTTTTGCGGCAGTCACTAGCTATAAACCCTGCTACTATTTGGGACGTAACTGCTACGTTACTAGAACGTTTCAATATCGTTGCTAAAGCGTTATAATTACTTTTATTTATTTGTTTTTACTTCTATATTAACTGTGTCTTTCAAACTTATATTGGATTATACCATCCCTCCTTTTTTAAATGGAACCACTACGGACTTGGCTTTTCAATTTCGTCGTTTAATAAATATGTACTGGTAGTTTATAACTTCCAGAATAACAATATAATGTTTAATTAGGCAGGTAAATTTATAAACCCTTTAAATTTTACTGTTGGACTTATGAATTTAGTTTTTGTAAAATAAATGCGCTTCATCAATATTTAAGCATAAACAAATTTAATAATGTTTATAAATAAAAAAATCTTAATTTCTTATTTAATTATTAATACCGTCTATTACCAACAAAATTACTATTTATTAAAAAGTAAAAAACCATTTACAAACAATTAAAATAATTTATTATTTACATTACCAAGTGGTACTGTACAGTAAAAAATGGCTGATAAGAAGCATTTTCCTTTGAAGTAGTTTTCGCTACTTTAAAGTTTTTTTCCACCTTAATTTACTTTACGGTAGTTTTGGTTAGTACCATAAACGTTCCAAATACTAAAATAATAATTTTTAAGTTATTAACTTTGTAGTTTTTAACTCATGTTCCAGTTTCGAGATTTTAACTTGCAAAGGGACTACAAAGTAAAAATAATTATAATTTAATCTTTAGGTAGCAACCAAAAGTAACTGCTACAAATTAAATTTATTTAAAAGTTTTTTTATTTATAAGTCTTCTTGGGGGCAACCAAGTTTTACTTAAATGTTTATTACTTTATAGTAACCATTTAAGGGAAATATTGATATTTAAAAGTTAAAATTACTTTTAAGTAAAAATTAAACTAGCTGTTTAGTATACTTAACTAATTTAAAGTTAACACCACTTTGGTAATGGTTTTTGGAACCAAAAATGCTGCTTGGGTTGTGTTTGGTAATGATTCCCAAACACAAAAGAACTCACTCCTAAAATAAACAAGGTGTCCCAAATATACTTGATATTTAGTAATCAAGTTTCTACGTGCAGATTGTTAAAATAATATACAAGAATATGGAGCTTTAAGAAACTCGCTAAAGGCAAGAAATAAGGCAGAGTGAAACCATTTTAAAACACCAAGTTTTAAAAAACTATACATACTGTTTTCAGATTTAATAGTATATTATGTATCAACTTTTATAAACGCCATTTTAGTTACGAGTTTTATTAGGCACGAGCGAAGCTTACTAGCAAAACGAGTGTCTAGATAAGTTAATAAAACAAGTTGGATGCACAAAGAAGAATTTAAAGCCAATTTTATTTTTTTTTTAAATTTGAGATCTGTCAAATGTCGACGGAATTCCCTCACTTTTCTCTAATTTATATAAGCCTGTGACTTAAATGCCCAAAAGCCATTATTGCTAACTTCAGCCCGTGACTAAAACGCCATAAAGTCACAGCTCGTCAATTTGTAAAAGGTTTATCCGTTATTATTATTATTAAACATTTTATTAAACGGTCCAATCGACCTCCGCGACGGTGCTTTTTTTTAAATATTATTTAGTTGCTGCTGAGGAGCAGTAGACACATCTTAAAATGTATAATGGGTTGCATACTACCCTCGTATTAAATCGGAAGTAAAGTTCTACTTTACTGCCGATTTCTTTTACTTTACTGCCGAATGTTGACTACTTTACTGCCGATTTCGGATAAAAATAATTATACAAGAGTATAAATATTAATGTTTTTATTTAAATTACTAAACTAATAAAACGAACAAAACTAAGAGTTTTAAAAATTCCAACAGTTGTAACAAAATCCCTAGAACTAGGAAAAAAATCATTAAGTTGGCAACACTTGCATTTTTGCCATAAATTTGAAATATAAACTGAATATTAAGTGAATTAGGCCAAAGAATGAGTACAAAATGCAATTTTATAACACGACCTATAAATTTGATTGCATCAATTCTTCATAAATAGTATGTTAAAGCATATTTTTATATATTTTAAATAAATTATTTTTGATTATTTAAATTTTATTATTGGTATATTAACAAAAAATAAATAAAAAGCGTGAAAACTGTAAACAATGAAAAATATTAGTACATTAAAAAAAAATTGTAAATCGCACGGTAGCATAGCTAAATCGAATGCGTCATCAGCAGTCAAGTGTTTAAAAATAGGTTTTTAACTTTAACGGTAGCTGTACTAACAAGCCTTTTACCTCGCCACTGTGCTTTTGTTTCGAGTGTACTGCACCAACAGGCACCAACAGACAGCCTGTTTCTGTATTTTGGGTCTCATCGGTGCCGGTTAGCTAGGTAATGTGAAGCAAGGAAATCAGCCAAGAATATTAAGAAATAAACGTGCAAAAGAAAAAAAAGCGTGCAAAATAATAATAAAAAAACAACACTTACACTGTCGCATACCTGTATGGTGACCTGCGCAGTACCATCTTTGTTCATCAAATTCTGCCTTTCGGCCTGCTCTTTAGCCCTCCTCGTGACGTGCGATCGCGCGTGTTTTCTCAAGTGATCCTTCCTGTAGAAACCTTTACCGCACTCCGCGCAAATCTCCGTTTTCTCCCCGGAGTGGATGACAAAATGTAAATTCAAATGCTCCTTTCGCTTAAACCCTTTGAGACACACGGAGCAAACGAACGGTCGTTCCGGGTTGTGACCCAACTTGTGTCGTTCCAGGTGTTCTTTGCGCTTCAGGCCCGCGCCGCAGATGTCGCAGATGAATCGGCGCTCGATTTTGTGACCGATTAAGTGTTGTTCGAGTAGCTCTTTTTCCGGGTACGCCATGTGACATTCCGGGCAACAGAAGAGTGTGGTGCCGTCTAGAGCGGTTGCAATATGAACCTTAAAAATAAGTTTTTATTTAAAGATTTGGATCTTGAAAATGTGAAATTGCGAAAAAAAATGTTGAAATTCATTAAACTTAATATAACATAAAAAAAAATTAATATATCATTATACCAAATACCATACCATATTAGGCCACTCACAATAAAAATTTAATTATGTAGAAAAAAGTTATAAAATCATAAAAAAAGATTAGATACAAATTAACTTCAGTAAGAAAAATTGTCTACTTTATAGTAATAAAATAGGGCTTTTATTACCCCATTACCCCCCCCCTTATCGACGCCCTTGACTGCATATAACTTTCTAAAGAAATGTTATTAAATTAAAAACCAGAACATATTAAACGGCCATTTTACGCGTAACGGATGGGACAGTTCCAAGTTTTTATTTACAAAATAATAGGTATATTACTAATAATAGGTATATTACTAATTTCAAATTTTTATAAATAGTTCTAAACAAAAGTTGTTTAACAAGGTTTTTATTTGGCAAAATTAGGTATCGTGGTTGTCTGTTTAATTCCTTAAAAAAAATTTTTTTTATTCAAAAACAGTTACTGTACTAGTAGGGTTTTTGAATAAAAAAACTAATTTTTAAGGAATGAAACAGTCAACCAAGATACCTAATTTTGCGAAATAAAAACCTTGTTAAACAGCTTTTCTTTAATACTATTTATAAAAATTTGACACTGTCCCATCCGTTACAGGTGGAATGGCCGTAAAACCAACCTTAAAAACCTAAAAAAAAAAACTGCAAATGGCCAATTATAAAATGGCGGAAAATATGAAAATTGCCATCAAAATTTACGAAATTGAAAAACAAAATCAACCTGTTAAAGGATTTTTTTGAAAAAAAAGCTTAAAAATTAAAATTATTCTTCAATGAATTTGTTCCACAATTTTGCTGGTCACTGTATGTATTAATCAGCAACATTTTTTGTATGTTATACAAGTAGATTGGTGCGCCATTTTCGGAACACCTTGTATAATATCAAAAAAATTGTATAATTTTTTTAAAATTTTGTTTTAAAACGTTAAAAAAAGATAGTTTTTACTGTATAATAATTTAGAGTTCATTCAGGGTCATTAGCAAAAAAATTGTGTAATTTTATTTTTAAATTTTGTTTTAAAACGTTCCAAAAAGATAAGTTTTTACTTTATTTAGATTTAGAGTTGCATTCAGGGTTATTTCTCTTCACATTAAACAGTGCAGTTTACCACACCAACTCAGATTTTCCTCAAATTTTGTGTAAATTATATATAGGATAGGATAACAAAAAATCTTAGTTTTGAAGGTTCCACAATAATTAATTACCAACAGAGAAATTAATTATTATAATTTTTAAATTTTTTGCAGGATGTACCATTTTTTTCTTAATTTCTTAAATAATACTTTACCTGTAATTTTAGGCGTAACATTTTAAACTGATTTCAAAAATATATTCAGAATTTGTGTCTTTTATTGCTATTGCTAAAAAAATGTTGATCAGGACCACGTTTTAAATTCTCATTTGTTGTAAATGATATGCCACTACTTTCAGAAAAAATTGCATCTTGGCTTTCCACCTAGGAGCTAAGAGAAATTCTCTTATGTGACTAAATACTGGTCGTTTTTCTAAAACTATAGTTTGTATACAGGTGACATGTATCAAAAATTATAGGTAACAGGTTTAAAAAATAATCTATTACAGACAGGGTTACCAGAAACTCCTTAACACTTACATAAAAAATAACTATTATTTACAAATATCAATATATCATTATAATGACAGATAACAGATGTCAGCTTATTTTGTTTCGTATTTTGTTTTATATGGCTTATTTTTGGCATCTGACTCCTGTTATTTTTGACATTTGTCAACTGAATCATTATTTTTTAGTTTTATAAGAAATTAAGAAAAGACATGACGCATCTTTTGTAAAATTAAAATATTACAATAATTTCTCGGTAATTAATTATCGTAGAACCTTCTTAATTAAGATTTGTGGTTATCCTAGCTTATAAATAATCTACACAAAATTTTAAAAAAATCAAAGAGGCCGAAATTTTTCATTATTGTGTTCGATTTGACGTGGAATAACCCTTATTTTTCTTGTTTTATTTTAATGACAAATACATAAAATAATTTAATATTATATTATATATACTTACTTGTCCTGGCTTGGGTTTTTTTGGTTTTGGTGGTTTCTTTTTATACTTTTTCTTCTTCTTTCCTTTACCATCAGGATCGTCTACGCTCTCCTCGTTATCGATTTCTTCCACTTCGTTTATCAAAATTTGTTGCTCATGTCCATCCTCAGTGGTAATATTAATGTTTTCCAGAACCCCTTCTTCCTGACCTTCCCTTTTGATATCCAAATTATTGAACTTCAAGAATTGGTGCAAACCGGTAGTTTGCTGCATTTTTTGCAGGTATTCCTGAACTGCGCTGTTTTGTATGTATTGTGTCGGTATGTTTATGGAAGTACCAACTTCTTGCATATCTTCTTTAGTCATCTCGCTTTTTATTAAGGCTATTGGTATTTGGTCTTTTTTCTCCATTTCGGGTTGTTGTTGAATTAACTGCAGATCCTGCGGTTGTAAAGCTGCCACCACAGTCATTCCTTCTGGTATACCATTTTGCCCGTCAACAATTTGAATACCTTCTTGATTCGAGTTATAGGCTACGGTAAGTACCGTAGCACCTTGCCCGAAGGTTTGTATGGGTATTTGCGATATGTGGTACTTCGGGGAATTCCCCGAGCTCGCTTGCGACACAGGGGTGTGCACCGGGTTCACGACCTGTATCTGCACGGTTTGCTGCGGGTCCCCGGGCTTGGCTCCGGGCATGGTGATGGGTAGGGTGATCAGGGTTTGCGTTTGCTGGCCGGGGTTTTGGGCGGTCGCGAACGCGTTCGCGTCCAAGGGGCGTATGTAATGGATGCCATTTTCGCCGCCTTGTAGCACGCCGACCACCTGGCCGTTTGGCGTGGTGACGCTCTGGGTAATTTTGCCGGCGGTGAATTGCGTGGCCACTGGTAGAGCGGCGGATAGCGGCACGCCGAACGGTGAGAAATTCATTTTTTATGGAATCTGAAAACAAAACAAAATTGTTGGTTTCTTTCACATTATTTTTTGTTGTAATTTAACTGTTTCTTGTGAATTTTAAAAAATTAAACGCTATAAGCATACTGCTCAACTAGAAAAATCATTGAATCAACTAGAAAATGTTCAAAATCAAAATCATCAACATCAAAATTAGTGATGCAAACTGAAAGAAACGGTTTTTAGAAATATTGCTTGTCTTAATAGACCGGCTAAATATGAGGTCTTATTATTGTAAATTGTAATATTATTATTATATCTATTCCTAAGAAAAAGGTATACCCCGGAAATAGTTGCGGTAGAAGACGCTGTACATAGTTTACTTTGTGGTGCATATTAAATTCATCTCGTGAAAATAAACATTGTTTTCCAGCAAGCACAAAATGCATCAATACAATTTTATTGATACGATAATTGTAAAAATTTGTAGATAATAACTAATAATACTAAAAACTAAAACCGCACAGCTAAGCTGTCAAACGATGATGTCTAATGGAAATCTCCCATTTTTCTTGTGTCTTGTAGTATTTTGGTCCAACCTTGAAGTCCTTATGCTATTATAGTATCTTTAAGACCCTCTAGATGGCGTTTGTTTTATAAAAAACAAACGCTTTTTTAATTATTATGAAAGTTTTAAAATTAAAAATATAGTATATTATGTATCAAGATTGATAAACGCCATTTTATACACGAATTTAATTTAAGTTAATGAGTGTATAGAAAAGTTTATAAACGAGGTGCATACTATACTTTTTCTACGACAAATACTTATTATTATCTTAAAATGATTTAAATCAAAAATTTGTATAGAGCGCCATCTATGAAACAACAGGGGAATTGTCAAATGTCACATTTCTACATTTTATAAACACAATTGAGGAGCATCCGTGCAAAACCGGCTAAATCCATTTTATTCAGTTTTTTTTTTTGATTTCGCATCTTTGGGTTCATTTCTATCGACAACCAAGATAATTCAGTTTAAATCCGACTAAATCCATGTTAAAATCACATTTAAAAGGTAGCTTTAGGAGCAAAACCGGCCAAATCCACGTTTTTATAGCAAACCCGGCTATATCCAATAAATAATAATATGTGGCTTGGATATGTCGATACTACTACTAAAATTTGTTCTGTTTTTTCATGTTTGCACTAAATTTATTTTGTTAATATTTTTGAATAATAAAGGTTTTTTTTCACATTTTATTCGTTTTTTATTCGGTTTTCGAGCAAAACCGGCTATATCCAAACCATTTTTTGAAATTTTGGCCGTAATATAAAGTTTTTGAAAACGAAAGTATGTCTTATAAATCAAGTACCACAAAGCCCACAAAACTCAAGTTTGCTTTTTCGTTTATCTGTAAAAGCCAGGAAACCGAGAGTTTTTGCCATTTTCCCAACATTTTTTTAAAGTGGATATATCCGATTTTGCACGGATGCTCCTTAATTATAAAGGTTATAAATCGAAACGTATCTTGAAAATTGACAGTTTTTCACAGTGAAAGTAAAGCAAATGTTTTATGAGGACTTTACAGTAGAGTCCGTGCCCGAATTTAAGTTATAGTTTACTGCCGGCGAAATTAAAAGGTCAGTACAATGTTCATATAAACTTTTCAAATATTGGCGTTGGGAAACTTTTTAATATTTTTTTATTTTTGTATTGAGATAATAAAATAATTTTCACATTTAGTATTATTTTACAAGAAAGGCACTTTATTTTAACGATTGTATGACATTTGACAACTGTCAACTAACTTAAAACTAACTTCAGCCCGTGACTAAAAACCTGTTGCTAACTTCAGCCCGTGACTAAAGCGCCGTAAAGCCACAACTTGTCAATGTGTATTTAAAAGGTCACTAAGTGGCATGGAAACATGTACGATAAAGGGCGTTTTAAAGGTGGGAGTAGAAAAAATTGTTTTTATAACGTTTTTTTTTAAATTTGAAAAAACCTTTTGAATATCATTAATCATATTACAAGAGTAGAAGATGTAGATGCATTTCAGAAAGTTCTTCTTTAATGCTATTTAAACGAAAAAAAGTGATTTTTGTCTGGATACAAAACCACGCGAATATTTTGAAATATTTTTATTTGTGGTAATTGAACTATTTTAATTAGGGATGATATATTGCTTTCAGGATTTTACGATTTCTAGTTTTTGTAATAGAACATTTCCAAGATTATTGCCGGGAAATATTTTGTCATGCAAATTTTCCCAGGAATAAATATTACTGATTTAAAACAATATATTTTTTGCCACACGACGGCACTCCAAATTTATTGTCGTGAGTCTATATATTTATGTTTATTTGACTACTTAGTCCAGGAAACAAAGGTTGTAGAAGGAAAACTCGATGGTAGTCGGGTTTTATTTTTTTTATGTAGAGTCAGGGGTGCTGATAATGAATCAAGAATATTCCCCAAAAATTTCTTTCCGCGTCCCCTAATTTTATCCCCCGAAAGGGGGAGCTGTTGCTTAATTAAATATATTAAAAAAACCCAACCATTTTTATAAAAAATGTTTTTTTACACCTTTTTTGCTATTTTTTTAAGATAAATTGTGAGTATTTTAAGTTGGCATCTGTGTGATAAACGGTTTGTATTTTTTTTTTCAGATGGCGTGATATAGAGAATACACATACATTATTTAATTTATGCTCCTTTAATTAAAATAAATAAATTTCAACCGGTATAAAAGTATTGGGTCAACCTACGCTTTTACTGGCATATAGTATATAGACCATAACATTTTAAGAGCACTTCAAATCTTTATATTATTGTAATTTTTTTTTGATTTTAGTACAATCAATCTATCGCAAAAAAAATCGTTTGGAGCTCATAAGAAAAGCTTAACCTCAACTTTGCTTTGTTTTTTTATTTTTAGTTTTAGAAAAAAAATTGTAAACACACAATTTATGTTATTGGGTCGATGCTCTAGGACGAAAAAAATTCAAAAAGTTTCCAAAAAAGCGTTTTACCGCCTTTTGACCCCGATTTTTATTTTCAAAGCAGCACTAATGAAAAAAGTTGTTTATATCGAAAAAACACAATTCATATCTTTTTTTCCCACTATAGACCCTTTGAAGGCGTCCAATTAATTACGTGAGGCAATTTTGGCGCTTTTAAATTTATCGTGCGATAATGCCCACTACATTTTATTCACAAAAATTACTTCTAAAACTAAAAAAAAAGCCTTCACCTTAATTCCCAGGGGAAGGATCCCGAAAGTTAAGCTTTGATTATGAGCCCGAAACGATTCAAATAAAAAAATGAAAATTTGTAGATTATTTTAGAATGTTTTTGAAACAAGTCAAATGGTAAAACAATCAACTGATAGATATTATCAAAGTTTTTGTGCAATTGTTTCATACGTGTAAAGTAGGTAAGTTACCAAACTCATTAAACAAATATTCACAATTTAGATAAAGAATTCAACGCATAAAAATCGTGACTCAGGCAAAATATACATGTAATTTAAGTTTTCTTATACCTACTAATTGTAATTATAATTATAAGTATGTTAAATTTTCAATTTGATAGTGCCTATGATGTATAACCTATGAGGCAAGAGAAAAACTATGCCAGGTGATTAATGTTTTAATAGCCATAGTTCTGAAATTGTTATAATAACGGGTAATGTAAATTATCACAAGCATTATTAAAAAATGTAATATTTATTTTTAAAACTGTGTCCACACAAAAAATTCGTCCCATTTTTATTAGTTAATTGATAGTCTTTTAGTTATTAATTAACTTTGAATTTAATAGCAAGATTTTAAACATAAATTAATCTGATGTAGGTATAATATTTGTTAATGCAATACGTTTTCAGTTTTTTTGTTACATTTATAATTATAATGTTAAAAATTTCATATTTTTGACATTAGCGAATGCAAAGGTGCGAATGCGAGTACGAATGTTCAGGAAAGGCATTAAAAAATATTTAGTTTAGGTGAACTTTAGTCATCATTTTTATAATTATTATATAATTATATAAAATAGAAAAAGTTACGCCTCCGCAGACCCCGCGTTGCGGAGGGGCGCCGAAGATGCAGGTTGACCTGGAGATATTTTTTTCACACACCCTGCGTTTTTCAAATAATTTAAAAAAAACTGTAAACCTGTCAAAACAAAAAATCGTTAAACTTTGTTATTCCTGGAAATTTTAAGAACAGTAAGTTTTACATGTAAACATACACATTTATCTATATTTTCATCTAATTTCTGATTTTGAGTTACCATCACCATCTATTGTTTTTTCTATGGCCGCCATATTGGAATTTTACGATGTATCAAACTACATAATTATGGTCATTTTAAAAACCAAAGGAGATGGTAACTTAAAATATAGTATACCTACTAAAGGGTATTTCTACGAAACCTTACCTTACCTTTACAAAAAATCAGATGTGTTATTTAACAAAATAACCACTATATATCTGAAGTCAAATAGTTTAATTGCTACGTAATTTATAACCTTAAAATATTCGTACATTGTGATGTGAAGAAGCTAACATTAAGAATAAACACGGAAGAGTTTCAATACTTGATAAAATGTTCAAATGTCGCACCCGTTACATTTTGAGAAAATTTTAGAGAATTAAGTATACAATATTTGTGCATTTAAAATACGTGCTTGTTTAAGGTTACTATTCAAGTTTTACACAAAAAATTATTACTACAGCTTTCATCCAAAATTTTACAGTATCAACTTTAGAAGCCAACTTGGTCGCATTTGTCGATTTTTAAGGTCGCGCCCGTTACGCTATTCATGACGTTATAAAAGGTTTTCTATACAAGTTTTTATTGACATTACTTTTCCCCAATTTTAAAGATCATTATGGTCGCCCCTCGTATATATAAACAAATCTGACATCTGGTAACCTTACTTTTCCCAATTTAAAACCCGATTGGTTCAAATAACAGTGAATATTGAAATCAGAAAATCACTTAAACCTAACAACGTGAATAATGAGTTCATTATTCACGT